ACGAAACAACTCACACTCAACGATAGACTATTGCCTCATGTCCCACAAACTGTATGACAGGCTAGAAAGTATGGAAATAGATGAGGAAGGTACAAAAAGCTTAGGGAGTGACCACAAAAGAATTAAGATTAAATTCGGTACATCTGAACCTGAACAAGCCCAGGAACGAGCGGGTAAACAAAAACTAAGTCAAGCACAAATTCAAAAAGTATCTAAAAGTATTGAGGACGTAGTATCGAAACAACCAGAAAAAGAGTGGACATATGAGGATTTAATAGGAATCTTTAAGAGAGAATTAGAGAAGCATCGAATTAAACAAAGAGGAAAGCAAAACCAAAGACACAAACCAAAAAGCTGGTGGGATAAGGAGGTTAAAGCAGCCATATTGCGGCGCCAAGAGGCATCTAGGGAGCATAGGTGGGCAAAAAAAAGGGGAGCTCTGCCAGCTGAGGTAACATCAAAATGGGAGAGATTCCAAGAGCGGAAAAGGGAGGCGTCAGCTTTAATACAGGCCAAAATTGGGAGGGCAGGAGTGCAGTGGATGATGGAAATAAATAAAAAAGATAAGAATGCGGCAAAAAGGTTTTGGGAGCACATTAAAGCACAGGGGAGAAAAACAGAGGATTTCCAACACTCGCTGACCACACAGGAGGGGAGAAGAGTGCAGGGGGAAGAGGCACAGGAATATATTAGACAGACAATCGAAAAGGCTTTCTCCCAGCTTGAGCAGAGGGGGACGGTGGATAGCACTGTCAGCAGCACTGTAGAGGAGGAGCAGAATTGTATAACAATGGAGACAAACACAAGAGAATGGGATAAGGCAGAAAGTAAGGTTCCAGCAGGTACAGCAACAGGCCCTGACAACATACCCATGGAACTCATAAAGACACTAGGAAAAACAAGCAAATTGAAGTTACGGCAGGTGATTAATCGGGCAATTATGAAAGGAGAAGTACCCAATGATTGGAAACTAAGTAGAATGAGACTAATATATAAAGGCAAAGGAAACAAAGACAGCATTAAGTCATATCGCCCGATAACGGTAACCTCAGTTCTTTACAGATTAGCTATGCAGATTGTAAAGCAGAAAATGCAGGAATGGGCAGAAGATACGCAAATACTGGGTGAGCTTCAAAATGGATTCCGAAGAGATAGAAGACTGGAAGATAACTTATTCGTCACCACTCAATGTATAGAAATAGCAATCAAGAACCAAACTCCGTTGTGGTTAGCTTATTTGGACATCAAGGGAGCATACGATAATGTGAGCCAGGAAATACTTTGGGGTCGGCTGAAAGAGTATAATTTGGATGCAAATTTGGTTAGGTTTCTGCAGCAGGTGTACACAGACAATAAGGTAGTTATAACATGGGAAGCAGAAATTACACAACCCGCAGCAATAAAAAGAGGGCTCCGGCAGGGTTGTCCACTGTCGCCTCTGCTCTTCATGATATATCTCAGGGAAATGGAAAAGAAATTAGAGCAGAGCAACTTAGGTTTTGATGTGAGTTATATGGAAGGAGGGAGAAAGGTAAGACAGGTAATACCAGGACTGATGTATGCGGACGACATATTACTTATGGCAGACAACCAGGATATGTTACAGGAACTAGCCGGCATGTGTGGAGAGGAAGGGGACATCTTGGGCATGAGCTTTAGTAGCGACAAATCTGGAGTAATGGTGTTTAATGATGAAAAGAGGGAACCCCTGCGGATACAAGACATTTTAATAGACCATGTAGAAAAATACAAATATCTGGGAGTCTGGTTCAATGAGGGAAAGAAATATCTAGAAGAACATGAGGAGAATATAATTAGAAAAGGGAAAAGAAATTCATCTATTATGAAGCTCAAGGCACTATGGAACTATAACAGATATGAAGTGGTCAGGGGTATATGGAAAGGAGTGATGGTACCTGGACTGTCTTTTGGCAATGGGGTGCTCTGCATGAAATCAGAGGTTCAATCAGGATTAGAAATTCGGCAAAGAAGCGTAGGCAGATTGGCACTGGGAGCACATGGAAACACACCAAATGAGGGAGTGCAGGGGGACATGGGCTGGTCGTCTTTTGAGAGCAGGGAAGCAATCAGTAAGTTGAAATTTGAACAAAGGTTGACTGAAATGGATGATACGAGATGGGCACGTAAGGTGTACAAGTATTTATACATGAGGAGCATAAACACAAAATGGACAAACCGAACCCGAAAGCTTACATTTAAATACCTACTCACTAATGATGGGGCTGAGCAGACTACTTCAGTGAAAAAGGGAGTGAAAGAGGCAGAGAGGAAAATGTGGGAGGGAAGAATGCAGGAAAAATCGACTCTAACGGTTTACAGGTCACAAAAAAAGGACATACGAAAGGAAAATGTGTTTGACAACTCGCTGGGAAGTTCTTTACTTTTCGAGGCGAGAACGGGAGTTTTGAGGACGAAGACGTATAGGGCTAAATTTCAGGAGATAGACACATTATGCGCTGCATGCCGTGATGAGAGTGAGACACTTGAGCACCTAGTTTTAAGGTGCACGAGGCTTCGTCCTGCCCCTCCTGAGGGTGTGACGGGTTTGGCCGGGGCCCTGGGCTTTGCTGGCGACGATGGAAGGACGGAGGAGAAGAGGATCACAATAACAAAGAGGCGGTTAGAAGATTGGTGGAAATTATCTAGGGAAAATTGAATGATGCACAACTAACTAGCACAGCTGGGGACAGGCGGGACAGAGGAAAATTGGGACTCCCTCCCGCGTGGCTCAGGCCCAAAGTCTCAACCCTGTCCCCCAGTGGGTTGGGTGCAGGGGTAACGCCGACAAGGTTTGACCAGAGGAAAATTGGCGACTCCCTCGCCGGGGGGAAGAGGCGGGGGGTGATGTTTTTAGTTTTTTTGCCCGATCCCCCAAAGGTCAGCCTGGCGATATCCCGCACTACCTGGTGATAGTTAGGAGGGGGGGGGAGAGAAAATTGGCTTAGAAGGGCGGGGGAATCAAATGTTTGTCTTTATTAGACGTAGGCTAGGTGGCGCAAGCTACCGCCCGATACAAAGGGTATAGCCAGTAGCATCCATCCATCCATCCGAGAAACGGTAAGCGCGGGTTTCGCCAACGTCCTGCGACATGGCGCAATTGCTTTTGGTGCATATCTGTCTCCGAGACATGTTTCTTTCCGCGGCATTTGTCTCGACGGTCCTTTCTAAGTGTGTCCCCAAGCATTCCGGTGCTTCGATAGCCGGCAATGCCGCGGTCGTCGCCGGGGGCGATGCGTGTTATCGAGGTCGGCTACACGGTTATGCGTGTATGAGCGAACCAAAACACGTTTTTTACAACCTCGCATGATTTCTGAACGAATTATCCGTTACTCATCGTGTAATTTATGGTAATTTGTGTAAATAGCGTGTTTTTCACCCCAAATATTCGCCAAATACACGGGACTTGCTAACAGTGTACAAAGAAATTGAAAGAACTTTAAAAACTTTTTACGGAATGTTTTCAGAGGAATATTTTGCTAACGCGAAATGTCGCAGTCTGAATTGGGATGTACTGGAAATGTCAACCCCAGTGCCCACGTACCGTGCGTGTCTTAGCAATACTTTGTCCAGTGTCTTCAAAAGGCTCGCACGCTACCGTCCAAACAGGCACAAAAAATTTGTGTTTCGGTTTCACACTGTCAAAACATGGCTGGACGCAAAGTTTCTTTTTCGTGCCTTGGTCTACCAGTTGTGTGCTTTGCCCATAAAGGGAAGACCTCCGTTTTTTGACTGCGCAAATGCGCAACTGTTTTAGGCCCAACTAAGTAGGCTGACCATATTTCTCAAGGTAGAAAACGGGACATCCCAGCCCGGAGGGGGGGGGGGGGGGTAGTGAGTGAGTGAGTGAGGGGGAGAAAGAAGGAGGAGGAGAAGGGGAGAGAGAGAGAGAGGAGGGGATGGAAGGCGGGGATGGGTATAGTAAAGGTTGAGATAGGGAGAACAAATTTAAGGCCAGATTTGCGATTTCAAAGCGTTAACATATTTCATGCGTGCTGTATTCATTAACTAAAAAAAAATATTTCTATTCACGAGTCTTGACAAAAATACGTGTTTGTGGGCAAGAACAGTTCTCCGAATTTTACTGGGTAAATGTTTTAAAGTACCTACTTTTTTTCTTCTTTTTTTTTTTTTTTTTGTAAAATATATTTATAACAAGTGGGCATAGTTTTCGCTTGCTTCAACTCGCTTTGTGCCAAGTTCGAAATTATGCACTCCTGCGAAAACGTGACATGATTCCTTATTGGGACAAAAAGACGGGACGGCCCAAACGGACCTCAAGAACGGGACTGTCCCGGCCAAAACGGGACGTCTGGTCACCCTACAACTAAGGCAAATGCTTAAGGTCGATCTTCAGCCTGAATGGGAAAGGGTCAAATATCTGGAGTTCGGAACAGGAGCAAATGAAGCGCGCATCGTACTCTCCTTGACCCACATGCATTACGGCGGTTTAGGACCGACCATTTACTGGTGTTGCCGAGAGGGAAACCTGCTTGGCACCGTTTTGTCGAGGGTTTTCTCTAGGCCTCATCAGTCCTTTCCACGAAGAGTGCTTGGGATATATCATAAATGGAAGGTCTTCCAAAGGCGTTTGACTAAGTGGCGCTACGGAGATTGATTTTCCCATTTTGACCTTTGGATATCTGGCGGTGCTCATTGCATCTATAATTGTACCCTTGCTGCTCTCTGCTGTGAGCCTGTGGGTGTACATCGTCTCCGCTTATAAAAGCGTAATTTTTTAAACAATAAATAAAAATCAAACTGCTATAAAAAATTAGTAGGTAGAGCGCTTCACTGGAAATGGAGAGGCCCATTGTTCAATAATACCAGGACCTGGCGGATTCTTTCAGTCGCGCACCAGTCACCTATAGCTGTGTTTGGAGATTTCTGTTTGTCCTTTGTACCCCTTGTTCCCTTTCTCCAGGGATTATTATCGTCATTCTTGCACCTTTGCATTATCTTATTCACTGAATTCTTTAGAATTGCTATTGAAACTCGTTTATTTTTTTCGTGTAAGGGAGTAGGTGGTTTTGAAGACCGAAATCCGCATTACCACTGGTGCTCCTTGGCGTCATGCGTCTATCACTTTAGCCTATGCCGTGCGTCTGATCAGGTATCACGTGAATTGCTGCGAACTTTGCTTTTGACGCGTTGGCATCGTCAGAATGAGGGCAATGCTGGCTAGCGGCCACCTTTCCTGACACCTGAAACACGCGACTTGGAAGATCCTCTCGTCTTCTGCTTGGGATTTTCTTGTTCTGTGTCCGAACAACGAGGAAGTTCGGTCTCGGACCACCCGTCTCCAAGGCAGGTTATCCTCTCGACGTGGGGGTCCAACTTAGTTCCGTTGGGACAGCTGAGGGTGATACTGTCCCCAAGGTAATACTTGGGAAGGAAACCTTCTATAACGAGTCTTTCGTCTTGGTCCGCGAAGTTTGTACAACCTTTCACACCTGAAAAATAGAGCACGTAAATGCAAAGCTTAGTCGAAATAACCTTTAAAGGAACCATGAAACAAAAGCTTGTCGCGTAAAACCTGACTTTTTTCTTTTTTTTTTGTGAGTTGACGCTTTTATTTTTTTGGGGAAGATTTTAGTTTTAAACACCAAAATTAAGCAGCGTTTTTTTTTTGTTTGTGTGTGTTTTGTTCGAGCATTTAATGTTAGGCATCGTTTGTCTCATCTTGGATGAGGCCGACAGAGTAGATTATCTTTTATCCAAAGCATGCCTTCATGTTAATAATATTATTCTAAAAAGAAATCGATTTATTGTGTACTTTTTACAGTTAGGTTGCTGGAGGGAGAGGTTGTTTAAGACGAGTGATAACTCTGAGCCTTACTAATTTTTAGTGAGCGAATACTAACGTGCGTAAGCATATTCTGATGCCTGTTTAAGTTTTTACAAAGGCGAACAACTTATTATCAGCGCTTTTCAGTAGTTGGAGTAAATGTTTCGCTATTTCTACCCGCAGAAAATTTCAAAGAAGGGATTCTCACGGCTGCTGCTTGGGGAAACGAACCGTCATGTTGCATTTTTTTGTAAGGGGGTATTTTTCCAGCTGCAGCGTTACTTTATCTAAATGCGTACGGACAAATAGCCATACTGGAAGGCAAAGTCATGCAAGGCAATGCACGCATTTATAAATTGGTTGTGAATGCGATTTCCATACTCGCGAAAACAGCGTAAGATTGTCACAGTAATTTCGATTTATAAGCAGTTACTCAGTCTGCCGTCTGATAGGAAGAGTTTAAGTAGCATATCAAAACGTAATAGTTTTATTACGCACAAAACACAAACTCGATAAATAGAGGGACACATACAAGCCAAGTGAGCTGGTAAAAGTTCCGCTTTATAATACCCGAGAAAGAAGGACACATGCAGAAACACTGTTGTACATCCGTTCAACCTTCTGAATTCCTGAATATTGGGATTTCACAGAATCAAAATTGACTTCCCAAAGTGCAGCATAAATAAAGTGGGGAAACGGGGGAGATCAGTTAAACTTCATAGTGATTCTATATTGCTTGTTTTCCTTAACCACATTCTTTACCAACAACGAAGTTACAAAAAAAAAAAAGCTACATACTAAAAACAGTGCTTTGTGTTTTATGTCAATAAAAGGTGCAGCTAAATTCAGAACTAACCATGGTTCATAGGGTAGTTAAATCAGCCGACTGATATTTTCACAACGTCGTGGGACATAAACAATCTTCGAGAAATACAGCACTAACGTTCAGACTTTTTACTATATTGTCAAATGTGATAATGGTTTAATTAATTGCAAAATACAACGACAACAAAAGAAAACTTGCTTAGAAGCGTACATAATTACTGTTTGATCACTACCTGTTACGCATTTCAAGCGAAGCAGTCAAGGACAAATGGCATATACCGTATTTACTCGAGTAATCGCCGCACTGTTTATGAAGAAAACCTGAGGGTTCGCTTTTCCGCGGAGCACGCAGATTGCCAATCGCCGCGATCGACGGCATGATTCCAGCTGTTTACAGGACATACATAACTTCTTCATGCGAAGATACCACCTGTGATGATTGCAGTTGTATGGAGAATCATTTTCTCGATCTAGTTATTCGCTAAGTCATTTATGCGCAACGCGATGATTTGCTGTACCGTATATGTGTTCTGTGGTAAAGTAGGCACAAGGACCTTATTCATAAATAGTGCGGCTGTTACTCGAGTAAATACGGTATCGCACCAAAAACGTTCACAGTAACAGCTAACCTTATAAAGTCTTGCGGAAACCTTTCACGCTTATATATAATTGTCATGCCAAAAACAAAAAATCGGCAGAACTGTGGTAATTTTTAGTTTATGCTTATGTGTTGCACTGATGTATCTTCCGCCTTATGTAGAGGAGCCATCGCTGATGTCTGCTGGAGGGGTGACATGCTCACTTATTTTATACACACAAAAGTCCTCTAAGGAATGCGGCGTGAGACTCGGGTGGCGTGAAGCAATGTGGCCGCAACTGCGGCCATATTGCGGGCGCTGTTTGAGCACTCAAACGCGTCGCTGTTCCTAACACAGGCTGTTTATTGGGCGGCCAATTGAAGGCAGATGTTGCTTCACAATTGGCAAACCCGAAATTGAATCCTAAAAAAAGAAAAGAAATGAAAGACGTTTGCAATTCCCTGTAAGGCCGAATCAGAGCGCAGCTCTGGAGGAGGAGGAGGGTATGGAGAGGAGGGCGTGCCCCTCCTCCGTACCCTTTCGTCCTCCTCCCTCACCCTCCTCTCCTCCTTCCCCCCTCTTCCCCCTCCTTCCCTCCTCCCTGGTGACGTCACTCGTGACCCTTGTGACGGCCTCGTGAAGGTCCCTGTGAAGGTCGTGACCTTAGTCGTGACCTTCATGATGTCACTGGAGCCCCTCGTGACGTCACACGTGACGTCACGTGTGGTGTCGCCGCTCAAGCCGGAAACGGGCGCCTAAAGCTGCGATCTAAAAAAGAAACGCAGGGGTGTTTTTGTGATCTTTTACACGCATTTGGTGATATCGACAACTACATGATTTCGAGAAGGGGGGTGGCATGAAAGCTATCATGCGTGAAAAACACTTGGAATATCGCCGGAAAGCGTCACCCTACCAAAATCACGTAAAGAAAGTTCTGAAGCCTTACAGGTCATTTTTGCGTCGAAGTCCCACATTCCGTTGGCTTTGCACGTAACTCGGCTGCTGCGTCCCTCCAGGATGTAGCCTTTGTCATCGCAAAATGCTTCGAAGACAGCGCCCAAGGCTGCCTCCGAGGCACTCGCATTAATGACGACACGGGAGGGCGCCGCAATGAGAAAGTCGGTCACATCACAGCCCGGCGCCGGCGTAGCTGAAATAGAAATTCAATTTATTCCCAGAAGCGTCCGCGCGAAGCCCATTTGAAATGTTCTGCATTCTGGTTCTATAGCTTTATAGGAAATATCCGAACAAAAGCGATATTGTCGCTGTATAGATGATCGTCACTCTGGACGTAAAATCATCTTTCAAGGACAATTTATGTCGAAGTTCATTTTATTCTTAATTTCAAGGCTGCCGTGAAAGGCTATAAAGTAAATTGATGCACCACGTTTCTTTCACAAAAAAAAAAAAAAAAAAAAAAAATTAAGAAACGCCATTTTTGTTCTGAAATTTCGCTTAAGTTCTTCACACTGGTAAGTTCCTCATTTTAGTTCTTTGGGTAACGCCTCGTGACGTCACAACTGGCACATTTTGATGCGGACAGCGATTCATTGCGTTCGCTCTTCTTCTTCGCCAGCACTTATAAAATCAACCGCCAAGATCGTGACAATCGATTGAATGAGCCGCGTGTTTAATTCTGTTCCATAAGTTGTCGCCTCATAACGGCCAGTCTTGACGCATGGAGGCACAGGACGATAAATACACGAGTCGGGAATGCATTCCAGAGAGCAGTCACCGGTCATACCGCCTTTCGCGCAGCTGTAGCTACGGGTTAACTCAAAAAATCGATTCTTGCGAAACCAATGTACCGGAAGTTTGTTTGCTTACTTTGTGGCTGGACGCATACCGGTGGCTTGGCGTCCCATTCTCCGGTGCGTGAGCAATGTATCTGTTCGGGACCCTCGAGTGCCAAGTTGCTTTGGCAAGCAAATCTCATCTCCGCCGCATTCTGGCGCACTACGTTTACTCCTGATGCGAGAGATGGGTTAGCACACGAGCGATTACCTGGAGAGGAAACCAAAACCGTATAGATAAACATTAAAAAGAAAAAAGCACGCACTGGCATTTAAAGGGTCAAGTAGAGAGAGGTTACGAAAGGCTCTTAATAACGCGTAAGAGCTGTAAAAGCCTGTAAGCAGTACTTGGAAAGAAGCCTGGAAGCCTCAGACCGGCAGCCGATGTTTATCAAGAGCCTTAGCTAAGGCTGTTTACAAGACAACAGCTCCCACTGCGAGGCTTCCCTGAGGATCCCTCCGAAATGGTCAGAAGACGTAATATTCTAAACCAAGGAGGCTTCCCATGCCTAGTGATGCACTAGTTTAAAAAAGAAAGAAAAGAAAGATTATTTATTTATTTTATTAATTTATTTATTGATACTACTGTGCTTATTTCAGGAGACATTTATTAATTCATTTATTGATACTACTGTCCCCTTATTTCAGGAGACGTGATAGAAGTGGTTTACAACACATTATGCAAAAAACAATAATCAAAATACAGCAGGCTACAAGCACAAGGATATTAATTCTAGCTGATCCCCCCCCCCCCCCCAAAAAAAAACAAAAAAAAACAACAACAACAACACATAAAAGGTTTAACATGCGAAAAACACAGCGTTATACAAAGACTATCCTCATTGTAAAAACGAATGAAGGGACATCAGATACAAAAATCGCGGAGTTTATTTATGAAGTACGACTCGGGCGGTGCTGGTACTATATCGCTCGGCAGGGAATTCCAATCGTAAACAGTCCTTGAAAAAAAAAAAAAAAAAAAAAGAAACAGAAAAAAAAAACAAGAAAAGAATACTTAAATGCATTAATCCGACAGTTAAATTTTTTGAGTGTTTCACAATGATAACTCGCATGAAATCATTCTGAAGTGCGGGTCGAATTTATTTAGAGCTGGCCATATCGAACCGGTTGTTTATTAAATCAAATAGGAAATTTATTCGCATAAACATGCGTCTCTGCTTTTGTAAGTTCAACCTAGAAAGGGTGTACAGTTTAGAGACGGGATACTTTCGCTGGAACTTATTACGAAGTAAGCGTACATTTTTTCTTCGAACATTTTCAAGGAGGTTTATTTTAGTATTCGTAAACGGATCCCAAACCACCGAAGCGTATTCTAGGATGGGTAAGATAAAAGTTTTATAGGCTGCCAATTTGTCGTCGAAAGAGGCATGTTTTAGATTTCGTCTTAAGTACCAAAACTTGGATAATGCTTTGCGCGCAATAAATATGATATGAATATGATATAATGGCACCCAAGTTTTTATAAGAAGTAACTTCTGCTAGTGAAGTATCATTAATAGAATAATCGAAAGAAAGATGGCTTAATTTTCGAGTTATATGCATTCGAACACATTTCTTGACATTTAGTGACCTCTGCCACGAGTCGCATCAGTGCGACATCTTAGTAGAGTCTGGTCACTTATTTCGTTACCTTCTGTAAATCAAACCACATCAGCTGCGAACAGCCGAAGCACGTACTGGAATATTAGCAGCTAAATAGTTTATAAAAATTGAGAACAGTAATGGACCCAAGGACCAACCCTTGTGGAACACAAGGGTCGGTTCTTGGGCCATTACTGTTGATTTGAATTTTTATAAGGACCTCTTTTAATTTATTTTAGATCAACAGTAGATCAAAATTGTCAAAGTAAAAAAAAATTTGAAAAAGGATCAATATATGCGCCCGAATCAACGACTCTTAGCTTAATGGTTAAGAGATGTCTAATATATGTATACAATTCAGACGCTTCGAATTCCACTGAACGTTTTCTACGATTTGCTGGGGCTTTCTTACTCGTTCTTTCTAAGGTGGCTTCAAAAATGAAATAACAATTGCTATTTTAAAGGATTGAATAGTTTTTTTCCCTTTTATTCCCCTAGATTGCTCTCCGGAGAGATGAAGACTGGGCACGTTTATAATAAGAAAATTACGTATTAAACACACTGCTTTTTGCGAAAGCCCTCTCGTAGCCGATATATTTCGACTTGCATGCTGAGACTCACCTACGGTGTCGCAATTTGACCTTGAAGTCAGCGCGGTTATTATCGCAGTAAAAATATCCAGTAAGAATTCGCCAAAACTTCGAAGCACAGGCTTTTTTTAACGAGTGAATTGCGCCGCAGAACCCAGGGAACCTGGGTTCAATCCCTACCCTTGCCCGTTTCGGTCTGGATGAGCATCATACAGGCATGCGGTCGTGTATCATCACTGCGTCGTGCACGTTAAAGACCCCAGGCTAGCGGTTGTACTCCACTGCCTAAATTGCTCATCTACAGCGAGTGACTCGTCGCAACTTTGATATGGCTGACCAACTACACGCTGTATAAATATCCACACAACCCCAATTATTATTCAACGAGTGCAGCTGATAATAAAAGCCGCGAGGACTTACACCTCATGCTTGCATCGAAACTCCACGTGCCGTCGGCGTTGCAGACAACTCTGCTCTGTCCATCGAAGATGTAACCCGTCTTACAGAAGGCGTGATACACAGTCCCGGCGGCAACTTCCGACGCATTTTCTTCAATGACGACTTCAGGAGGTACGCGGCTTAGAAAGTTATTCACATCACATGTCTGTTCCTCTGTAGTTGGGGGAAAAATTAGAGGAACTCATACGATGCTTGACAAGGGATCTTGAATCAACATCAGAAGGTGAGCCTGGGGACATCGTTTTGGCAAAACTAAATAACGACAATTATAACACGTCATCTAAGTCAACTTTCTCATTTCGTCGATTGACAGGCTCAACGCTGTAGCTAGGGGTTAACTTACAAAGTCGATTCTTGCGAAATCAATGTACCGGAAGTCGGCTTGCTTACTTTGAGGCTGGACGCACACCGGTGGCTTAGCGTCCCATTCTCCGGTGCGTGAGCAATGTATCTGTTCGGGACCCTCGAGTGCCAAGTTACTTTGGCAAGCAAATCTCATCTCCGCCGCAGTCCACCGCACTACGTTTACTCCCGGTGCGAGAGATGGAACAGCACACGAGCGATTACCTGAAAAAAGAAAGACGTTTACAACTTCCTGTAATGCCGAATTAGAGCGCAGCTCTTGAGGAGCAGGAGAGGATGGTACGGAGAGAAGGGTATGCCCCTCCTCCTCTGTACCCTCTCCTCCTCCTCTCCCCCTTTCCTCCTCCGCTCTCCTCCTCTCCTTCTCCTCCTGCCCTTCCATCCTTCCTCTCCCCCTTTTTCGTCCTCATCCCTCCTCCGCCTCTCTATCTCCTTCTCGTGACGTGACTCGTGAAGGCCTCGTGTCGGGTAAAGGTCACGTGGAGGTCGTGACCCTCACGAGTGAGTGGTCACGTGAAGGTCGTGACTTTCGCGTGACCTTCACGAGTGTCTTTGATGACGTCACTTGTAACCCTCGTGAACGTCGTGACGTCACTTGAGACCCTCGTGACGTCATTATGGAAAACATCCCATGATGCAATGCGCGGGTCACGAGTGACCCGCGCGTTGCATTATAGGACGTTTCCCATTATGCAACGCGCGGGACCCTCGTGACGTCACGTGGGACGTCATTATCGGAAACGTCCCATAATGCAGCGCTCTGGTCACAAGTGAGACCCGCGCGTTGCATTATGGAACGTTTCCCATAATGCAACGCGTGGTTACGCCCACGGCGACGCCGACGCCGCTCAAGCCGGAAACTGGCGCCTAACAAAATCGTATACATAAAAAAACAAAAACACACACACACACAAAAAAAAAAAAAGACGCTCTGGCAGGTAGGGTAGAAAGAAGCTACAACCATATAAGAGCTGTAGAAGCTGGTAAGCAGAACTTGGAAAAAAGCCTCCTGGAAGCCTCAGACCGGCAGCCGATGTTTGTCAAGAGCCTTAGCTAAGGCTGTTAACAAAACGACAGCTCCCACTGCGAGGCTTTTCTGAGGATCCCCCCGAAATGCTCAGATATAAAAAAAGGTGATGTTTATAAAACAGTAATGATTTTTTTTTTGAATGACCTATTTTAAATTTTCTTTAGATCAAAAGTAGATTAAAATTCTCAAAGTAAAAATGTTGAAGAATAATCACATATATGCGCCCAAACCAACGATTCCCAACTTAATGGTTAAGCGATGTTTAATATATGCATACAATTCAGACGCTTTGAATACCACTGAAAGTTATTCTACAATTTACTGGGGTTTTTTTACTCGTTCTTTCTAAGCTGGCATCAAAAATGAAATTATAGCAATTGCTATTTTAAAGGATTAAATAGTTATTTATTTTTATTCTGCTAGGTTGTCGTTCGAAGAGATGAAGACTAGGCAAGTTGATAACAAGAAAAGTACATATATTAAACACACTGCTTTCTCCAAAAGCCTTCTCGTAGCTGATACACCTCGACTTGCATGCTGGAACAAGCCTGGGGAGATCGTTTTTGGCAAAACTAAATGACGACAAGTATAACACGTCATCTAAGTAAACTTTCTCACTTCGTCGATTGACAGGCTCAAAGTTTTGATGAATAGCGGGTAATTTATGAGCGGCTAATCATGGTGACTATCAGCCAACGAATAGATGCAACTTCACACAGACTGTTCTCCCATTGCTGCGTGCTAAACAGTTGACAGTTCGCAAGACTCTTCTTTTCTCGCAGCATCTCTAAATGCCGGGTGAATAGTGCAATATTTACCTCTGAACGTGCACTAAAAAAGATACCAGCCATCTTTTTTTTTTTTTTAAATCTATAAACTGATCTACTACCTTTATTACAAAATCTAATTAAAATCCACATTGCCCGCATAAATGAATCTCTCAGATCCTTCTCCTCCTTTCGACAAAAGCGCCACAGACAAGGACATATAGACCTTTTCGGCCTCCATCGCATGAGCGCTGCCATCTTGGAATCACGTGACGCGGCCGCCATAAGGTGGCTTCAACTCGTCACTCCACTCTCCCCTCCGTGACTTGGCGAAGGCGTTGCATTCGCGTTTTTCGCCTTATTGTAAATGGCCGCCCGATGTTTACATTTACAACTTAATTGCATGCAATCATTATGTGCACGACGACATATGCAGTTAACTTTGTAACCGATTTTGACTATTTTCACCGTTGGCGTACCAGATACGCGTGAGGAGGGAGGAGATGCATGAATCAGGGTCAGACCTGGCGCATATTAAGCCCAATTATGTATGACAACTGAAGTTTACGCAGTCATAGTGGTGGAATATTTGAAATAAGTATAGCGCAATGTATATGTATATGTATAATCGCGCATTTAGACTCTAAGGAATGTGACCAAAATACTACTCAGCATATGAAGCGATGTGTGTTTCCTGAAAGCCTCCGGCCTTGCCTTCATAACAAATTTAGAATAGTTGTTTTTGATTATATACGACATATAAGATATACAGGTGACGAACGTTTAACTCAAATTTTATCTGATGCTTGGATTAATGGTAACGTCCACATCGGGCGATTTGTTTGTTCACGGCATTACACCTAAATCTGTTAGACGGTCTTAAATCGTTTTCGCAATAGGAACGTTTGCTTGATTTGTTTATTTATGAATTTAGAGAAACTGTACACTATGCTGGGTCACACATCTGCAGGCATCAAATTGTGTTACATTTTTATACAGAATTTGATTAAGGAATTTTATTTATTTTAAACACAAAGACCCCTGTGAAATAATCTGTCGCGGGCAGCTTGACAGTGCCCAAGGCTCGTATTATGTCATGCCGAAAAAAATCCATCTACATGGAAATCACCGAAGATCAGGGTTGATTTTAAATAGCATCAGTTTCGATGGAGATCTGTCATGAAGGTTCATGAAGTCGTGCCTAGCATTCGACGTCAACCAAACGTAGGAGAGATCACTTCTCTGGTACCCTCAATTTTATTTGGAAAAGTTTACACAAAGACAAAATTTCAGATTTCACTTGATGGGCCTCACTAATCTCATGTGCCAAGCACGTCGTAATCAAATGTTAAAACAAATAGTTTATTTTCTAACGCCAACGTTGTTAAATGCTATTAATAAGTACTTTAGCAAAGTCAATAGCTAAAGGAATTTCACACCCGACCTAGGACGCGGTTTATCGAAATATATCTGGAGTACTTATTTGTTTTTTTAAGAAAACAGTCCGAGACAATATTTTTTATTTCTTAGAATATCTGGCGACATTTCGAGCTTCTAAATATCGCAGAAAGTTGGTGTCCGCGAAAATCAGTCAGTGAAATTGCGACTTCGTGTTTTTCGCGATTTAGGAGGCGTTTTATTAGGTTGTGGACCTGCATTTTTGCTATATATCTACTCATTAGTCTTCTCATTAGTTTATTTTTGAAAACTAGGGTAAGTGGGTCAGGCCGTAGACGATGGGAACCCTGCTTGTGCATCGTAGTCGTTTCGCCGCCGAACCTGACCGAAATTAGCGACGAATATGGCCAGATGCATCGTAAAGCGTTCGTAAAAAATTCCGCGAATATGACTCGAAACCACTTCGTGGTTCTCGAATTGGCTCAGTACCACAGTTTTATTAGTTGTGCGCTATAACGGGTACATTTGTATGACGCAATTAGGCGAGAATGACGTAACAGTGTAACACACCAACACAGCCGATAGCACGCTGAAACCGAAACCAACCAAACTGAAGCCACCCAATGGCGCCGAGTGCGTCAGCGCCCTCTGTCAGCTGGTCGGGTAACTACTGAGATGAAAAGGACAGCACAGGTCTCTTACTTTATGCCCTTGTCTTTTAGCGCTTTTGTCAAATAGAACGGTGTACCACTAGCCCATCTTTCACTATTGATGCAATCTATTCCTTCACCCCCCCCTCCCTTTCCCTCCTTCGCATCAATAGGGAGTTTTCGTAGACCGCGTTTCCACCTCCGCTAAGCCCTCCGCAACGAAACAGCCGCTACTGCGCCGGCGCACCGATGGCCTTGACAGTAGAGTTCCGGCTAGCGTAGCTGGTTGCGTAGTGCATTGCGGGACAGCGGAAACGAGCTACGAAAGCTCCCTAATAGGGAATGGACCTCTTGGCGAATATGTGCTGCCACCTAGACATGCGACTGGGTTCCAGGCTAAGTGGCAAGAAAACAACGCGCGCGCAAGGCTCTCCCACCCGTTCCACACTCAAAACGTCAGCTACATCCTGTTCACCCATTGGGGCACTGTGACCTAGATCCCATCGTGCGTAATCTTCCGCCCCGAAGTCGACACAACGAAACCAACGAAACCATCTTCCCTCTCTGCTCGGCCGGAAGGAAGAGAGAGAAGGTACTGGAACCATTTACTCTCGAACCGATGTTTCTACAAAAGGTCCATTGTAGTAGACCGTTTTCCTCCTCCGCTACGGTATCCCTGAAGAAAACGACGCAGCTGCGCAAGCGCGCCGCCAGCCTTATCTGCATAGTTCAAGGTCTTGTGGCGAATTACGGAGCACTATCCGGGTGCTTAGAGGGCTGCGGAAACGGTCTACTACTATTCCCCAATATGAGCGAAGGCAGCGAACCGGCTGGACGTGGCACATCGGCTTTCCGGAATCCTGGTACGCTGAACGACACTGTTAGGGCAAACACAACCTCGGCGCTTTTTCGAATTTTAGTTTGAAGGGGTACTGGCAGGCATCAAAATCTAACGCTTAGGTTAGTACCCAAACAGAACAGTTTCCATTTCTATGGTAGTTCCAGGGATGGGCAAAATACATGCAAAAATGTATCGAAATACAAATACAAAATATTTCGTCAAAAATGTATATAATTACAAATCTAATTACATTTCCAAAAAAAGCATTTAAGTACAAGATACAAATACAACCAAATGTATTTGGTTTCCTCCAAATACTTTTCCAAATACATTCCTCAAAATTTGCGTCAGCGACTTCAGGGCACCTGCAGCGGGTTTCTGGGTATCTCATTTTAATTTCGCATCACACACTCTCGAGTTAGTGTGCGAGGCTCTAGTAATGTAATAAAAATATAATAAAAAAAAAAAAAAATGTTATCAGCTTGGACGTAATAGGTAAAAAAAGTACAGAGCTTCAAGCAGCTTTTTTTGTCGATTACATTTTGGTATAGACCAACAAAGAACCGAGACAACCAAGACGCGCAGCACTAGCTAGAGAATTTTTTATTGTCGCAACTCGCACCAGTTACGAAAATCTGGACGACCCGCGCATTTAGAATGTTCCAGGCAAAAGTATGGATGGAAATCAGGCTGGAAAGCATCACAAGTTGTCACAGGCACTTGTTTAGCCAGTCTGCCTGTGAACGTCGATTTCGTCCCTATTCTTGCCCTGGACTAGCTCCGCAATGACAAAGTCACTAAACGCGTGTGCTTGATTGAGATACAGTGCATTCGGTGCAGAACGTAGTTTTCTTCCTGCCCTGGACACGTCTTAGGATGAGCAAATTGAGTCGTGACAATATTTTTGAGGGATGTAGTTTCGCCCACAAAATTGTATTTAATTACAATTGTATTCGAAATATCCACGTTTTAGTATTTAAATACACACGTCAAATACATTACCCAATTAGTAATTAAATACAAATGCAAAATACACAAAGTATTTGAAATACGTATTTAAAATACTTGTATTTGAAACACTGCCCATCCCTGGGTAGTTCTGATGACTGTTCTTTGATAGGAGAAAAAAAAAAAAAAGAAATCAGCCGATGGCGCGTTTGCGTCAACAGTTTCGCAGAGTGTACAGGGATGGGCAGTATTAAAGTGGCTTTAGACAATATGGAGTAGAGTAAAACTAAAATGTTAAAATACAAAAAAAAAAAAAAAAAAAAAAAACTGGGTGAGACATAGGCTTCTCTGAGGGGCAAGCCGCTACCCGGGGGCAGTATTTCAAATATATAATTAAAACACTGAGTATTTTGTATTTAACTACGTATACTATTAAATGCAGTTGTCGATCACATATGTTTAAATACTAATTCGGTATATAAACAGAAGGACCTTAAGGCACCCTAGGCAAACATGGAAAACATCTAATGCTATAGGGATTATTCACAGGACGCCATATTTGTTGGTGCTGTTTAGAGCGCATGCTCAGAACGAGCTCACATTTATAGGTTGCTAAGACCGGCAATCTTGTGGAATGCACGTGGCAAAAGAACTGTGGAAGCTCGCCGTTACCACGCGATCAGCATTCGCGCACACAGCTATGGCCGCCAGTGAATACTCCCTATACTACAGTGTACTAAAACTATAGACGCTTTACACACGCGTCAAATTACAGCCGCCATTGCTGACCTTCTCTTGTCTTACCGAGATGCCGAGCAACTGAAACGGTAGTTGACGATCCTCTACAAAGGCCGATGCTTTAGAAAAGGACACAGTTAAATCTAAAATGGCAATAACCTGGCCTGCTATGGTAATGATGAAGTGAAATAAACGGAATAAGAGGAAACAAAAACTGAAGGTCAGTTATGGCGCCGTCCATGCACAGCTGCTGCAAAGCGTTCAGCTGCGATTATAGCCAAGGCTACAAGCGCGAGAACTCGAAATCCCGGCCTTGAAGCGTACCCCGCAGAACAAGCGCTCGCGCAAGAGACACCACTTAAAGCCAGGAGCACTAGCTCGCGCTTGTAGCTTTGGCTGCGTAGTCGAGGAAAGAAGGACGTGTTGACGATGCTGACTCCAATTACCTATAACAAGCATTACCAGATCTTAAGAAGAGTGAAAAGTTTCACCCCCTGCAGTGAATAAGTAGAGACGCAAGTAGAGGACAGCAAGCGAAATGTCTTATTTTTCCAACCCTAACCTAGCACACAAAATGCACGAAGCACTTTGGCTTACTTCTCGGCTCCACGCATTGGGGTGGTAGATTGTCCCATTGCCCGTCTTTAGAGCAGCGAATCAGTTCGAACCCTTTGAGTAACAAGTTGTCGTTGCAAGCGAATCGAATCTCCGAAGCCGTTTGACTTATGACCTTCACTCCGTGCTCAAGAGACGGATATGTACAAAAACGCTGGTCTGGAAAAAAACGTAGAAAACCAGACAAATTATAAATTACCGCGAACAGTAAACATGTTTAAACAAATATACATTGCAACACTCTTTATTAAATAACACGTTTCTATAAAAGATACACATTCCAGAAAGTAGCTAACGTTGTGATGGTAGAAAAATGAAAATATATAGGAAATAAAACAAAGTCGCATTAAGATTTACTTTCTTCCGCTGGAGTTGCGACGTGGGAAGTTCATTGTAAAAGCGCGCATGTCTGTCTTAATGTTGAAAATAAATATTACAATTTCGTCTCAGTCTACGAAAATTCCTCGAACGGCATGGACGCGAAAGCTTCAGTCAAGCAGACAAACTTTCCAATACTCATTTATTCCACACCCACGTAATGTACTTGCCAGTATGCGCCGAGGTAATTTTGCTGCTTCAACTCGAGTGTAAATTTCTTGTGGTGAGCTCAAGCTTCCACGCCTACTTTGTTAAGTTCATTCCAAGTTTTTTTTTTTTCACGATAGACGCTATTGAAGCTTGATCTTCAACACGAGCTGTCGATTAATTAGGTTGAACGCAGAGATAACTGTACTTTTTGGTAGGCCATCGTCAAGCCAGGAACATTCCGGTGCGACCAGGAGCACTCACCACTTCCTTTCACAGCAATTCTTCTCCTTACAACCTCGTTGACACGGCAGTTGAATACATAAATTTTCCGTTCAATATAAAAATCTATGACGGACTTTTCAAACACGCGGCTGTTTTCTTCTCCTGTAACAGAGCAGAAAATAAGTATATTAGACGAAAAAATACAAGTAGATAATTTCTGATTTCAGGTACTTGCCTTTCCAATTAGATACAAGAACTTCCCAGTGCGACGATCCTTCTTTTATTTTGCATTCAACGCGTATCCATTGCAAGGGTTTCACGTAAAGGAAGGCGTTTGGGCCCACTTCATACTCGGCACCTGAAATTTGAACGGTGGGATTTTCCCCCGATAGGTCGCACTTTGGAGGCACCTCGGCTTTCCCTGTCCACGTCCCATCCAGGCAGGTGGCTGCAACAACAGACCCCGAGGTCCTTTCAACGGGTTCACAATGAAACTGAACCGTTGTGTTGTGCGGAATCTGGGCCGAAAAATTAACACGCTGGTACCTGATGAAACCTTTCACTCTGGAATCGAAGTTCGCGAAGCCGCAAGACATGTGCCACGTTTCATTCTGGCCGGGTGCCCGACCTGACGCTGCTTCCGTTTGCCCCTTCACCATCATACTAGATTGATTTATTGACGAATTCTCGATCGGATTTATTCCCCCGATATCCTCGCTTGTTGCAGACTGTGTAGTGGTGCCGTTGGGCCTGGTATCTAGGAGTTCACCGAAACCTGGAGAGGCAGCTGTGGAGGTTGCCGTGATTCCCGCAGGAGGTGTCCCTCCCCGACTTGGAAGGCCTTGTTCGCGAGAATTGGGCGCCGCTGTCATATTCTCGGGTAATACCAACTCCTGGGTTTTATAAGGTTGATTTGAGGCTGGGACGGGGATAGGTCCCCTAACGTCGGGCGGTTTTGTGGATGTTGGCGTACTCGTGTAAACAGTGAGATTGTGCGGTTGTTTGTTCTGTGGTGCAGCACTTGCTATCTGTTTATCTGCATCTGGTGCTTGGGACAGCTCAGCATTTGCGGTCGCATTCGTGTGTTCTGAAGAGTTCATGGCTTCCACTTGAGTCGTCTCTGGGACCACTGCCCTGGGATCGCTTTGGACTGGCAAACCATCATGATCTCGCCTCTCACTTTGTTCTTTGTTGTTTTGATGACTTGTGGCAGGAACTGATAAGTCTGAAACAACAACAACAACAACAACACATGAACTCTGTAAACGTTTCCACAAAGCACAGATTGACTGCTGTTATCAGCTTTTTACGAAAGTAAATTTTACACCGTTACCTGGAGGACAGCTTGGAGCCGGTTCCCAAAAACCTTTCAAGCAACGTATTTTGTAACTTGTTCGATCACCGCGACAGTGGAAGTAAATGAAGGTGCCGTTGGCAAACTCTTTGTCGAGTTGTATCTGAAACAAAGATTATTCAAGACAAAATAGGCTTTCTGGAATTATAATGTTTTATTTAATGCGCGAAAACCGGTTGACTGATGTTTATTTTTATTTATTTTACAACGCTAAGTAATAAAAGACACAACGCGAGCAATACTCTGCTCTGCATACGTCTAATCCCCATCAGTAGAGTAACATTTGAATTTAAAACAACTAATGTACGAATTGTAATTTTATAAATTTATAAGCCTCAGTTGTCTTCATTACTGGTCCGCCCAATGGGTTCTGAAATTCTGCCGTAAAATGAATCCGCTCTTGTTTAGTGGCTTTTAGCTACTTAGTTACCCTAGTGTTTCTTTTGCATCTAACCTCAAATCATCTACGCTGCACTTGTAGGTTACCTCTGTCCCCCAAGCTCGTTTTCCTTTGCCATACCATGACGAAGCGGAAGCGCTCTCAAATGCTTTGTAGCGTAAGCTACACTGGCCGAGGTTGAGCAGTTTCACGTGGCTCGCATAATGAGCCGTGCTCCGTGCTGCTCAAGCGCGAGGAGCAGTGACGTCACACGGCGCACAGCTGGCGGGGCGGAGCCGCCGCCACCGCGGGCTCCGCCGCCGCCGCACGCGCCTCGCCGGTCTGCACATTCCAGAGGAGTGACGTCATAGCCGCGGCAGACGCACTGGCGCCGCTGTGTGCCCAGCTGTTCTCCTTCGTTGCGCAGTAGCCAAGTCTGACGCTGCACGGGAGCTGCTTGATAGCGCCTCTCAATTTGTGCGCATAAGCTCACGCTACGTATATCCTGGCATAGCCGAGCTAAGCCACCGCAATTTTTTAGAGCGCAGCTCTTAAGCGCGATCCAAAACAACGCGTTTTTGTGCGCGCGTAGGCCGTGCGCTTCCCGGAAACTGCGTATTTCGTGACGTCGCGCTGATTCCTTGCGCCTTCCGGGCGCGCATAAGAAAGTTGGATGATTTCAACTTTTTTTCTGAACGCGCACGAAAACGCACCGTGACGTACGTAGTAGGACGCTCCTCTCCCGTATCCTCTCCCGGCCAATCGGTGGAGGGCGCTTTCCCCAGATCGACACGAATTGCTGAAATCGGGTCCGCCTCGAAACGGACGAGCAACTCGAACAACTCGGAGACGTTTGAAGCGGCAGCAGCCAATCAGGGACGTGATATTTTCACGTGACGCCCCTCTGGTGGTGAAGATGACAGCTGAAGACTCGGTTCTGGTTTGAAATAGATCGTTTTTGGAAATAAACCTTTTTAGAAAGACGAGTAAGTATTCTCCCAACGACATTCAAAGATATTAAAATGTGTTTTAGCGCGTAGCTGTGCGTCTAAATAGTGCAAGAAAAATCAAATTGAATGATGATGATGGCAAGTCGTAGCAATTCGGTTGCTGCGTGTGAACGCGGGCGGCCCGTGTTGCTGGTGTTGCGACGTCAAGATGCTGGGCGGAACTGCCCCGTGTGAAGCGGGCCTAACCAACGCGCATGGTTGTGACTCAGAAAGCGCGTCGGAAACAGCAAAAACGCCACCAAATACTCAATTTCCGGGAAGCGCACGACAGACGCGCGCACAAAAACGCGTTGGTTTGAATCTCGCTTTAGGCTCCCGTTTCCGCCGTCACCGCCGGCATAACCACGCGTTGCATTATGGAAAACGTCCCATAATGCAACTCGCGGGTCTCACTCATGACCCGCGCGTAGCATTATGGAATGTTTCCCTAATGACGCTATGAGGGTCCCGCGCATTGCATTATGGGTAACGTTCCATGATGCAGCGCGTGGGTCCCGAGTGACCCGCGCGTTGCATCTCCTTCGTCTACCTCCTTCTCCCTCCTCCTCCTCCCTTTTGAAAGGAGAAAGGGGGAGGAGAGGAGGAGGAGGGAGGAGGAGGAGAGGAAGAGGAGAGGAGGAGCGGGGAGATGCCAGTTACCCGTCCATTGTGCAGGCAAGTGAGATTGCCACGCGTGTCGCTGATCGTGCACCCAGATCCTCCGCGCGACAGTAAAGTATGGTAACTCACGTGTACGTGACCGAATGGTTCCCGTACTTTGCTGTCGCGCGGAGGGTCTGGGTTCGATTCCCGCGAGCGGAATGTTCTTTTACTTATTCTTTTTACTCGGTGTTCTCGCAAATTCGAGAACTTTTTTGTCTGATCGAGTAACGAATGTTCTACGCGCCGAACGTTCTAGGCCGGATCTTCCGGAAACCCACGCGGCTACAAAAGATCAGGAGATCAAATCTTGGACACAAGCTAGTACTCCTCGTGTGCAGGCGCATTGAAAAACCCGCCGTAAAAGCAGTAGAGTAAAAAAAAATTAGAGACGTTTGCAATCTGTAACGCCGAATTAGAGCACAGCTCTTGAGGAGGAGGGGAGGATATGCACCTCCTCCCTTTCCGTACCCTCGCCTCCTCCTCGCTAGCTGCCCTCCCATTTAGCGGTAACATTTCGCTACATTTCACGCTAAATTTTGCGAAAATTTCTCCACTAAATTTAGTGGGGAAATATTCCCGCTAAATATAACGGGTTAAGTTTTTTCCGCTAAATTTAGCGGGAAAATTTTCCATAATGCAACGAGCGCGGTTACGCCGACCCCGACGGTGACGACCTTCAACCCGGAAACTGGCGCCTGAGAGCTGCGCTCTAAAAAGAAATTACAGGAGAACACTTATAGTCCCGCGGGAGAAATGTTTTCGAGTAATGTTTCTACACGTATTAAAGTTTTGGGCGACGTATAGGACGACGTCCTAGAGATCGACGCCAAGTACGGCGTCTAGGACGACGCCGAGGACGACCTCTCGGGCGACTTCAAGGGCGACGTCTAGGGCGACCTCTAGGATGACCTATAGGACGACGTCGAGAGCGACGCTTAGAGGACGACCTCTAGAACGACGCCCAGAGGATGGCGGCTAGGACGACGTCTAGGTCGACCTAGACGACTTCAAGGACGATGCCAAGGGCGGTGGCGCACTTGCGCATACGATTGAGCGGCGCGTGCTTTATGACGTATCTTTATGGCCGTCTTTCGGTCACAATGACGCCGCTTTTTCGCGTAATAAAACAAGTAAGGGCTTTCGCCTTAAAAAAATAAAGAACGATATTCGAGGCTTTTTGAGAAACTGCACGCCATTTCGCTCAAATATCAACTGAAGAATGACACAATAGTAAAGCAATCGCAATAAGGCTTTAATGCTGTATAAGTATATAAACAAGGGTGCTTCAAAACGTGACCGCAAATCGACCGTATTTCAGGGAAGAAACACTCTGGGAGAAAGTGGTGACGTCGCCAAAAGGTGGCGTGGCGTGATTAAAAACACACATAAGTGAAAAAAAAAATTAAAGTGACTTAGTGAGGAAGAGAGTTACTGCGCACGCTCACAGCGCCTTTTACAGCCCAGCAGACAAAGATGGCGGCGCGCTGAGGGCGATCATCTGCGTACTGGGTTCATTAACTCGGTAGCGCAGAAAGAAAAACGTGAATAACGAGACTGCGGTTCTTACCTCGCGAGAGCTGGTAGTCATGTTGCGCCGATAAACTACGTTCTCAATTGGCAAAACCTTACAGTTCAGGTTTGACGGCCCTTGAAAGTACCGAGAAAAAAAGAACAAAAAAACGATAATAGATTTTTTAGAGTCGCGTTGAAATAATGCAGACTTGTGCTGCGTTTCACAAGTTATGTTCCAAAATAAACCGATGGAATTCAGCACTGCCATGAAGTGTATGAATTATTTTAAACCGTCACTACCGTTTTTTTTTAGCAAAAAAGAAAAAAAAAAAAAAAGTAAGACGCATTTTGTTGTTTTTGAGCGTAAGATATTCTGAGTTGATTATAGATATTCCCCAAAATTCTTACATCAATGTGCGGACGCAAGCAATGATTGAGGACTAATCAGAAATCAGTGTTGCCACAAACAACACGCACTGCCAAAATCGCGTAACCGTTTCCCAAGCCAGACGGCATAACCGATACATAAAAAAAAGAAACTCAGTCAATGTTTGTATTTAGTGACCCTGAGCCATATGAAAAATCAACAGAAAAAGGTAAAAAACCACACACACACGCACACACACACACACATAATATTTATACTGATTTGAATATATTAGTCTTTTAGGCGTTTTACAAGTGTAGAGAAGGAAACGGGCATATTTAAATGGCTGCATAAAAATGAGGTCAACCAATGTTTATATCCATTGGCAATGGGCAACCAGTAGCAAAAATTGGAAGAAAATGAAATATCGACCTCAAACATTTCAAAAGTTGAGGTAGTTTTGACTATAGTTTCGAGCCGGATATAATTTTTATTTCAATTACCGTCACCCATATGAATTGTATAAAGGGTATTTAATTTGATTTTGAACAGATTCTTCAAGGGGGTGAGGGTTAGGCGAGTACCGTCTTTACCATGCGTGTATGAGGCTTGGCGGACGTTAGATAATTAGGTAATAATCGTAACAAGCTGACTAATTAACCAACATGTGTTATATTACCATCCTTATTATTGGTTTTAGGGGTTATATTGCAATGGCATTATTGACGACAGTTACTATTGCAGGTCAGACTAATGTAAACATTTGCAGAATAATAATGGTATTTGAGATATTAATATTTCTTTCGCGTTTCTTCAACCGATTTAAACATTGCGCACAAAAAAGCGCCGCAACCCTTGCCCACAACGACGCTTAGAAAAGTGACGCAGTAGTTTAAGCCACGTGGCCATTTCTGTTGCCGGCAATACGACTAATGCCCGAGTTCCACTAGAGCGACGAGCAGAAACAAACGACACCGACAAGCCTCAAACTGGAGTCTTGCGCGATTTGACAGGCTTTGTAGAATAAAGGAGGCTATGCTCAAACACGAGCATAATGCACGCGAGGGTACCTTTGGCAGGCCTCCAATCATTCGTGTTTACTTCACGAGCACCGTATGAAGAAACGCCTGCCGAAGGTACCACCGCGAGCATGCTGCGTGTACAAAAAGTAAGGGCGCAAACGAGCTTTTCAACCATTGCACATGGTTGAAAAAACCCCGAGACTGCGAGTAAACGACACAACACTAAAAAGTCTCTAACACAGCTGAAATTTTAATTTTCCGAAATCTGGTTATATAGGCACTTCGATACAAAAGAAAAAAAGGGGGAGAGGGTGAGAACCCCAAAGAATGCCACTTTCCACCAATGTAACCTTTGACTAAATACAAGGACAACGGACTCTGCGTCATGCACCTCTCTTATCTTTGACCCCTCGCTACCCGACCGCCGGGAGGCACTCACTTGATCGAATGACGTTTTAGCGAACGCCCACGTTTCATCGAACGACACTTTAGCGAATAGTCGGACGCCGCGAAGCGGCGTTTTCGGGTGGGCCAAGTGAGTTCATATTTTTGTAATGAGTTGCCGCAGACTGTCGCCGCGAAGCGGCGTAAAGCGCAGCGCGGCGGATGGGTTAACGCGCGCCCCCGTTATTCGCTAAAACGACCATTCGCTCAAATGTCGCCGTTCGCTAAAATGTCATTCGCTCTTGTGATATGGACCCCCGACCGCCAAACACACTGGTAACCCCAAGCCCAGTAACACATATACAAAAAAGAAAAAAAGAAAAGAACGACCCATCGTCCCCTCTACCCGAAAACCGACAGACATAAACCTTGAATGTCAGAACTTTTCACAGCCTAAGAAAACGCCGCAGCTCATTGTCCAACCCAAACGACGGCTTATTAACTGCATTCCCGTGACCTAATATCGTTAATGACTCTTTTATCAACCGCTTATGATCATCTTTTTCCCGCAACTCTACTGAAGTTAGATGCCACAACGGTACGCAGTTTCTACATTCGATAACATGTTTTGACACTTCGGAGTACGGGTCTTTTTTCATTATAGAACGTTTGTGTTCCATCAAGCGCTCATTTATACAGCGTTTAGTCTGTCCAATATAACAGAGGCCACAATCAAAGGGTATCTTGTGAACGAGACCCGACGAACATTCTACATCCCTTTCTCTGTGTTTTATCGTGCAACCTGAAACAGTCGAGGCAAAAAGGGGTCAAACGGCTCAATCTATAATCTGTAGAAAAGGCAGTGCCAATATTAAACCTGCTGGCTAGCGCTTTGATGTTGTGCGAAATTTTATGAAAATATGGAAGGACTACTCGCTTTGAAGGTCTAGGATTTTTCCGAATTGACTTCTTTGGACATATCATATACATCAACTGGCTTAATATATGTTCCTGAGGATATCCAGCAACCTCGAAACGTTCTGTCAGTCGACGAAGAGAAGAGCCAATAAAATGTGAGCATGACTTCTGTACTGTTGAATTGTCGAGATTCCGAATTATTCCCAGTTTGACATGTTTAGAATTGAAAGGAAGAAGAGGTTGTGCTGCGAACTTTCCGTACTCCCAACAAAGGCCTGAACTATTCCTAAGTTGAATATCGAGGTATTGTAAACGGTCGTCATTCGGTCTCTCTAGCGAAAACTTTAATTCGGGCGCTGCTTCGAACACTACTTTCTCCAAAGAATCCGCCAAGGAGCCATCTGTTGAACAAACCAAGATATCGTCTACGTACCTCCTCACCAGAATTTCCTAAGGGGATCTATGTCTAAAAGACTCTAGAAGACGCAGATCTAGGTCTCTTAGATAAATATCCGAGAGAGTTGGGGCTACCGCCGATCCAATACACACACCCTGTTGCTGAATGTAACTTTGACCGTTATGTTGCACCACCGTAGAACCTAGATACACTTCTAAAATCCTGAGAACATCCTGAACAGATACCCCCGACTGCGACTGGAAACTGACCAAATGTTCTTCCAAAAAGCTGCTGACCCTAGCCAATAACGTCTTAGGTTCTAAAGAATTGTACAGATCTTTTATGTCAAGTGAATAGATCGTGCACCTCTTTTCGTGGAAAGGTTGCAATTCAGCTACTAAATCATCAGAACACCGCAGTGACAACGGGGATCTAGTATACACGATCGTGAGAGTCTTCTGAAGAAATGAGGACACTATATAGACCTTTTGACGGTTGTTTGAAAAAGTTCAAAAGGGAAATTGTGAGGGTTTGTAAGGACCCCGATCTAGCAGCTTTGACCACCAGAATTAATAATGTTTCTAAAGACACGTTTGGCATTAAATGTTTCCTTAAAGATCATAAGGTAGATCTTCCTCTAAGAGTAGTCATAAACGAGAATGGCACATGGCAGAAAATAGTGTCCTCATTTCTTCAGAAGACTCTCACGATCTTGGATACTAGATCCCCGTTGTCACTGCGGTGTTCTGATGATTTAGTAGCTGAATTGCAACCTTTCCACGGAAAGAGGTGCACGATCTTTTCACTTGACATAAAAGATCTGTACAATTCTTTAGAACCTAAGACGTTATTGGCTAGGGTCAGCAGCTTTTTGGAAGAACATTTCGTCAGTTTCCAGTCGCAGTCGGGGGTATCTGTTCAGGATGTTCTCAGGATTTTAGAAGTGTATCTAGGTTCTGCGGTGGTGCAACATAACGGTCAAAGTTACATTCAGCAACAGGGTGTGTGTATTGGATCGGCGGTAGCCCCAACCCTCTCGGATATTTATCTAAGAGACCTAGATCTGCGTCTTCTAGAGTCTTTTAGACATAGATCCCCTAAGGAAATTCTGGTGAGGAGGTACGTAGACGATATCTTGGTTTGTTGAACAGATGGCTCCTTGGCGGATTCTTTGGAGAAAGTAGTGTTCGAAGCAGCGCCCGAATTAAAGTTTTCGCTAGAGAGACCGAATGACGACCGTTTACAGTACCTCGATATTCAACTTAGGAATAGTTCAGGCCTTTGTTGGGAGTACGGAAAGTTCGCAGCACAACCTCTTCTTCCTTTCAATTCTAAACATGTCAAACTGGGAATAATTCGGAATCTCGACAATTCAACAGTACAGAAGTCATGCTCACATTTTATTGGCTCTTCTCTTCGTCGACTGACAGAACGTTTCGAGGTTGCTGGATATCCTCAGGAACATATATTAAGCCAGTTGATGTATATGATATGTCCAAAGAAGTCAATTCGGAAAAATCCTAGACCTTCAAAGCGAGTAGTCCTTCCATATTTTCATAAAATTTCGCACAACATCAAAGCGCTAGCCAGCAGGTTTAATATTGGCACTGCCTTTTCTACAGATTATAGATTGAGCCGTTTGACCCCTTTTTGCCTCGACTGTTTCAGGTTGCACGATAAAACACAGAGAAAGGGATGTAGAATGTTCGTCGGGTGTCGTTTACAAGATACCCTTTGATTGTGGCCTCTGTTATATTGGACAGACTAAACGCTGTATAAATGAGCGCTTGATGGAACACAAACGTTCTATAATGAAAAAAGACCCGTACTCCGAAGTGTCAAAACATGTTATCGAATGTACAAACTGCGTACCGTTGTGGCATCTAACTTCAGTAGAGTTGCGGGAAAAAGATGATCATAAGCGGTTGATAAAAGTGTCATTAACGATATTAGGTCACGGGAATGCAGTTAATAAGCCGTCGTTTGGGTTGGACAATGAACTGCGGCGTTTTCTTAGGCTGTGAAAAGCTCTGACGTTCAAGGTTTATGTCTGTCGGTTTTCGGGTAGAGGGGACGATTTGTCGTTCTTTTCTTTTTCTTTTTTGTATATGTGTTACTGGGCTTGGGGTTACCAGTGTGTTTGACGGTCGGGAAGCGAGGGGTCAAAGATAAGAGAAGTGCATGACGCAGAGTCTGTTGTCCTTGTTGTTTAGTCAGAGGTTACGTTGGTGGAAAGTAGCATTCTTCGGGGTTCTCACCCTCTCCCCCTTTTTTTCTTTTGTGGGGCTTGTGAGTTTCTACAATCTGAATATGAGACACAATTGCCCTGGGCAGCAAGTTTACTACTTTGTAAAGCAATTATCAGAAGAGCTAAAAAAGAAGCTATGCTCTCATACAAATGTGTGCTATAGTTCTTGATACGTGAAGAAACATTAGCAGGCTGAGTAAAGTAAACAGTATGTGAACGACGGTCAAATTTGCCACAACTCAGGTCGAGTTTCTGGAGCATTCTATGGCTTCGCACTTCCGATTGTTTTCCTAAACAACTGCTAGGTTTTTATGTACTTAATACAGTTTTGTTCATCGCAGAAAATATGCTATCACGTGAGAAGACACATTAAGTTTAAAATAAAATCATCGTGAAATATTTGAAACGGTGTTAAAAGATATTGAAATAATGTTTGTAGTTTGGGTTTCAACCACAATGGTGTCCCACTCCAGTTCAGGCAACATCAGCGGTAAATGGCATTTGGTCGGCCATGCGACAGCAGCCAATGTAGCAGAAGAGACTTTAGCAAACAGGATAGTTTATGAAATTAACTTTTAAGCTGCCATCGGACTGGGGTATTGAAAAGGTGAAAGGCAGCTTATCTTCTCTTTGGACAAAATTGCGTTGGGAAGGGGCCCCTTTCCCATCTCGTATAACTGAATATGTGATGCGTACCTTTCAGGCGTGGTATTTCAGTAGTTTGTTCAAGAACAGGCTTGGCAGACTGCATGTTCACATTCCCGTGTTCGTTAAAGACGTTTGAAGGTGCCGGGAGCACACATTCGGGAAATGGTTTCTCCCATTCGCTGTGTGCAAGACAGACAGCTCTCGCTTCGCCTCTCAGAACGTAAGGGGGTCTGCATCCGACTGTGACAATCTCCTTGTTTACCCGTGTGACCACAGTCGTATCCAGATGGGCAGGAATGTTGCAGGAGTGTAGATCTAGTGCGTGAAAATTGAAGCTCTAGTTAAAAGAGAAACTGGGGGCGTGTTCCGATTAAGAATGTATAACCGATTAACTCGTGACCTTCAGTTGAATGATAAATAACTTAATTCATACGGTTAAAACATGAAGGTTAATAAATTCCTAAATGTAGTGAGAAATTATAGCACTATATTTTTTACGTCTCAATTGGTAGAATCTGCAGTCTTTACGGTGCAGAAACGAGAAGTGTAGTGGGAGCCATTTTTTTGGCACACATTTAAATGCTTTGGGCTGTTTGCAGTATTAGGATAAAGGACAGAAGGAAATGCATACACCTCCTATAGACATCAAGTTGCCAGATTCTACAACTGTTTATGCAACTGAGAAATGTGAGATATGTGTTAATTGCTGGGAAAAGTTTATTTCAAGTATTAGGCAGTGGACTTAGAGACAGCACAGTTTGTACAAGTTCCTCGTCCCCCGAATGCAGTAGCAACATGCAAAACTCCAATAAGAATACATATTTTCCAGCAGAAAGTCAATCAGAAAATACAGTGTAGGTTTTAGGCAAGTTTATATTCTTTAAGGGCAGGTTATCAGTGATTAACTGATCTTTTAAAACAATTACCGTTAGAAAAGAGGCACATTTATGTGAATACATTTTTACATACAGGATACATATCAAGGCAGTGTAAGTCTTATATTACTGACTGATTTTGACAATTATAAATATAGCAGTTGATAGAAGCATCACTAAGACTATGACAACCCCCTTGAAAGGTCCACTTTTGACGGAATATTTGGTTAAAAATAAAGTCGTTCAAAACCGCAATCGTTGATTAATCGCATAGGTTAACCGAATAAATTCCCTTCCCTTATAGATACAGTAAAACGTTAGTCTATATCAACTGCGATTCTGATAAAATATATAACAGTTCTCGCGTATCTTTTTTCGTCCATAAGGGCGTTTTTGTTCTTAGCTGGACAATTTATTATATATTTCTACTTCATAAACTTCCCTTCAATACCTGATGTACAGTGGCGTAACTAGGGGGGGTGGGGGGGGGGGGGCAGGGGGTGCAAGTGTCCCGGGCGCCACTTGGGAGGGGGCGCCGAGCCGAGTCCACCCAACATGTGCCCGATGAAAAAAAAAAATGTCAGCGGGGCTACGCGCTGCCATTTGGGGGGGGGGGGGGGGGGGGGGCGCGCGAAATCTCATTTGCTATGGGCGCCGTCATATCTAGTTACGCCACTGCTGATGTAGGCTCCGCAGGACTGCTATATCTTGTAAGGCTTTCATATGTCTGAGCCGACTGAAAAAGGCGTTGCCAACTGTAACCGTTCAATAAACCCTTTAAGGTTCACCAAGCCAAGAAGCCTTAAATAAATTGAGCGTGCCAATCACAATGCAATCTGTGTGGTACGCTCTGTGGATCTTGATGCTCAGTACTTCCGCTTTTCTTACGAATTTCTCGTGGCCAATTCTACGATGATTTATTTACGGGCACTGTGATGTACATGGTGTCTTTTCATAAAATATGAGACTTGCAGCTCCGTCACATTCAATAAAAATAACTCAGTACTTACAACGGCTGCGAATTTTAATTATTTGAGGGGGATATTTTTTGTGGTTTGAGCAACGAACAATTCCCTCGTAATCCTCAGGAAGAATGAATTTTGCTGACACGTAATGCATACTCCAAAGCCCTTTGAGAATTGAACGTACACCTTAAAGAGAAAAAAAAAAGAATGTTACCATCAGGCCATGAATGAATCTTGAAGCTGTTACATTGTGCACAACATTGATGGGTTGTATTATGACATGACCCATTTATTTGTATTAAGCATATTTAACTTGGCCGAGGACAAATGAGCAAAAAAGAAACAAACAGACAGGCGTCAAATAGCTTTGCCCAGCTGTAAAAAACTCGTGTGGCACCGTTTTCTTTCCTTGTCTGCGTCAGTTAGGCAAAGGTTGCTATCAGGGATGGCAAAACACTTGCAAAAATGTATCGAAATACCAATACCAAATACTTAGGCAAAATATATTTAATTACATTCCCCGGTACAGGCTTTAGAAAAGTAATTATATACAAAATGCAAATACAAAGCGGGATATATTTTACCATCTTCAAATACTTTTGTTGTGTTCCCATAGTTCGTCATATTAAACTTCAATTTTATCCCGGGTAAAAAAGTCAGCGCCGAAATAAGACGTGGAGTGTATATCAAGTTCTAAAAAAATAAAGTTGCAGATTTAAAAATAAAAGTTATTTGACGTACGATAGGCGGGTCAAGATAAAGAAGATGTATTCAAAGCATGTTTAATTTTAAAATTTTATTTGTGAACAACAAAATCCCTTTCAAGCAGCCATTTGTTAACATGACATTAAAAAAATAAAAGCATCCAACTAATAAGTCAACAATCATATACCTATTTCGCTCACCCCTTGTTCTTCTCTTCCTTATTTTGATTTTATATTTTTTATCGCAACGAAGAGTGCCAAAATCATATTTATTTGCAAAGAACAGTGGCCAAAATTGTATTTGGGCGGTATTGGGAATACAAGTATTTCAAATACATAATTTCTGTATTTACGTACAATCGGCAAATACATTCCCTAAAATGCAATTAAATGCGAAATATAAAATACACAAAGTGTATGGTAAACACTTTTTTCATATACTTGTATTTGAAAAACTGCACATCCTCGGTTGCTAGTAACCCTTGATTGGAATATTTCCATGTGCAGGAAGTTAACTAGAGTAACATTGATAGTTTTAACTCGCTAAAAGACGTCAAATCATGTATTTTATTCTGGTCAAAAGGACTTGGTAACGGACTGTAATTCATTAATTTTGTTTGGTTATAAAGTAATGTTTTTCTGAGGAACGAAATTAATATAACGTAGGACCAGTCGCTACTGAAAACACAATGCTGTTATTTAGCATGCCACATTTAAAGCTACACTTGGAATACAATACTCCAAAATAGAGCCAAAACGTCCAAATTTTAAATGCGTATTTATTTTAATATATCAGGCAAATATAATGTCAAATCAGTTTAGTTGTTGTAGAAATATTAGGGGGCATGTACTAAATTTCTGCAGATGTTTAGTCTAATTCTTTCTTTTTAAAAGGATTGAAGTTTTTAGAAAGCATGTGTTCGAAATTACTGCTTTAATCTTCATTCACTACTTTTTTTTGCAGTGAAATATTTATTAAAACCAATTTGTTTTTTTACTGGTATGAAGTAATTATACATACTATTTATTTCAGACACGGCAAAGTGGTAAGTTCCATACTAATATGATTGATTTAATTTTTATTTATTTATTTACAATCATGATAGTCCCTCCGGGCAGTTAGTATTGTACTATGATGTAAACGAATCATGTTTTTGCCAGACCGCCTTGTTGTTTTTGATTAAAAACTATAGGTACTTTTTCTAGTTTGTAGTGCGGTGTTTCAACAGTCTAATCTTTTTTTCTTTTTACAACTTCGCGGTTGGTGAAGCTTCCTATATGCCGTATACAGTATCTAAATAAGAAAAATAAAACTTCAACAAAGTGGACTCACCTCCCCTCTTCCAGGAGGATACCGGCTCAATCATCTCTAGTTGCGGATGGTAATAGTAGCTTTCGCATTCCATCTCCACTTCAAATCGAGGATCAATGTTAAGGTATCCGTCCGGACTCACGGCTGTCCCTGCGGTATTCTTAAGGCGAATCACAACATCAAATTTGCCTGGCTCATAGCAGTACGGCACCTGGTTGCTCCACGTGCCGTTGATGCATTGGGACGATTCGTACCCCCCGAGCCTTATTTCGCCCAGGGGCCTACAGTGGAAGCGAAGCACCGTACCATGAGCGACGTTGTCGTTCGGGAGAACGCGGACGTTTCCATCGGCCGCATAGAAACGCATTTGACGTTCTGGAAACTTGCAACTCCTGAGTTGCGGGCTTTTAGCGGAGCTGCCGATCTCGTATGAATCTTCGCCTGGTCCGTAAGTGTTCGTGTCATGCCCGCCGCCACGCTGCACGACCACATCTGGCTGAGGTGGTGCTGTATAGGATAGTAAAAGAATTCTATTTCAAAGCAAAGAACATACTAACACAATAATACATATTTCGACCTCAAAGAACTAAGAAAAAGTGAGCAAACGTAAGGACTAGTTCATCACCTTTTGCAAATTTAGAAAATATATGAATCCCCCCACCTCCTCCATTTTCTTTTCTCAATTCGTACTTTAGAACACCATAGACTCGTTCGTTAGTATTGTAAACCTTACTTTACGCAATATTAATCTGTAATCACAAAGACTCCTCCGACTTCTAACGCATAGCCCATGCCTATTTTCTAAGCACGCGAAATGTAACATGGCCAATTCTGAATCACATTTAGAACTTGATAATAAGTATCGTGTATTTGAATATATTAATTATTTTGCACTGTGTGACATATTGAATATGCGTCTTCAACCTTCGGTGAGGCCTGGAATGTCGCTGCATTTTGTAATTCAGTGAAAAATATCACTGACAAGCCACCCTAAACTTCCAAGTTTTTGTTTACACCTAGCTTTTACGTATATCTACCTCGCTCGCTTTCCTCGGGGGGTTCTCTCAGAGTGATTACTCCACCTTTCAGCCATGCGAAGCTTAACAAGTTCTTCATTCCCGCAACAAACTTGTTCCATGGACCTGCATATTATTGCGTCATGTGCTAAAATGCTTTTAAACGTTGCCTCCGATAATATTCGTCAGGTTAGTAGTAATAGCATGCATGTTACCGGGAAGGCGTCTCGTACTGTCGTGTTTACCGCGTGTTTGTCCCTCCATTTCGGCCCGATGACGTCATAGAATTGTCATGCTGTCGCAGGCCGCGACCCTGGCGGTGCCCCAGCAGCAGATGTGGCAGACGCCTGTTCTGCTGCAGGTGCTCTCCAGCGTAGTCGACTGTCCAGCTTCAGTAGCCAAGAGTTAATCTCTGCGACATCAGCCGCACTCGCATTCTCTTGTACTTTTTTCCCGGAACTTCAGCGCCCAACCACCAGGATCGCGACATTCGACAGCGCGACACTCCGGCTTTTGTGAAAACATTTGTTGCAACTTCGGGAGATTTTCAGATGGGTGGGAGAAATAGGACACTAAACAGACCAGTCAGAGACGCATTCCTGACACCATAGTAATAGACACTTTGCACGAGGTGTCTAGAGGTATGGGAAAACACGAGACCATAATGTTATTATAATGTACGCTAGAGGTTCAACTGCCGCTAGTGTCTATGCGACTTCCGGGAGGCAAATTCAAGCAGACAGCAACCAGTCTACTTTTGCGGTGCTCCTGTGCATTCCTACGGGAAAACGCGCGTGCATTTTGTTTTTTCGCAGTAAAATAACAGGGAACACGTTTGCTATTTGGGTCGTACCGAATAATAGGTGCCTTTATTAACACTGTAAAAGTAAAAGCAATTAAAGCAATAAAAAACGTAAAAATATAAAGTATGTGGGTTATGAAGGTGTCTCTTTATTATTTTCTATGTCGGCCCGGTTTTATCAGGCACTTGTTCACAAAAATTTCGAGCAAGTGGGCGATGTTTTGAACGCAGGACAAGCATGTTCGCACTGATCAGCAAGAATAAAGCAGTACTTATTGAAAATCAAGCAATATCACGTGGCCTTCAATTTATTTTGATCGTACATCCTCATGGAGTTACTGATCCAGTGTTACTGGGTAGTTCTTGCCGCCTCTCTTGCTTTTCCAGATGTCCTACGTTCGTTTGGCACGCATATCCCTCATGCTGAAAAGCGCCGACGTCGTGTTCGCGCTAACAGTGTCCGACAGTGCACATAAATATACACGTACGAAGCCGTTTTAGCACCATTTTTAATGCGATGAATTTTCAAGAAAAACGCCGCAACTGACCAATTATTTCGTCTGCCTGACTGAGAAATGTTCCAAGCTACCTAGTACGCACGAATTATTCGGGATATTTGCTCTTATGATCGAGCGCAGGGAGAAAATGCGCTCTCTTTTTTCCATAAAAATGCATTATCGGAAGTCAATTTTCGACTGGTAACTGTCTGTTTCCATTTGCGACAGCACTCTCGCGCCAGTTGAACCTCTAGCGTGCATTATAATAACTATGCACGAGACGGCCCATTGAAATCGATCAAACATATCGCCCGTCGGGAACCCGTTTGATGTGTTTGATCTGGCAGTCGCACAGAAGCTACGATTTTCTAATTTTTTCTATAAACACCTTTTTTTATAGAATACAAATTAAAAACAAGGCCGTGAGAGATACATAAATGCGGTTTCCGCAAGTGAGTTATACAGCCAGGCGGACATTATGTCCAAGAGAGAATGCAACTAATAGATGACTAATTAATGAAAATTTACTAATTACTTTTCAAGCGGACGTTTTAGGGCGCATGCTCGTATCGAAGAAATTGAGGCAATCAATGTTGACGGCCAGCCGGTTTTTTAAAAAAAATCCTGGATTGAGCAGGCAGTTCAAGTTATTCATTGTTAAAATTGATGGAAATTTGTTGATACCGAAACCAGACGCGCGATGTCCAGTGGAAGGACAACCCTCGTTTGTCGCCGGAGGGTCACGTGTTAATGACGAAATTTGTGTCACATCTGAGTCACTGCGTACCGCACCTGATTGCTGTCGGTATTCCCTAGCTGGCGAACTAAACGGGTAAGTCACCTTAGCGGCCGCGACAAGTTGCTTTGCTTTGCTGCACGATATCATTGAGAAACGTTTTAATCATGTGCCCGAGTCAAGTAAAAAAAAAAAAGAGAATATAAGTTATACTCAACAATGAGTGAATGCCTCCACGTTCTGTGATGCAAGAGTGACGAATATTTCATTATTCGCACCTGACCCTCCGGCGGGCATTGCGCGTTTTCTCTTGGTATCGACAGGTTTCCAGAACAAAATTTGGCAATGAAGAAGTCGAACTGCCTGCTCGATCCAAGATCTTTAAAAACCGGGCTAGCCTTCAACATCGCTCGATCGCCTCCATTTCTTCAATATGAGCATGTGGCATAAAACGTCTAATTAAAAAAAGTAATTGGTAAATTTTCGTTAGTTAGTCATTATCTCTTGAACATAATGTCCGCCTGACCATATAACTCACTTGCGCAGACCACAATTTTGTAGCTTTAAGGGCCTTTTTTGAAAATCTGTATTTAAAAAAATATTCTTGTATACAAGCGCATTTGCCTACTTTTGTTCGCAATATTGTTAATTGGTTTTAGAAATTCCTAAAAAAAAGCAGCCTTTAAACCTTGCTAGTGATCGACAAAGCGCGATTTAGTAAATTGAGCGCTTGGCTTGCGATGATCGCGTCAGCTTCGTATACAGTAATCAGACGCATTTAATTTCTATTCCTTATCCGCTCATGACATTCGAGTTCATAAAAGTTTTTCGTCATATATTCTCAAAACCTATAACGTGTCATTTTACAGTCAATTACTGCAACAAACAATATACGAACTTTATCGGACAAAAACTATTATCTACTATGGCGAACCAATTTTGACGTTCTTGAACTGAAACCGCCTAAAACCAGGGACATAAATGTTAAGAGGGACAAAGAATAAAGATGCTCGCAGGTCCTGTTAGCATCTATATTTTTCTGTCCCTGTCTTTAGGCGTTTTACTTCAAGAATGTACAATTAACTAGCGCAACTTGTCGTCTTAGTACAATTTGAACGTACTATATTATATCAAACTTTTAAACCAGCACCCACAAGCTTCGAATGTTGCTGCAAAAAACAGTACTTTCTTAATCAAATAATCATACCTTCAAACCAATAGTGTATATCATTTTGTGCTGAAAATCGTAAAAAGTACTTCTATATCACTCATTTTTTTTTAAATTTTACTTTACACCGTTATTCCAAAACCTAATGGGGTACAGGACCTTGGTCAACATATTTGTCCACCTTAGGTTCATGCCACCCTACTATAGTAAAGTATAATACAATGCATCCCTTGCATTCTTGAAAATATTCGCCAAATACTAAAACAAGTAACCAGCGCGATACCCCACCAGCAACTCGTACGAGCTAATAATAAAAAAAGGACAGTTCTAGACGTCTCACGTACCATGTGTGCTTAGTTTGATGTATGTAGAAGGAAAAAAAAAAAAACTAAATTGTAAAGGTTCACACCTTTATGCTCCAGGCACGATGGACGCCGACCTTCCCATTTTCCGTACAAGCACTGCATACTCTGCTGACCGTCGGACGAGTAACCTTCGTTGCATCGGAACCGAATGACACTCGTGTGGGAAATATTGGGAGTGCCTTCCAGGAACCCATTCTGGATTTTCGATATGTCTTTCAAGCGACAGTCCTCTGCACCAGGAAACATGGACCGGGCTTGTGTTCAGTAGAGGAAGGAAATATCCGTGTCTAAGAACAACACGCCAACTGTAGTAAAATATTTTTTTTTACCTTACACTCTAGAGTTCATTAGGGGAACTTTTCGCAACTGTCCTTCTATATCGATAAAGCACTATCCCGGCTGGTCGTTTCGTGCTATTCTTTTCGCTTCACATTTTGGCCGCCAGAGCACACCAATTTTCGCTGCACACATGGATGAGTGCGCTCCTTATTTCACAAATTTTCACTGCGTCATATGACGTATACACAAAGATGGCGAACACCATGACGGTGCGCTTTTGGCGCTGCGGGTCTCATTGGTGCCATGAGCTCGTAGCGTCGGCTTAGATACAAGTAATGCGTTAGGTCCAAGTCTGCTGAGTAAAGTCCCTCGGCACCGACTCCCATCGCTTCAGCAAGTGGGCAGACGGAAACATCGTCGATAATTGAGACGACACAGCGAGATAGTGCTCCTCTAATATAAGTGGACGCTGTATTTTGACTGAAAGAGTGAAATATTAAACTAGAAAGCTCCGCGAAAGTTAGGCCGAACACTGTAATGTTGCCAATCGTAGCCCATGCCGCTACAGCTGTTTGACACGACATCTTTTCCTCGTGCATGTAAATAATTGACAATTGCTTGCACAGAAAAGATAGAAAGTTTGAACATGCTCGTAAGCGCGAAAATAACTATTGTATGCCCATCGATTGAATTTTAGAAGTAAAAATAATAAAGATATAACGGGTGCTTTGATCCTACTGGCTTTGCAAAAAGGCTGCTCATCCTCGGGGATCCATCGTCCGTCAGTGCACTTCATTCTGGAGTGGGTCGAGTCAAAACTGTGGTCGCACTCGTAGTCCAAGTACTCCCCATCGTAGAAAACAGCCTTCTGTAGTATCAAGTGAACAGCCTCTTTTGGAAATCCGGTTTCATTGCAAAAGGCTGAAAAATAGTTTGATCAAAATGCTGCAGTTAACGGCGATTTTGTGTTCGATCATAGCCTCCTCTATACTCACAAAGCCTGGCAGTTCGGCGACAGAACCATAGAGTGCTCGGTCGCAGATTTGGAGCGCGAGGATCTGGTAGCACGGAGCATCAAAGAGCCGTTTCTCGGGGAACCTGGACGTCAACGCACAGCTTTTTGCAGCGGCGAGGACCCGGAACACACTTGCTCGCTCGGGAGAAGTGTGTTTCGTCGTCTCGCCGCAGCGGGGCGCCATTCACGTGTCTCTCCTCTCACCCGTTGTCTGCCATTCCACCTTTTCCATTTCGGCGGCCGCTTCTCGTGGCGATCTGCCAGGCTTTGTCAGTATATAGGAGGCTATGGTTCGATACATGTTGACTCACGTGCATCCAACATTCCACGCACGCTGTTAAGACGAATACATCACAAAATTATTTCTCTTAAAATTTGTTAATTTAACTTAGCTTAACCGAATCAGCAAATCTATGTGAGTTTAGTTTAAACAAGAACCAAACATGTGCTATGTGAAAAATTAAAGAAGTAATTATTCAGTCTATTGTCAGGTTGTGGAACAACCTAATTTTCGTTAAACAGGTCGCATTTTATAGTAAGCGGATTAACGCCAGGGAACGAGAGGGGGTCTTTGTAAAGCCGGCAGGTGCCGACAGGCATGCTACAGGCCACGGTGTACAGGCCCAGGAGCTCGATTCTAAGATGCGTTCGGTGTGTACGGTGGCCAGTGACAGCCACTCGCCGAGTGCGAGTGCATGGAGGCAATCTGGAGACTGGCCACCAGTTGTTTGTTTATTACCGGGACGTCGGGCTTGTCTCGCTTCACAGCGGCAGGTGATTACTAAAGTAATCGCCTCCCTCGCGGTTACTTCAGTTACCACAAGGGGCTGCTCGCCATTCAAAAGCACTAAGAATTCAAGGCCCTATACATGCGCTCACCAAAGAAGCAGGAACCGTGGAAAACTTCTAACTGAAATTTAAAATGTGCCCATGACACCCTCTACTCCCGAAGAAATTTAAACTCTCGATCATTCTGATGAACCCGGAGATCACGAGAGCCTGTCGCGTGCACAGCGCGTCCAAAACCACCCAAAGTGCCCGGCAACCAAGCGTAATGAGTCATCAATTTTTACCTTGAACTTTATTAAATCAACGCGTCGTGCGTCTATTGCGCGTAATACACGTGTTCGACACATTGGTCCTGTTCCGAAATGTACTCGATTTTACTGAAGGGTGAGGGTTTTGTACCTTGGCGTTCCAAAACCTACCCGCGTACCGGCGTTGCTCTATCTGTGTTGTCACGTGACACGACCCGCCGGAGTCACTCGGACCTATTTGGGTAAGATTCGGAGCACAGCCATTCTGTGCTCCCCGGGCTTACTCGAATAATCGAGGCAAGTTTATTTATTTTGAAAGTAAAACAAAAGAATGGTGTCATGCATATGCAGAGCAGGCAATTTGCAATTTTATAATAAAAAAGTAATTCAAAATAAAATAAATTAAAATACCCAATGAGGAAAAGAGGAGGAAAAGAGAGCCCCCGGGGACAAAACAATACCGCGTTCTGGTTGGAATAAATCGCGCGTTGACGCCAAGCCTCTAATTCTCTCCAGGCTGTTCCAACGCCTTCGTGCACGTTCCAAGATTGAGTAAAGACAGAGATAGCTGGCTTAGCGCGAACGCCGTGACGTCACGTGATGTTCTGGCATCACGTGATGCTGTGACGTCACGTGACGTTACCTGACGTCGTGTCGTAAGGTCACACGACGTCAGTTGACAACTTGATGTGACACCGTGACGTCACATCACGTGGTCCCGTGACATAAGGTTGCGTGAACCACGTTCTTTCCTGATTGCAACCTATGTCAAATCCCACCGTGACGTCACGGAGGACCTCTAAACGCTATGCATGTGAGCACCTTTGGAACACACCGAACAGACAGACATATTGTTTTCTTAGGAGAGTTTTATCAGCTGAATTCAATAGGAACCGTCACGAAGTAGCGTCATAAAGGGCCGTCACATCAGTTTCCCTACTAAATTTAGCGGCGAGATTGGCGTCACTTGACCACGACGTGCAGTTACCTCGTGATCCGTCGTCAATTTACCCGCGAAATTCAGCGGCGAAATCAATGTGAAGTGACCATATCGTGTCACCTCCAATCATGTGATGTCAATTCCTGCGAGGTAAAAACTGCGCCCAACGCGTTCTGCACTCATCGCGGTCTTTGGCAGCATGATCAAGCTGGCGTAACATTTTCGTTTTCCGGGGGCATTTACACCAAATGACGCCTCATTCAATTACATACTTTCATCACCTTCTACTGACGGCTGACACGGTCAAGTTACGTTTTTCAGCTTTCAGTTTCCTTGTGTTCCCCTCCACGGAGGAAAGGGAATAAAAATGATTGTGGTTTTATTTCCTTAAATAACAAATCGTGCTAAGTTTTTTTTTTTTTCGTGTAGTGAGGGAAAGTATACTCGAGCGGATTGCTAACAGTAAATAAAATACGCGTCAAAATAGGAACGTTTTTAACGTGCTCATAAATTATTACAAATCCACAATGTGTCTGCTAACTCCTTATTTCACTCCGTGCCATTATTCGGGATAACTTGGCATTGTTGTTTTGACAATCTCTCGAAGGCTTTACTCTTTTGTTGTCGTGTGTCTTACATCCGTAACCATTTTCAACGAAGAAATATAAGGAAACTTACTCTGGTGACATTTTGGTAATGTTCCAGTAACTTGGCCCAGCCAACAGTACGCAGCAGTTCCATTACTTAGAAGCCTGTACTCTGGGTTACACTTGTACTCAAGTTCTTGTCCGTGCGGAACAGGGCCGATGACTCTGGCATTTTTCACCTCGGGGAGTTTCCGACAGGGCTCTGCACAAAGGAAAAGCGTGGCTTCAGATTGTATGTCATAGGCAGGCTTAAGAAACAACTGCAGATGAATGTTTCCTCGGTCAACACAGGCACCCTCCATTGGGACTCAATGACAGGAAACGCAAAGCGTTGCTTAATATGCTCACGTTTCTTGCTTCGTGATTCGTCCTTCGACCTTCTTATCGACTAGTGCCAGGATCTGATTAGTTGCAGGGCGATAATAAAATCGTCGGGTCTCGTCGTGCCGTGCGTTTTTTAAGTTGCCAGTGACTGCTTTGTGAACAAATGATATTTGCGTTATAGCAAACACATAAAAACTCAAGAAAGAAATAATCACTAGAGGCTCGTGATATTCGGTACGTAAGTTTAAGAATGGTCGAATTTATTATTTCCGTCTAGATCTATTAACACCGACCGTAAGGTATAAGAATGAAAATAGTACGGTTTTTGTTTTATTTTAAGCCACATGAAAAACAACAAAGCACGGTGTTAAATAAACAATGCTTTTCTTAAAGATTTACTAACAGCAAATTAAAGGGTTCGTTTAACTACTGCATTATTAATTGAAGATTTTCGGGACAAACAATTTATATTAACGAGCAGACATAACTGCAAGAGATTACGGCCACTTCAATGTAGAAAAACAGCCCATAAAACGCGAATATATTGAAATGTTCTTTCGTTTTTGGTTTATAAATTACCGAAAAAAGAATACTTTGCACCTTTGGGGCTTTTGCCAATAAAAATATAAAAATCTCTCGTGAAAAAACACAATTTTTAGGACAGTATTTCTTTTCTTTTGGTAGCCTAAACTCTGCACATATACGTATGACACAAGAAGTTGTACGATACAAGACCTTTGCGTCACTATAGTCACACAGAAAGCGAGAACGGCAGGGGGGAGCTTCAGCTGTCCCGCCTCCCACGCGAGCTTCCTACCTTCGACAGTGCTTCGGCGTCTGGTGTACATACACCAAGCACGCGTTCGCAGTCAAAGCACAGTGGAAGACATGGAGTACGTACCGGAGGCCGGGCGTTCCAAAAACACGCCTTGCCGTTCTCACTCTGTCGTTTTTTTCCGAAACACATGTTCTTCGCTTCGGATTGTGAACAAAGCACGCTCCACATGCTCGAACGCTGAAAATGGCTCCGGCCAGAAGCCCGTACCGTTCGCGAGTGATTTCATATGCTCGGACTAGAGCCACTAAGTGAGCTACGCCTGGAGTATCGGCACTCCGTTCCCCGATCTGCTAGTGGGCGCCGCCATCTTGGTGCTTATTGCAGAGCAGACGCAACTGTCGATCGTCACAGTTAAAAAATGCGACTTCTTCAACTCTAGATACGGTGTTAGGAAGCTCAGCTGATATCCAATTGCTCTGTTGCGAACGGTTTTAACACATTTCTGGAGAACGGAAAAGCGTTTTTTGCGATTCAGACGAAGATTCAGATGACAGTCAACCATGATTTTAAACCCCAAGACGGCTGAAGTGTGTGGGCAACATGGGGATTCCAAGCGTTTGGCCCAGGTTGCCCCTCCGACAATCGGGACGCTTTTTTCGGAGGTCGATACGGGGCAGAGCAAAAAAAAAAAAAAAAAAAAAAAAAAAAAGCAGAGCAGTAGTTTGACGTTCGTGACGTCATGCCCGGTTTTCGTCAAATAGACCTATTTGTACCTATTTTGTTACCTTGACATCTTCACCCCTTCACTCCGCGCACTTCTCCGGAGTTTGCTCCCAGCTTGTTCCTCCGAAGTCAACACAACTGTCATAGTTAGTAAAAGACGGCCCGTGCCAGTAGTTTGCAAAGCGACGTAGATGGCGTTTTTCCAAGTCTCGGAGGTGCAGGAGCGAGCCGACGTTAAAAGTTTTAACTACGAGAGTGTCAACAAGAGCCACGTAAATACCTTTGCACACTCGCAGCGGACGCGTGCGTTTGATCGAAGTGCTTCGGGGCCGATTTTTTACAATTGCCACTCGATACTGACGTGAAACTCGGCAAAGAAAGCTGGGACCGGCATTGCGTAGCTGCCACAAACTGTTACTCGACAGTGACGTACAGTCGTGTCAGAATAAAAATGGCATACTAATAACAAAGTGTACGTGCGTACATACCGTTTTGCGAAGGAAATCCATACGGCGTTTATTTGAGCTCCATATTACACAAAACAAGGAGATAGAATAGATGACAGTCCCTTTTCGACGACAGTATTCGTCACCCCTGCCTCGGAAAAACAAGGAGATGACAAGGGGAAGAGATTGACCTCTTCACCTATAATTGAGGTCAGCGATCAAACTATAATACGGGAAGGGTCCACAAGGGTTGCGATGGCGCGTATTCCATTCAGCAAGCCAGCTGGTCGTGGGCAGACGGTCTTGCCCAAGGACCGTCCGAGCAACGCCGGCAACGCTGCGCCGAGTCGGAGTGCCGGCTAGGCCTAAATTCTGCCGAGCTCGCTCGGTCGGTGTCATCGTTGCCGTTGTAGCTTTTCCCGGGTGTTTGTGGATCCAGCGTTTGTGTTCGTCGTGGCCGGTTTCAAGTATACTTCCTCCTTCCTTTTTTTTTTTTTTTTTTTTTTTTGCTGTTTGAATTTGGGATTCGCGAGAAGAGCACGTAGGAAAAGAAATGTCCGTTGGTCGTCGCGACCAAGTAACTGAGCGGCGTTGTCGGTCATGTTGATTTGATCGTAGAAAGACGATTCCGGAGCTGTTGTCATACGTACATTTTTGGCGTAAGATAACACATCGCAACCCGCAACCGCCGCCTCCCTCCGCCCCAACACTGGACACAAACAACCCGCAACAAACTCTGCGCAAAAAGGAAAAAAGAAGAAAATTTTGTTTGTTGTTGCGTTTTTAGCAGTGACGTCACGGACGTCACTGCCCCGCATCGATCTCCGAAAAAGGCGTCCCCCGACAACCATGAGTGTTCATCTTGACCACGAGGGGGCCAAGGGCAACTGGCCACGCGAGTGGCGCTCCGCCGCTGATAAAGGGCCGTACGCGCGGGGGCTGTTGGGATCGCGGCGCAGGCGATGGCGCTCATTAAATGTTTACGTGTTGTTCAACCGGTGTGCTGTGTCATTCCCCGAGACGGGTAGCAGCAAGGGAAATCCCACAAGTGTCGATACTCTTAAGCATAGCTTATTTAGTGGCTCTAGCTTGGACCCAACGGTTTTCTAAGCCTAAATCTGACACGAGCTCCTTGCGTTTGATCGCGTCTCGACTGCACAAAAAATCGCGCATTAGAAGCACCCAGTCAAAGACCTACTCGCGTTTTTATTCTTTTTGGATAGTCCGCGTTAAAGAGATAGAAAAAAAAGTTTGAGCTCAACTTTTAATGAACACAACTCAACCCTAAGCGTCCCTAGAAATAAAAAAAAAAAAATGAAGATCGTGCGCGGCGATTTTTTTTTATTAAAACGCGACAAAACATCGCAACAGAACCCTTTTTTGGACACATCAGATAAAGCGGCCTGTGTTTAGGGCGCGTCGATTTAGTTTGTTCCATAAAAAAGACCGTATTTCAGGAAACACTTGAGTGCCCTTTAAGCCGAAATGAAGTGTAATACTGTCAGTTACAAGAGTTTTTTTCAGCGCGCGCGATCGAACTCTTAGTCGGGATTCAAGGCAGCATGGAGCTCAGTGTACGTGCTAAGCAGGACGAAGAATCAGGTTCAAAGTTGAAGACAGGTGATCGGGGAAAGGGGAGCGGAACTTTTAGACCACCCTCATATGTGTCAATTAAGGAATGCAGCGTAAAATAATCGAGATTCAAGGAAGAATAAACGTGTAGGACGCAGACGACACAACCACATCTGTCACGTTTCTTCGTGTCGCCTTCGTCCTACGTGTTTACTCTTTCTTCAATCTTGACCCGCACCAACAGGCTCTTCCACCATTAATGAAAAATAATGCGTACTCGTTATTGCACGCCCCGACTGCGCTAGGAAAGCACCAACCAAAACGTACTCACTCTCTTCACACCATGGTTGGGGTGGATCCCAGTGGCCATCACGACAAGATAGGGGAGTTAAACTCCGACCGTTGTACTCGTATCCCTCTTCGCATTTGAGGAATAGGTTATCCTTATTCAGTAGTTGAGTGCCGGGAGGAATCTAAAGAAGGCAGACAAGAGAGTTTCACGAATCTCAAGCAGAAATAAATAAAGAAGAGAGGAACATCTTTCCTGATCATAACTAGTGGAACCGAGGGGAAGGGCGAGGCTTTAAAGCTACGTAAAAATGTAAAGAAGAGTTCGGATACAGTCGGCGTTGCCAGATGCACCAGCACGCAAGACTGTTTGTTCAGCGATATGGGCTTGGAGGACAGAGCTCGTAAGAAGCGGACATCAAATCTGGTGTTTTTGTTGTAACGAATGTACATCGCTCTCACGATTGGCACCCGGTCATGGAGGTGACGTGCATTTCGTGCTTAGTATATTTTTGTACATTTTAGCATAGCCTGAATTTTTGGTATTCATTGTTCTTTTCACGTGTTTCACGAACGAACGATAGCAATAGTCTTATCGTGGAATGCTGCGGTCGGTTAAAAAATGGCGATAGCGCTTCCTTTTTTTTTTCTTCAAGTTTTGTTTAGTATTAACCGGGGGTTGCTTCATTTTGGGTTCTTAAATTTCGGAAGGCAGACCCAACCAAGCGAAGGCCAGCATCTCATGATCACATCCGATGAGATTGCCGGCGATAAGAGAACGCCGAACAAGGCGTTGCCAGTTACACCAGTTACACTAAGATGCTTGAGGATAATAATTGACGCGTTTCTTAAAGGCCGACCTACAGGATTGTCTTGTGCCGAGCAGAAAACCGGTTCCCAGTTTCCTTCTCTTCATTCCCTCTCGCTCTCTTCTCCCTCCTCTCCCTACAGGAGCGGGTCTCTGTACTAGTACTACTCCCCGCAGAAAGGAGTAAGGTCGCTTCCTTTCTTGAGCGGAGAGGAGGAATTGAGGGAGAGTCTCCTTCTTTCTGCCTGTTCGTCGGCCTTTAAGCTCTCGGTCCCTATACAAGACACCAATACTCGTAGCTCAAAGACCACGCGGAAATCCTAGAAAAGGCGGTGTGCCCAAATAGACAGGGAATGCCTAAAACCTCACGCCCCATATTACGCAAAATGCGGACCATCCGTAAAATGGGACCTATGTGAAGCGCAAGCTCGTCTGCTTCTTTTGCAGGGCCTGTGGTGACGTCAGAAAGACGCCGAGTTCTGATTGGCTCGATTGGAAGGATAGTGGGTAGACCTCGAGGCAGCTAGCATTGAGGTCTACCCACTCTCCTTCAATCAGAGTCAATCAGAGCTTGATGTTATGACGTCACCGCAACCCCTGTGGAAGTAGCAGACGAACTTGAGCTCTGCATAAAGACTTCACAGCCGGCAGCCTCTCCATGCTGGCTGCACTCAATGAGGCCATTCTTCTTTTCGTAAAACCTTAAAAGCAAGCCCAATGATTCGCGTCAAAAATTAGCAAAAATAAAAGTTGACTAATTTCTGAACAGGACCGAAATGGTTCACGAGCGTTTGTCCACATTGCAAACTACTATTCTTTTTTTTTCCGTGCTGGACGAATTTTATACCTCAGTGTATGTTCTCCTGCCCCAGTGAGACGTCTCCTCTTCCACTATGAGCGTGTTTCCAAGCTTCGGAACTTCACATGGAGCTGTAGGGAACATTTGTTTCACAGTCAGTCAGTCAGTGGAGGATTTGAAGACGGAATTGCGTAGTAATCCTGAGTGTGCGCGTAGTGACACATCCTGGCAGGATGTACGCTCAGCTCTATAGAGGCTGCAAGTGCTATAGGTCACGGTTACATCGAACTAGTCTGAAGATATACTCTAAATGACCTAATCTTTACTTGGACCGACTTTTCGCTAATACATCGGAAAAAATGAATCACGCGAATATATCGGTATAAACAAGAACTGTGCTGTCTGTCCTTGTTCCTAACTGTTTTTAATCTTTCTTTCATTCTTGTATATCGGTATATATAACATATCTCTCTAAATTAAAAAAAAAAGTGCCTGCCAGATATTTTAAGATCCCCACCTAAAGAAAAAGAAGGTCGCAAAAGATTAGATTCACAAAAGTAAAGTCATTTACAGCACTACGTTTTAATAATTCACCGTCAAAACTCAGCCACCGCGACGCTTTACAGCGTAAGAAAGTGGAATAAACATTTTTTTTTTTATTTCTTTATTCACCGTCGACACAGCACACGTTTGTATGCGGGTGTCTATGGGAACGTTCCTGCATTATAAAGCGCAGATACTGCGGTCGACTATTGTTGGCTGTCTGCGCGATGCGGGGGCAATCAAATACGGGTTTGTGCACCCGCTTATCCTCTGCGTTCTTCCGCTCTAGACGGCCGAGGCTTTATACCGATGGATTCGTTTTAAGCTGGTGGGAAGGGTTCTTGGAACCATGAAAGTGCCATTGGATGTGCGTCGTCGTACGCTGAAATAAATTATTTTCTTGGAAACACCTTAATTATTGCTGCTTCACGGGACACCTTCTGCTCCCTGACGCAGGATAACTTTAGTAGACATCTTCTGTCTCATAAAGTTATAATCAGAGGCTACCAATTAGTGATTCATCGTCTTACTCTAGATGGTCAAGTGGTTTGTCTAGCATTTTTATATATCTTTTCGGCGGTGGTGAGGTTATTACTCCCGCCCCCCCCCCCCCCCCCCCCCCCCCCTTTCCGTCCCCACTTTTGTTATTCTTCTACAACAAAGCTAGGGCGATAAACTTTAGTTGGATGCCCATCAGTTCTAGTTACGCATTTTATAAATGTTCTGTATTAAAAGGCTTGCTTCAGAGTTTTCTCAGATATAGCCTCCATTGGAGATGCAGAGCTTTTAGAGGAAAAAGATCGCCATAAAGAATTGTCTATAAGACAGTTTTGAAACCGAAATGACTGAAAGCAAAGATAAAAAATATATAATCTATAATATCTAGAAACTGATTCCTGAACTTTGGGTAATGCATAGCTCAGCGACCTCGTGGTGAAGTTTGGGTGCACCCAAATGGAAGAAAGGTTGCTGTGTTAACTTCGAAATTTCTAATTTTGCGCATTCTTCATTACGATTCCAAACTCTATTTTCTTTCGTTAGATAAGAAGCATGACCCTCATTCAAAGGCAGAACATGCAATTCTAGAAAAGGCGAATGAGGACCTGATATGCTTCTTACTTTCCTTCATGTAAAAACCATGCGGCATGCCTAAACAATAACTTAATAAGAGTTTCACGCTCTTTAGGCTTACAGGGTTTAATATGAGATAGCCTATTCAACAAACATGTTCATGATGATTAATTTAAAATAAAATAGCCATAGAATAAGTCAAACATTGTGAAATAGTAAATTACAATCTTTTAAAGTAAATTTTCCAAAATAAAAACAGAATATGACAGTAAATAAATGTAGTATATAACACCAATTGAGCACGAACCCAAAAACTCAGTCTATAGTTATGGCAGGTTCTTTAAAATCATATATAATGTATCTGGTCTGTAAACAGGTCGGGCAACACAAAATAGTCACAAGGTAGTCTCATAGACATCTCAAGAATAGCCCAGAGATTCCGGTAAGAAGACAATTACAACTCACGTTTAATTCTCTTTGATTCCCTCTGGCGCATGCTAACAACCGCAACACAAAACCATTCGGGTAATTTCAGTGTGTATTTAAGACTTTTAGAAAACACGAGAGTCTCGTCCTAAATAATCTCGAATAGACCCTTTTCAAAACCCCATCAAGCAATGTTGGCGGTAGCCATTTTTTGGGCACCAAGCGTGGGACTGTATCCGAGTTCCCGCCGAATGCCGACGCAGCCCTCGCGTCCAATCAACACTCATAGTACGTGTCTAAAAACCATGGAGAATAGAAAGGTAGGAGAGGGCATGACGTCGGTCGCGTAGCCTCCACAAGCCATGCTCCCTTGACGCCTCGCCTCTTTCTCATTTTCCTCCGTACTCTCCTCACTTACCATGCCAACGTGACCACATCACGTGACCGTAGCTAGACTTCGTCTTGCTATGGGGTGCTAGAACACACCACAGTCTAGACTTCGACCTGATAAAACCTACCGGACGGAGCGCGCGCAAGCCTGCAAGGAGTCCTTCTACAATCAACCATCCATCGCACACGTGACATGTCACGCCCACCAATTGCCAGAGAGATCTGCGGTCACGCTGGGCACAAAATTGTTTAAACTTTTTATGACTAGACTTCACCACTATTGCAACGTGTCCCCTCCTCATGGAGAATAGAAGGGTAGGAGAGGGCATGACGTCGGCCGCCTAGCCTCCACAAGCCAAGCTCCCTTGACGCCTCGCCTCTTTCTCATTTTCCTCCTTACTCACCTCACTTACCATGCCAGCGTGACCACATCACGTGACCGTAGCTAGCCTTCGTCTTGCTATGGGGTGCTAGAACACACCACAGTCTAGACTTCGATGTGATAAAACCTACCGGACGGAGCGCGCGCAAACCTGCAGGAGTCCTTCTACAATCAACCATCCATCTCACACGTGACATGTCACGCCCACCAATCGCCAGAGAGATCTGCGGTCACGCTGGGCACAAAATCGTTTGAACTTTTTATGACTAGGCTTCACCAATATTGCAACGTGCCCCCTCCTAGTACTTCTAACCTCCTTGCCCCTCCTAGCACTTCTAACCTCCTTGCTAAAAACCCTTTTCGAAACTTTCAAATGATGCATAGATAACGCGCGGCCGCCATTAGTTGGTCATGCACCGTGAGCAGTCATTAAATACGAGCGCTTCGTCGGCGTTCGGAGTGTACTCGGATCGGAGCGCATTCCACACGAGTGCTGCGTCAGTGCTCGGCGCCAACTCGGAACCAATCACGGGCTTTACACCGGAAGTGATGAGACCAACGAATGGCGGCTGCGCATAATCTATGCATCATTTCAGAATTTGGGAAAAGGTCTATTGCCGCAGCAGCTGCTGTACTCCGTTTCACTTTGTTCGACCGCAGACGACGGTACGATTCGGTGGATCCAATCAAGCACCAGCAAAAGTGAATCGTCACGGCGCTCGTTCTCGTTGTGGGTTTGGTATAACCAACTAAACCAATCAAACGCAAAACGAAAAAAGAGCAGGATCGCGGTGCGTTTACACGGATGCGGCAGTAGCGCATCGAATTGAAAAAAAAAAAACAAAAAAAAACAATCACACGTTCCCCGTCCCTTTGTCTCTTCCTTCTACCCAATCACAATCGTCACATATCGACTCGATGCGCTACAGTGGCATTCGTGTTCCCGCAGCTACTGTGCGGTCGAACTTCCAATGGAGTATAGATGGAGCGCATTTTTGAAAAGGGTTCCTTCGGAATTCTTGTCAGTTGCATTTCTATGTGAAAAGAAACGGCAAAAGTAAACAATAAAATAAAGTCCATACTCCCCGAAGCGCGGCCTTCTATGGTAGCAGTAACGGGTATATACTAACGTTTGCACTTGGGAGGGTCAAATGACCAGACGCCCACGGAGAGGCAGGTGCTCGATCTCGAGCCCACAAGCATCAGAAGCTGGGGACACCAGTAATGCACAACGGTGCCGAGTCTCTGGGGCCCAGCGTCCTTGGAGATGTCGCTGAAGCCTCCATCGGGAGGTTCAGGAGCAGGACAGGTCACCTCTACGAGGGTGTAAAAGTGCAGTGGTAAGAACATAGCGTGGAGGTTCCCAAATAAGGCAGTACTATCGAAACAATAGATCCTTTTCAGAAGTCCATCGAGCAACATTGGCGGCCGCCATTGCTTGGACACGAAGCGCGTGACTTGATCCGAGTCTTCGCCGAACGCTGACGTCACGCTCGTGTCCAATGCACGCTCGGAGTAGGTGAGCGAGCAATGGCGGACAGGCGTTGGCGCGGACTTTTGAAAAGGGTTTATTGTTACCGGAATCGCTCCGCAGATTGCCCTTGAAATGCGGTAGCATTTTGCAGCGTCTTGTACTCCGTAAACGTTACGTTATTAGACAGTTTTAGTGGACCGTACGCTATAGCTTTGCGTACGCAAGGAGATTGCGGGTCGTGAGTGCGCATGCGCCGAACGCAATAGAAGGGCTAGCGTATTGCGTACGCACGCAGCGCTGGGGATTTTGCGTTGCTGGCTAGCGGGCCTTACGGGACGCTCTCGAGATATCTCGGACCCAACGAGAGCACCAGTTTCAAGATGGCGGTTGCCTCGACTGGCGCAGCAAGGGCGACGTGGTGCTTTCGAAGTTCTGTGTTACGTGAAATTGCGTGGTGTTCAGCTCGGCGATTCTTTCTGGGACCTACCGCGGTCGAATCAGATCGCCCTGCAGCTGAAGGAGTGCACAGTGGAAATGTTCGCCGCTCGCAGTGTGCGTCGACGCTGGGATCTGCTCAACGCTAAGCCTATTCCCGCAGCTCATCGCCGACGGACGAACGACTCTAAAAGAAATCGTCGAAGTTCTCGGTATGCACTGGACATCAGGGTCATGAATTTCATTCCGCGATAGCATTGATAAAAGGTGCCGTTTCCACGGGACGACTGACGGAGGCTCCGTGATCGAACTTGGCTACGCACTCGTACTCGTAGCCTCTGTACCCCGCAGAAAAGCGCGCTTAACGAGGCAGCTGTGGCTTGGTTTAATCTGAAATAAAATGGTTGGACACTTTTTCTTTTTCAATATTTCTTTCCCGGAGCATGGTTGCGCTATAAGCACGCGGAATTCTACGGCTCTAGCAAATTTAACCAAGATAATGCGCGGTGTTCACTCAAAAACGTAACGTACAACTAAATTCGGCCCGAGCAGGTCATTTTTAGCGTACGCTATACTATTGCGTATTGCGTACGTAAGATCCAGCAACGCTATACTAAAACTGTCTATTGAACTGTTCAGGGACTGTTGCGGAAATTCGAGAAATGTTTTTTGTCGATGCCTACGAAATTTGTTTTCATACAACTGTTTCATATAACTGTTCCATCTGAATGTTAATTTCCCACGGACGGGCGTCCCGCGATCTTGCCAACGAATTTCATCGTAACATTAGTGCACTTGAAATGTTTTTATCTTACTCTCTGTAAAAAAAAACAAAAAAAAAAAACAACATAAAAATCGAAGCGCAGTGGATGAGTGTCGGGCTTTCAATATTGGAGTCATTGGATCGTTTTCTCTTAGAGGATTTTGCAAGTTTATTCTCCATGTACCTCCTTATCACTCTCCCGCACATGCGCATTCTCTTCGTTGGTCGCAAAAACATTGAAACATTGACGTACAAGGAAGTGCACAGGGTAATACCCCATTTAATATTACGACGATTCAAACAAGGATCGATGCATATTACTGTCACAACAAAACTCGTTCTCATAAATGAATTAGTCTATCTAGGGTGACACACACCTCATTTATAATTGGCTATATAAAAAGTGAAAGCCGTTTACAACTCCCTGTAACGCCGAATTAGAGCGCAGCTCTTGAGGAGGAGGATGGAAGCGTACGGGGGGGGGGGGAAGGTATACCCCTCCTCCCTGCTCTTCACCCCCTTATCCTTCTCCTCCCCTCATTCTTCAATTTCCTCCAGGGGGGGGGGGGGGGGTTACCTGACCTCGGGGGAGGGGGTCACGTGACACCTCGGGGGTGGGGGTCAGTTGGCCTCGGAGAAATAACGTGACCTGGGGGGGGGGGGGGGGGGGGGGGTCACGTGACCCTGGGAGGCCTCGCGCTGTGCATTATGGTACATTTCCCATAATGCACCGCGCGTTACGCCGACGTCGACGGCGACGCCGCTCAAGCCGGAAACGGGCCCCTAAAAGCTGCGCTCTAAAAAAACTGCTATATGGTGATCAAAGAAATATCAGCCAGTAAAGCGTGCTACTTTATCTCCTGTTGGAGGCTGTTTAAGGCCAAATATACGGCGTGAAAGTTTATCTGCTCCTTGCGTACCTGGTGCATTTGTTTCCTCTTCAAAGGCGCCCACGAGCTTTTGTTTCCCCCCTACCTCAACCAACGACGACGAGCGGTTGGCTGCCTCGTCATCTTGCGTTCCCTGCGCCTTCTCTACGTTGTCATTTGGTTGGCGTGGACCTCCTTGCGTTCCAAAGCGCTCAAGACGAATTTTCAGATACCTTCTAGCCGCATCTTCCTAAACTCAATGAAAGGCAGGACGTGGTTTATCATGTTCAGGCCCTATGCTTCGGGATTCGCCCACCAACCTTCCTAACGGCCAATGCTGAAACCTCATCAACCCCATCGCCACGATAATAAGAGGCTCGGCCATAACAAAACATATTTGGCATCTGGGAAAACTATGGTTGTTGTGGCTTCTTTTTTGTTTTTGTTTCACCAGGTAAAACGAGGTTTTTAATTTAATCGACGAGTACATTCGACGTATCGACATAATACAAATCTGCAACCCAGGAATGTTATAGCTAGCGCGGTGTTCGACGACCACTGCAAACCAAGCGTCCTCGGCCAAGACCACCTGGAGTAATAAAAGCCTATGTACTACAGCCTTTCGACAGTGAAATCGGGCGCAGATTGGACACGAGTTCTGCGTCAGCATTCGAATTGGCCTCGTGTCCAATCAACGCGTTGCAGGACGTTCGGCACTGGGCTCGGGCCCAATAGTGCTGAATTACCCATGGCTCAGGGAGCGAGCGCGAATGCAGTTAGACGCGCTGCGCGTACTACCTTCAGATGTAGCAACTGTTCTAAAGTAAAAATTCAAAACAAATGACACTTTGCACGCGCGTTCATCAAGGTCTTAATTTGGTTGCATACTTCGAATACTTAATACAGATAAGGCGAATGCGTGCAGCACTTGTACCTACGTTTCCAGCATTATAATTGATGCTTGGGTAATTCAGCAAAAGCTCTATTGTTGTCGTTGTACGAAATAGTTCGCTGGCAGGCTTTGATTAGCCCGGGTGGTCTTGGCTCAACGCTTGATCAAGTGCGCTCGTTTATGAGTGAGTGGTGAATTTGAATTACATCTCAATCGCGTGTGTACTTTATTATATACCTAAACCAACGGCAAAGTGTGTACAGCTTACCCTGACAGGTAGGAGCGTAGCCCGTCCACAGTCCATCCGGTCCGCACTTTCGCTCCGCCTCGCCTTGGAGTCGGAATCCCCGTTCGCACTGGTAGCGAGCAGTCGAGCCGTACTCATTGCCCTCTGTCTCGACAAAACCGTTGGCAAGGTTCTCCAGGGGTTCGCAGGTCACGACTGTCGGATGAGAGAAAAAAAAAATCGTAGGTTCCACCATATAATCCATCATTGATTGAGCTCCTCATCCGCCAAATACAAGTGACTTCTTAATTTAAGGAAAAAAAAAACTTCGTTAAATCTTCGTTGCCCTTGTCTCACCAAAAACGTAGCGTTCTAGACGAGACACCGACGTGTGTCATACATTCTAAAACAAAAAAAAAAAAAACTATGTGCGTTTTCTTTTTTACAGAACGCGGAGGCATCCAGTCGTGGCGAAAATAGAAGGATCGTAGCTAATGACGACTGCTTGTATTGCGATCAGACATTAAGTGAAACGCCACGCTCATTGTCCCTGCGCGTATCGAAATGTTTGCCCTAACTGTATACTGAACTTTGCCACTTGGGGGGATCCTTGTGTTGTTCGCCGTGATTTCTTGTCTCGTCTTCTGCAAAACAATTACTCTAGACATTTTTCTCATTTTTTTAGAGAGATCAGTGCTTTCCGTATTTTTTTTTCTTTTCTTGAGAGTGCAGTGCTCTTTAATGTAGTTTGGAACAGGCGAACGGCGCCTTATCTGATGGAAGCGCTATCCTGGAGGCCGCCAATGGACTTTTCCATGAAGTCTGAGCAGGGAAAGCCACTCGCTAAAGACCGCTGCCAGGCTGGAGACAACGCAGCAATTTTTCCTTCAAGGCGATCTGCACTTTTTGCCTCTTTCGGTAAAAACGTCAAGCGCAGCCAATTCGGCACAGCTGACAAAAATTACCTCGTCGAATGAATCTTTCATATTGTTGGAAACTGTACTTCCTCTACCAGAAACTCTAGTAGAGGAACCGAAACTCGAACGGAAAACTAACAAAGAGCGAAGTTTTTTTTTTTTTTTTTTTGATTACCGTAATTGGGATGGAAGCAATACTTGACTGGACGATGAATCAACATCGGAATCAATTACCTGGTAGCCAATATTCGTGTTATAGCATTTTCCAAATAAAATTCAACAGGAACCCCGAGGCGCGGTCATCAAACTTTAAATATATATAACGTGCATACGCGATAAAACCAATAATTATAAAGTTAATGAACAAATTTTATTTAATTTCTCACCAGACTGTGACAGTTGTTCGCACTTCGAATGTCCGCCGAGCTCAAGAAACATATCGTGAAGACGGCATTCACGTAGCAGTAAAGACGTCTTTTTTAAAAATTTGTTTCGAATAAAAAATATTATTCCTGTATAAAACTAAACACACACACAAAAAAAATAAAAGTGTTCTTTCGAGACAATCGGAGGGTTGGGCTTGAACTCTACCTTACACTACTTTTGTCAGCAATGTAACCGTCCTATTACAATAAAATAAACACGGAAATGAAAAAAAGGCCGACTAGAAATGTATTTTCCTACTACAATCAAGCGATAACTCGAAATAAAAAATCGAACAAAGCTTTATAACTAATTTAGGAAATCAAGTTTGTTTTTCTAGCATGGCGGGGGCTGCAGCGATAAAACGTTGTTAATTAAACTGTACTTTACGTTCACAGTAATAACATTTTCCGCATCGCTATCAATAATCGAACGAATTTATAGATATATCTGCCATGCTGAAAAATTAATCCACTGGTAGAGAATCACTATTTTTTAGCTACAGTGATTGAAATCAAATAAATCTCTATTTGTTTTGTTTGTAATTTTTTTTTTGCTTCGAGCATTAAAGCAGGTGTCTAAATACTACACAGGGAAATAACGAAAAAAAAAAAAACTTTCAGCTTTTCCACTTTGGTGAAGAAGGAAGACCAGCGGAGCTGTACAATGGAAAGTAATGGCGGGCCGCAAGTTGGCAAGCCAGAGTGAAAAGGCTACCGCCATCTATGAGCGACGGTGGCAACCAGGTACGTGGCTTGCCGCCGTCGCTCATAGATGACGGTAGGTGTCCAGAGTTCGGTGTCTTCATTTTTTTTTGCGGGGCACACGATCCTGGGGAAACTAGCCCTTTACAGCTCCGCTGGGAAAAGAAAAAAAGAAAAAAAAAGAACACATTGCGGTCGAGGGTGGGACTGCGTACTCACTGCGACATCCGGGAACTTGGGCGTCCCAGTTTCCGTCGCTCTGGCAGTACAGGTCGGCGGTGCCGACCAACTGGTAGCCGGTGTCGCACTCGTACGTCACACGATTCGGGAACGAGAACACGGTACCCAGCAGCCGGCCGTGCCGCACGTCCCCCGGGTGGCCGCACGAGATGGCTGCGGAAACGAGGCTTTTGCGGACTTGCGCAGACTGACAACGTTGGAACTTGTCTGTTTTAATTCCGAGAAACCCCGAGAGCGCGGAACCTGTCGTGAACGCATTATCTTATGCGCGCGCTAATTCAACGCCGCTCGTACATCACAAAAAGGACACTGTGTCCGCCGCTGACATGATTTACATGAGTATCTGCGGGCACTCCTCACGGATGTTCGAAGCCATGTTAGCTTGTATGCATATATGTATGTTTTCAACATATATGCAGGCGCTGTTTGGAGGACTGAAGTAACGGGAGTGTCATACAATGAAAGAAACACGCCTCGGACATTGTCTTAGATATACTCGTAACCAGTCTAACTGCGGCACTGTGATTTGTTACGGTTCGTTACAGAATGATTTGGGTTGTTTCGGTGTGTGTTGCACCACGTACAGCAAACTCATGTGCTCTCCGGGGTTATGAGAATATCCGAGACAGGTTTACATTTATTCTGGACACGTGACGTCCTGGGATAACGTGAAGAGCTGAGCTTTGTCGTTCGGAAGCCACGGCTGCGCGCGCCAACAGTCGTCTACTACCGCAGCATCCCTCGGGCCGTAGAGTGCCGCGAGCAAAGGCATTGCGTTGCGGGTCGCACGGTTTGGGGTTCGATACCCGCTGCAGCGATTGGTGAATGTAGCTGACTACGCTTACGTACGATTAATTATAACTAAGTACGCTCGTTTATGCGTCCCTAGGTATAGGCTATGTACGCTTTATGTTGCCTTGACCCGCGTGTTTTATTACGCTCTATAGCGTAACACTATTTTGCATGATATCCGGTCCACAGACACATCCTGCGTTAAAACTGGTTTCTGCTCAGTTTGAAGCGAGCTCTGACTGATCACCGACGTGTATCAGAAACGTTAAAAGTTGTTTAAACCTATAGAGTGATTACTTGAAACTGGCTGGAGACGAAGGCAACCATCCTTTTGCGTGTACCGATTTAATCCTTCCAGTCAGAGCTCGGCCCTCCGACGTCCTCTCGTCTGCTCCTTTTCGTCAGTTTCTTACCGTGTATCTGCTTCGTAAGATTCGAATACCGCTTACGTCTGCAGTCGTGGTCCGGGAGGACCCAGTGCAAGACTCCGTCGTAGGACCTCGTGCAGGTCACGCTCCACACACTGATCGGACCCGAGGACGCGTAGCCAGCGCCGCAGCGGTAGCGAAGAACGCTGCCCTGGGCCAGTGCGCCGTCATCTCCCACGGCGTCCTCGTGGACTCTGTACAGGATCCGTTCGTGCGGAGGCTCTGGGCAGTCTGGGAGGAGCAAAGCAAGAACGCATCCTGAACAAGTACGATCCAGATCCTGTAGGGAGTCAGCAGCGTTTACGTTGTCGCGAACGTGTTCCTTTCGTGAGCGGTGACAGTCGTAACAAATAAACCTAAACAAATGAGCTTGCACCATAAAGGTTATCTTTAGCCTGGGTTCGTGCACACTGTTTGGACCGCTCCTCCCGAAGACGAGCTGGGCTCGTCGACGTGTTTCTAGTGAGCTTTGCCGTGGATGGATGGCGCTTCGCGGAAAATAAAATCCTGGTACATTATGAATTTGGCAGAAAATTGGTCCAACGCAGACAACGGGGGTTTTGAAAATGGCGTCGTCAACTTCTGGTCGCTGCGTTCGTAGTGACGACCTTGCCTCAAAATTGGGGCGAAAACGAAGATAATGTGACGTACGTCTCTTCAGATTAAAGAAGACGAGGAAATGACTCTTTCATCGAACAGCGAGAGCGATACAGCTGAGTTATTGGATTTTAGATAAGATGACTCCGATTTCGATGAGGACATCGTGTTGGCGCGTCGGCATTGGACTAGAATCAATGTAGAAAATCCCCCTCCAGCCCCTCCACGTTTTGCGTTCACTTTGCGTGCAGGGTGACGTGAACTCTCTGCGGTAATGCAGTGAAGCGGAACTTTAATTCCTTTTTCTTTTGCAGTCTGGTGAAAGATTTCTCATATGATGAATATTTTGGCATTTGTTTTTGGCCTTTGGATTGCATACTAAATTTATAAGGCACATAAAAGAATTCGGTATTTTCAAATCGTTTTTTTTTTTTTCAAAATATTTGCGGTAGGCAAAGGGTTAATAAGGATTGCTTACAGTCCTGTTGGGGCGCCACGGAGGTATCCTCAGCGGCTGTGATGAGCACCTGCAGAACCAGGAACGTCCAGCACTTCATGGAGAGCTTCGAACCTCTTGCCGTCGCACGGAGTTCAGATGTGTAAGGTCGCTCCGAGCCACCGAGAAAGCCCTATTGCCGTCCTGTTGCGCTTGCGGCAGATTATCGGCGATAGCCGCCAACTGAAACACGACGCCCGCTCAAGGCGGGGACGAGATTTGCGGGCGCGCAACTGCGCTGATGTGCAGAGTCTAATTTCGGTCCCCTCCCCCCTCTTTTTCCTTTCTTGCGAAATTTTTAGAAGAACAGTTCCGCTTTCGAAGACTATCAGAATGGCGCTTATTTCTATGGCGGGATTTGCGAAGCTGGTTACTGACACCACCAGCTGAGCGCGAAGTTGCGAGCAATCCTACATTTAATTTAAAACCTAGCTGCGTGTTTCTTCTGCGATATGTATGATAACATTGATCGGTGCATAGTGTACTATTGTGCATACATTTTCGTACAACTACGCACTTCCTTATAGAGTGGCCAGAAATATCTTTGGGATCAGGCTATGTTATGTTGGGGAACGGTTCAACAATAATTTGTCCAGGGAGTTAACCTTCTGTTTTTCGTATTCGGCCTTTGAGTGCAAAGTTCGTTGCCCTTTTTGAAGATGTGAAAGTGACTCAATTCTTTTGATTGTCCGAACTGCCCCCAGTTTTCTCATGTATGATGGCGTTTTCAATATTTTTATCAAAACTAATGATGAGAATCAAGCATCACAGCCAGTTTCCTGAGTTTGTCTATTATGTAGTGGTTTAAAACGTGGTACCGGTTGTTCACATTTGATCACTTTATCCACCTTGATCTACTGTAATTCTTCAGTGTGCCAATTTGGAGTGTAAATACACAGGTACGAAAGGCTAGAATCAACCTGCCGTGGTAAGTTTTTCAGGATTTTTCTAAATTGACAGTTATAAACAGAATTAATCGGCGTCCAGAAAATCTGACAATTTTTTACTGTGTTTTTAATTACACTCAATAAAGTAATTACGATCTAGATGACCAGTGAAATATGTTGTTGCCTGCTAAGGGTTGTTGATGCTGGGTATAACCAGTTACTGTTGATATTTAGTCATAATTTTAATGCTGTGCATGCGACCGTGACAAATAAAAATGCTATTTTATGAATTTATCTGGCTACATTTTAGTCCCAATGACATGTTTCCCGATTGGCAGTTACGAGCTCCGCGTGACGTTGCCCCATGCTGAGCACTACCATTTGTTAATATTCTTCCAGCACTCACAAAAACAACAAAATTAAAACAAACCACGTAAAAAATAATATCGGTAAGCTTTTAACGTGTACCACCGAAAGAAAAAATATTTTTAGATAAAAAACGAAAAAAATGTGCCGAATCTGAAAAAAAAAAGAAGCATAAAAATCTAATCAAAACAAATAATTTCCATACTTGAAAATGGCAAGTGTGCGCCCAGGTCACAGACCCGCAACTTTTGAAATGTTTGAGACCTAAGCAGAGAACATATCCAGCGCCCACCCCCAGACTTCTGAGTCCACCTGGCAAAACCGAAGTGCACCTCCTTGTCAGCCACTTCTCCGAACACCCCGGTGCAAAGCAGTGAAGTCCACCCTAACAGTGCTCCTTCTGCATCTCTTGGACCTAACGAGCACCTCTGCCCCAGTTAGCTGTAAAGTCTGTCTCACACACTTGCGACCGCCTACGACCGTGTGCCCATCTATCGGGGAACATTCGGTAATTCCGCATATTTCCTTTTGTTTTTCCGCATCATTATTTGTTTCTTAGTAAGAAAAACGGTTGGGAATGTTACGAAGGACCATTTGTCATAGATAGTGCGTACATTTGATCTATCGAATGTCGCAAACCCTTCGCTCTAGTGAACTACAGTTCCAGGGTCACCTCATAGATGGCGGCAGCGTACCAGGGTGTTCTCTACGGGCTCTCTACTCTAGTGTTCTCAGTGGCAGGGGTCGCCTAACTCCGGCCCGCGGAGGCGTTCCGGCCAGCCCGCGCCGCGAATGGCTGCGGTCTTTCCAGAGACGCACGGCCCGCTGCCCGCTGCATGCAAACTACAGCGTTCTAGAAGTACGAGTAGTGGCAAAAGCGAGGCCAGCGCCAATGGGAGGCGCTGTGCCGAAAAAAGCGGACGGCCGTCGGTCGACAACTGGAGGAGAAAACTTCTGCATCGGCTGCTTTCTCCATCGGGCGCTCTTGGAAGACGCCGTTTGTCTATAAAATTGCATATTTGCTTATCTCTCCAAAGCACTACATGCAGAGATTATGGTATTTTATGTTATGATCGGGCTGCATTTCTTTTGTTAGGTCGCCCAATCATGCCAGAGTACAGAAGCGTGAAGCGGCAAAATAACTGAAGCTCAGTCGATCCACACAGTTTTTTTACCCAGTTCAGAAGAATCTGTTACTTTCAATAAATTCAGCAATTTCTACTTTTATATTTGCGCCATGTTCTTCTAATTAATTGTAATTGTAACTAATTGTAATTTTTCCTGAATGCTTCCATATAAGCTTCTTTATTGTTTTTTCTTTGTGTGTGTGTCTGTGTGTATATCATTATTGTGTTCGCCTGACGGAATATACTTTTCTCACCTGTTTCGGTTTTAGAATGTATGAAGTCGGATGCAGCTCGAAATGTACATGTTTTCAAGCTAGTTTGCAGCTTGGAAACATGACGACATTTTCGCCGAGCATCTCGGGGAAACTGTCGTTATATATGCAACACACGTCCTTGTATAGCAACTTCAAAGTACGGATCTTTGACGTTTATATATATATACGTATATATATATATATATATAATTTATTCATTAGGTATAAAATTGAGTTAGGTCATTAAAACTTTATATTCGTTATTTTAAATTTACTCACTAGATAAGCAATTTAGTTTGGCTATTGCGAATTCAATATCCATTATTTTGAATTTTTTCGCTATATCTGCAAACGAGTTTTATTGTTAAGAACTCAATATACGTTATTTCGAGTTTATTCACAAGTTTTTCAAATCCGTTATTAAAATCTCAATGTACATTATTTTATATTTACTCATTAGAAATGGGTTTTATCATTAAGAACTCAATATCCATTATTCTGAGCTTACCCGCTAGACACGCACTTAAGTTCCCTCGTTTGACAAACCTTTGTCTCTTTATTAGAGATTCAAACGAGTTTTTATGGTTGAGTAGTAGACATCAGGTGATTTGCAGTTGAGGAACCCCAGCAGGGGCATAGCTAGAAATAACCACAAGTGCACTTATATCACTCGGAACGAGCGCAGCTCTTGAGGGGAAGAGGGGAGGGTATGCCCCGCCTCCCCCTCCCCTCCATCACTCCTGCTCCCCTCCCATTTTGCAGAAAATTAAAAAAAAAATGTAGCAGAATTTCCCGCTAAATTTATCGAAAATGTAACCGCTAAATTTAGCGGGGACATATTCCCGTTAAATTTAGCGGGAGATTCAGTGAAATTTTCCCGCTAAATTTAGCGGGGAATTTAGCGAACATTAGACAGTTTTAGTGGACCGTAGGCTATAGCTTTGCGTATGCAAGGAGATTGCGGGTCGTGAGTGCGCATGCGCAGAACGCAATAGAAGGGCTAGCGTATTGCGTACGCACGCAACGATAGGGATTTTGCGTTGCTGGCTAGCGGGCCTTGCGGGACGCCCTCGAGAGATGTCGGAGCCAACGAGAGCGCCAGTTTCAAGATGGTGTTTGCCTCGACTGGCGCAGCAAAGGCGACGTGGTGTTTTCGAAGTTCTGTGTTACGTGAAATTGCGTGGTGTTCAGCTCGGCGATTCTTTCTGGGACCTACCGCGGTTGAATCAGGTCGCCCTGCAGCTGAAGGAGTGCACAGTGGAAATGTTCGCCGCTCGCAGTGTGCGTCGACGCTGCGATCTGCTCAACGCTAAGCCTATTCCCACAGTTCATCGCCGACGGACGAACGACTCTAAAAGAAATCGCCGAAGTTCTCGCTATGCACTGGACATCAGGGTCATGAATTTCATTCCGCGATAGCATCGATAAAAGGTGCCGTTTCCACGGGACGGCTGACGGAGGCCCCGTGATTGAATTTGGCTACGCACTCGTACTCGTAGCCTCTGTACCCCGCAGAAAAGCGCGCTTGACGAAGCAGCTGTGACTTGGTTTAATTTGAAATAAAATGATTGGACACTTTTTCTTTTTCAATATTTCTTTCCAGGAGCATGGTTGCGCTATAAGCACGCGGAATTCTACGGCTCTAGCAAATTTAACCAAGATCATGAGCGGCGTTCACTCGAAAACGTAACGCACAACTAAATTCGGTCCCAGCAGGTCATTTTTAGCGTACGCTATACTATTGCGTATTGCGTACCTAAGATCCAGCAACGCTATACTAAAACTGTCTAATATTTCTTTCCAGGAGCATGGTTGCGCTATAAGCACGTGAAATTTACGGCTCTGGCGAATTGAATAGAAAAGATTATCCGGGGTATTCACTCGGAAAAGTAACGCACAACTAAATTTGGTCCGTGCAGGTCATTTTTAGTGCACGCTATTTTATTACGTATTGCGTACGTAAGACCCAGCAACGCTATACTAAGACTGTCTATTTCCTCGCTAAATTTAGCGGGTTGAGTTTTCCCGCTAAATGTAGCGGGGAAATTGCCGTCATGTGACCGACCTCAACGCCGATTCAGTTTCCCCGCTAAATTTAGCGGGGAAACTTTGACGTCCCATAACGCAACGCGCGCGGTTACGTCGTCGCCGCACAACCTAGAAACGGGCGCCTAAAAGCTGCGTTCTAAAATAAAAGCAAAAAAAAAAAATGGTCAGGTTCATATGTGCAAGAAATGACGACCAAAACATTCTAGATCTTTAAAAAACACAACTTCAAAAGCATTTATTGACAACATTGCACAATTCGTTGCCCCCGGTGTGTTCGTGCCGGTGCGCATTAGCAACTTAGAAACAGGAGACGGGTGTTTAGAGTGGAGCTTTCGAGCAACTGCTCGCTAGTGAGCCAAAAGCCGCCGCGCCCCCAGCCAAAACACAAAGTAAACATAGGAGACCGGAAGCACTTCTCTCCCTCGTCATGGCGGCCGGACGTGGCGCGAACACGCTGTATTCTCTCCGGATTTGTTTGCAGGCAACGCACTCACGAATACCACGCGATTTTTTTTTTTCCAGCGGAATGTATTGTTTTTGTAGTCATTTTGCATACTGCGGAAACGATATATTTATTCCTCACACATGTTTTTTTTTGTTAGTATATGTGTCACAATACTTTTCGCGAGAGTTTTTATATCACAAAAAATATCCTGATTGAAAGAAAAAAAAAATCTAATATCGGAAAGAACAACCACGATGTCTGATGGAGATATGTACTAAGGTCTACCGGACCGTAAAAGTGTTCTTCATCTCCCTTGTCCATGACACCTCAAAAGCTAACGACAGTCTTGTCTGCCCCCCCCCCCCCCCCCCTCCTCACTTCATATTTGAGAACTCTTTGTCCGCTGTTCGGCTATCATTCAAGTTTGTTTTGCGCGGGCAGTAAGAAAACGGTGCTGGGTATTGAATCAAAAGCTAGTACATACTTACTGCATAACTGTTTGGTAGTGACATTTTAACCGGAAAGGGTGTTCGCGCGTTTGTTTCGGTTCGGGTTCATCGACACTCGATTTCGGTTCGTGTCGAGCGAGTGCCAGTCACCCGGTTTTGTTACATTTATTTTAACGTCAGACTTATAGTGAATAGAAACGGTGTCTTTCCACGTTTCGTGTCCGGTTCTAAGTCGGTTCATTGCCCTGATTGTGATTAGGCTTAAGTTTAGGAGGTTCAGACAAGTTAAACGCTGTATATTAGAGTTCAGCTCCTCGCAAGTTGGGACTAAATAAGAACGACGAAATTCACCTCAACAGGCAAATAAATTGAAAAGTAAGTGGTTGTGTTGCTTGAATACAGTTTCGGTGTTTTATTTGGTGCCATATATAATCATACATGGATTGGGTGTAAATTTTAATAAACTCTCGTTACCACACTTTGCAATACGGGGGTCTTCTATTTGTTGGCAGCATCTGCGCTCCCCGTCCTAGTGTGTCCTTGCTGTTGTATCCCATTTCGGATTTGTTACTTCGGTTTTTTTTACACGCGCCCACACTGTCCTGCAGCCCATTGGTGCAGGAATAAGACACAAACTTGCAAGTCGCGTCCGTCAGTGATTCTACGAAATACTCCGCCGCTCTCCTGTGACTGCAGCCAATGTCTGAAAAGGAAAGTTATGAATTGACTGATATTAGAGTGATGATCATAAGTCGGTTTACTTATACTGGATATATATATATATATATATATATATATATATATATATATATATATATATATATATATATATATATATATATATGTGTGTGTGTGTGTGTGTGTTTGTGTGTGTGCGTGGGTGCGTGTGTGTGCGTGCAAAATAGTGGAGGGGGTGAGGGCGTTGGCCCTCATTACGAAGTGCCACCTGAGATTTCTCGTTTTCAATTAAACCTAATTATAGTAAATTGCTAGGCAATTGTGTTGCTTGGGTGAAACAGCGCACAAGATTCCCACACAGAAGGCAGGCGCTCAAAAAATCACACGTACGTAGCGTGGACTAACAACTCCGGTTTGCATTTCTTCTTTCTCTGATCTTCTCCTCTCAGTTAAGCGACATATTAAAGAAACGTATACGGTGAGAATTTAAGTGTAAGTTGATGAGGGATAAAAAGTAAAAAAGAATTGAAATAATATGAAATACTACGTTTAAAAATATATTTTACTAATTTTATTATTACTACTTATTATTCGTAATATCACTTATTATTTTCATTCTTTATCAACTTACACTTTGTTGTAACCTGGTTCAGGTGGCAAATATATTTATTTCGAGGAGCCGAAACGGCCGCCAGAATATTACGGTGCCGAACGCCCGAACTGCCAGCCACGCGAGCCCGTGCACCTGGCTTGATGGTCCCTTCGACGATGATAGCAGGCTATCTACTACATCTCCCCGATTACGAAGACCGAAAGCGCTCCGGTGCCATGCGTCTTCGTTGAGGGTACCTTGGAATGTGCACCAAATTACGGTGTAAACCTCCTGGGCTTGCTGGAGTTGGAAATTCTGTTGGAGACGCAGTGCGTTCCACCGGTGAACTTCTGCTGACCGGAAACAGGCGGCCTTCAGAAGCGTCGGATGGGACTCTGTTCTTTAGGTGGTCAGCATGCACACGGCGAACTTTAAAGTTCTCATCCAGGACCTCGAAAATCATGCTGCCTACCTTTTTTTTTAATCACACCCTTAATCCAATGCTGTTTTCTCAGAGGGTGCTTGATCCAGACGCTTTGGTGAATTGCGAACGAGCGCGAGTTCAAGTGGCAGATCTGTGGAGACTTGGACGGTTTGGCCGAGGGTTTTACCAAATCAAGCACCATCCTATAGTGTCTCTGGTTCAAAAGTTCGCATGGGGCCTTCCCAGTGGATATATGAGGGGTAATGCGGCATGGCATCAAGAAGTCTTGCAGGCTCTTCCGGCTGTCCTTTCCCTTTGCGCGACGAAGAGCGGTTTTGAACGTCTTCACGAAGTTCTCGGCTTGACCATTTGATTTCAGATGATACGGTGGCGTGAGAAGCCGTTTTGAACCAGAAACGACTCGAATTCGGAACTAATGAACTGAGGTCCACTGTCCGTTACCAACTGTTGTGGAAGACCATGGTGCTGAAATATTTCTTTGAAGGCATCTATGGTTGCTGATGCTTTTGTAGATGTCATCGGTATGACTTCCGGCCATTTGCTAAAAGCATAAATGACGATAAGGTAGTGCTTTTGGTCCAATTCTGCAAAGTCTGCATGAAGGCGATGCCAGGGTGTTCCTGGATCTTCCCAACGATGCAAAAGGACTTGCGGTTGAGTGTCTGATATTGATGCGCACTTTTCACACTGTTGAGTTTGTTTTTTGATTTCATGGTCCATTCTTGGCCACCAAACATAAGATCGCGCGAGCATCTTCTTCTTCACTTGGCCAATGTGACCCTCATGAAGCAGATCGAGGATATATGGCCTGAACTTGCTAGGAATTACCGTTCGAGCATTCCACAGAATTCAACCGTCGAGCTCGGCAAGTTCTGCTTTTTTCTTGTGGAACGGTTGAATATTTGGGTCAACGATCTTCGTTGGCCATCCTTCCAAGATCTGTGTGCGAACCTGAGAGAGCGTTTTATCCTTAGCTGTCTCCTTGGCGATGTGAGCTGCCCTGATGGGAAGCTTTGCCAGACTTTCGTTGTGGAGTGCGAAGACATCTTCAGACTGCAATTGAATGGAAAACACACCTTGTTGTGACATCTCTTGGTCAAAGGTTTGATCAGGGCCTTCAGCAAACCGGGACAGGCCATCAGCGTTTCCAAACTTTTCGGTTGGAACATGCTCGATGGTGTAAGCGTAATTCATTAAAATTAGCGCCCAAGGTTGAAGTCTGTTAGCTGAAGTGGCTGGAATGCCCTTGGTTGGTCCAAAAATGGTGGTCAAAGGTCGATGATCTGTGTACAAGACAAACGTGCGTCCCCAGAGATACTGGTGGAACCTACGTACACCAAAGATGATTGCCAAAGCCTCTTTCTCAATTTGGGCATACTTCCGCTCCGTCTTCGTAAGTATCTTCGAGGCGTGAGCGATGGGACATTCCCTTCCATTGATTTTATGGTAGATCACTGCTCCAGCTCCCTCTGATGAAGCATTTGCCGCAAGGTAGATCGTCTTGTCAGGGTCAAAGTGGGCAACAGCTTCAATTGCTAATAGATGGTGTTTGATCCTGTCAAAAGCGTCCACACAATCGGAGGTCCAGTTCCAGGCAGTGTCCTTTCGTAGAACGGCGTTTAGTGGTGCGGATATCTCGGTCAAGCTTGGCAGGAACGTACTGTAGTGTTGGATCATCCACAGAAGAGATCTCAGCTGGCTGACATTTTTGGGCTCAGTCATGTTGAGGGTAGCAGAAATTTTCTTATGGGACGGACTGAACCCTTCACCGTGAATCCCTTGTCCGAGATATTCTACTTGCTCTTGAAGAAGGCTGCACTTGCTTTTCTTCATAGTGAACCCGTATTCTTTGAGGCGCTCGAGGACTCGTTCCAGATTCCGAAGATGATCGGAAGTGTCCTTCCCGGTTACAATGATGCCGTCTAGATAACAAGCCACGCCATCAAGACCTGCAGTGACCTGGTTCATTGTTCGTTGGAACACGGCTGGTGCCGACGCAATTCCAAAAGGCATTCGATTGAATTGAAACAGTCCTTTATGGGTGTTGATTACAAGGGCTTGATTGGCTTCGTCGTCTAGTTCCATCTGAAGGTACGCTTCGGAGAGATCCAATTTCGTGAATCGATTGCCTCCGTTGAGCTTGGCAAACAGTTCTTCAGGTCGTGGTGGAAGATACTGAGCGATGTCCAGTTGAGGATTTACGGTGATGCTGAAGTCTCCACAAGTGCGGACTGAACCGTCAGCTTTGTGGACTACCACGATTGGCGTTGTTCATCTGGATACTTCAAATGGTGAAATAACCTTGTTGTTGATCTGTTTCTGCAGATCCTTTTCTACCGCCGCACGTGTCGCGAACGGAATAGGCCTCGGCTTGAAGAAGCGTGGTGTTGCATCAGGCTTTAACTGTAGCTGAACTTTCAGCTTCGTGCAGCAGCCAAAACTGTCGATGATCACGCGCGAGAATCGCGTGAGCATTGATTCCAGCATGGCGCGTGTAGTCAGTTCAACGGATCTAGCAAACAATCGGTTCAGATCAATCTTGAGCGCATCAGTCGACGTTCTTCCAAGCAAGTCGGTGTGTCTCTTTGTCATCACGGCTTCCAACGCAGAGGTCTGTTGGCCTTCACTCTAAGAAAAAAAGGAGGAGAAAGGTAGCAACAGCGACTGTTCCTCCTTGTTGCGGACAAGTTGCCCAGAGAAGGGAGGAACGGCAGTTTAGGTGAAAGGAGGAGGGCGAGGTCCTCCTTGTTCAGTTGGCGCAGGGGTAAAACATCGCGCTACTGACCAAGTGGTCAAAGATTCAATCTCTAGAAAAGCGTTTTTTTTTCCTTTTTTTTTTGTAAAGTTTTCTTTTTCTTTTTATTTAACAAAACACACATAAACAAACCCTGACCGATGAAAGGAAAATTAAAGTCCTTATTATTCAGCGAGACGTTTTCCTCCTTCTCCAGGCAGACGGGAGAAAGCTTTCGCCCACCCGACTCATCTTCTTTCGGTTTCGTTTTTCGAGCACATCGCGCACGTTGTTTAATAAATTAATGTTGAGTTGATTGAGCTTCAGCGGCAGCGAAGGCCGCCTGTAATTCCGTGTTGTAGTCCAAACGTGCAGAACATTTCGGTTGCATTGACGTTTTTACCACAAATTTTATCAAACGATCTAACGAAGCCGCTAGAAACAGCGAAGTTCCGGAGCAGTGCTAGCAGCGCCAGCGCTACATACACTGGGTAAGACGGACGTGGCCGTCTCCGATTTGCGGGACACACGCAGAACTACAGCAGCGAAACCACGAGGAACTGTGTCGACGTTTTCGACGTTATGGAAATCGCGGGAACTGCGTCCAAGGAAGGCAGGTTTTCCTGCCGGCTGCCTGGATGCCTTTCATGCTGAGTTCGGTGGTGTTGTCCCGTGCCAAGTGCCAACCGGCGTTCAACGTGATTCTGTATTTCTGCGTGTCAGCAACATCGTCAACGTGGTTCTGTATTTCTGCGTGTCAGCGACATCGTGATGGCAGTGTTGTGGGTTGTGAACAGAAGACTGGAATTGTCGCCGATGTGACCGTGTGTTCGCGTATCAGTGATGTAACAACAAGATGAAATGACGTAAACTGTCGGGCATTGATGCGGCTGGTCGGGCCGTGTACGGAGGGGGCGGGGTGTCGCAGGATGACATTCCGCTTTACATAAAAGAGTTTAAAACCACTTGAGGGATTAGGTGCAGTCGATCGACGTGTGGATAGTCATGTTGAACGCTGGTCTGAACGGTAAGCTCCTATATATGTACAGTGGCCAATGTGACTGTCGGTCCCCGAGAGCGATTGCGCTCTGGGGACAAGACTGAACAGTACGAAAGTATGACGGAAATGTACGTATATTTACAACGGAAGTTTAGCATAAAAAAAAACAGGTAAAATCGAAAAAAAAACAAAAAACGCTATCCTTTATTTTACTGTTTAAATATATTAAGGTTCCTGTAGAAACTGCCCTCCGAGTGGCGCGCTGGGGTGAGCGCTAGAAGTGTTCAAGCTCGCAACGGCGTAGCTCCGTACACTTTAACAGTTGCCGCAAATCGCGGCTTTGACTGCATTCAAGTTGATCGAAAAGCGATTTCTCTGCCCGTGAAGCATCACTTCCAGCTGAGTGAATATCCGCTCTACAAAGATTAATTCAAGACGGCAATTGCAGCCGTGCGCGAACACCACAAATAGAAAAACAAACACTACAATATAAATACTGGCTACGAAGGGCCGTGCGGGAAAACAAACTCATGGCTTGGAACCACATTGGAGCGGCTCGATTTATTGGTTTTCAAATAATTACGGCATGATCGAGCGTTTTCTTTTTAATAAGAGATTAATCCCCTGAGCCATTAAAAATAGTCTCAGATGTATAACATTGCTTGTAAAAAAATGAACATGTTCGGAATGTTTTTTATTGCTTAGGGAGTCACTGAAAAATTCCGTACGTTCAAAACGACCAGTATGAAAGACGGAAACGCAGGGTTTGGGAGTAGTGATCGGGTTAGTGTGCTCTTGTGGCTGTTGTATTGATGTTTGTATGTGCGATGCCTGTGTATGCGCTCAACATATGTTCACCTTACGCTTGTAGTGTGCGTAACGTGTCTACATGTGTTAGAGATTCCCAAAGAAAAGGAAACGCAATTGTAGCGTAAGAAAATTAAAATATTTTTTGTAAAACATGAATTGGGCGGTACCTAGCGCCACCTAGCCTAGCTACTTGCGATTACTCTGTTTGACCCTGCCATCTTGTGGCAAGCGATTTAACATTCTTTTACGCTACGCGGCTGCGCCATAATTTCGTGTTACCGTGCTGAGCTAAGCCAAGAGGTTGCTTCGGTTTTGCTTTTTTTTGAGAGCGGCTTTTGGTTTTGCGGGCGAATGATTTTTACTCCTCCGTGATGTGCGGTTGACGCAACGGTTGAGGAAGGAATTGTGGCTCGAGGAATAGCAAAGGTAAGACATAAAGTGCGCGAACTGGGTGCCGGTTGTCTCCGTTGAACATCGCAGTGCTGACGATGAGAAGACTGAGTGATTGCATGCTTTCGAAACGTAAGTTTCTTTACCTGCAGGGGTAAAGAAACTTCGGAAATAAATGCAGTTCGCGGAAAACTCGTGTTACGTTTTTATTTGCTGCTCCTCTTGCTTCGTACAATAGACTTGGTGTTCTCGTTAAGCCTTATCGAGCTCGATTTGCTCGATTCGTGGCCGCCATAATGAGATGCAGTCGATGGAGGAACTTTTGCTCCCCTGCTTGAGGGACGAAAGTTTCTCCCTTTCTGAAGGAACATATGTGTCAAGAGCGTTTCTCCCTTTAGGGAGGACTATTGACCCTTTTTTCTAAGAGTGTAGTGTGACGTTAAGAACGCACTGTCCCTCGAGAGGAATTGCCTGGTTGTTGAAACAACACAGGTTGCACTCACTTTTCTTGAGTGGCGGGCATCCGAGCTTCTCCCAGGTGTCAATGTTCAGTAGTGTCAGCTTGGAACCGGTGTCCACTTGCAGATTAACGGGGATTCCTTGGTAGAGATAGGTGACAAATTCGCCGTCTCTGTCGTGAATAGCGAAAACGCTCGTGACGATTTTGACGTCCCGTTTCCGGTTTCCTTGTTGTTCGTTGCAGTCGCTGGAGTGGCACATCTTTGCAATATGGCGTTGCTTGCCGCAGCTGTTGCAGGATTCATTCCGATATCGACAAGTAGACTCTACGTGGTTGCTGTTGCCACACCGGAAACACTCGGCTGGGGTAGAAGCAGGATGCTTTACTTTGTCGACGTGCAGCGCATTTTGGTCAGGACGATTCAATTGGAGGGACTCCGTTTCAGCCCTGGGATAAGACTCGACCAGCCGCAGTGCAGTGTCTAGCGTCAAGTGCTTCTCCATTACCAAGCGTGCCCGGATGCGGGAATCGTGAAGGCCAACAATGAATGCCGTCAAGAGTGAACAGTGCCTGGCGTTGGTCTTGGTCTCATATTCGCAAGTTGCAATAATGGACCGTAATCTTGCGAGGAGTTCCTTTACGTTCTCCGATTCCTCTTGACGCGCCGAAAATAGCTTGGCTGGCTCGAACTCCTTGAATTTCCTCGGAGCGAAGTGGTCCTGCAGCCGTGTAACGAGGTCTTGATACGTCAGCTCGGAGAAATTCTGAGGCTGAACCAGGGTGTACAGCAGCTGAAACGTCATCGATCCAAGTGAAGCTATCAATAAATTTTTCTTGTCGACGTCGGCGGTTATTTTCGCGACGTCCAAGCAAGCTTGAAATCTGATAGAGCTTCCACTCCTCATTGTCGGAGTCGAACGCCCCAGGGCCATGGAAGCGGTGGGTGCTGCTGTCTCCCACGTCTCGGTCGTTGGATCTGCCGCTGGTCATCAGGGGCTCTTGGCTTTCGTCGCCAATGTTGTAACCTCGATCAGACGGCAAATATATTTATTTCGAGGAGCCGAAACTAAGCATGTCCAGCCGCCAGGACATACGGTGCCGAACGCCCGAGCTGCCAGCCAAGCGAGCCCGTGCACTTGGCTTGATGGTCCCTTCGATGATGATAGCAGGCTGTCTGCTACACACTTAAATCCTCACCGCATACGTTTCTCTAATGTGTCGTTTAACTGAGAGAAGATGATCAGAGAAAGAAGAAATACAAACGTTTGTTAGTCAGCGCTATATACGTGTGATTTTTTGCGTGCCTGCCTTCTGTGTGTAAATCTTGCGCGCTGTTTCACCCAAGCATGAACAACAAAGTCGCCCCAGCCTACGTCCTCTCAATTGCGTTGCACATGTGAAACGTCCTGGCATCACAAACGTGTGGCGATACTCTTAGTTTTCTGACGACAGATGCCTATGTTCACGACGCTCTTCATCAGATAGTTTAAAGGGCAACTCAGCTTCATTTCTGGCTTTAGAAAAAAAAAAAAGTACCGTTTTTTTTAGTGTAACACGGGATGGCCACATGTCGAATATTAGGACCTAGTTCTGTCTAAATGCTTCTTAAACAGTCCGGCAACCTTTGCAACTCGCCAAGTTGCCGAAATCGGCTGACCCGAGCGGACCAATTGAGGCGCAATCAACAGCGCAGTCAAGGCTACGGCGCGGGCATAAGCCAACTTTGAGCTAAAGGTTATCACCATGGCCCCCTTTTGCTTGTTTTTACTTTTCCGGGCAAGCGTAACGGGTGATGTCAGCAACGTTCCCTCGCGGCGCTCCCCGCTGTCCACGTGATGGGCGTAACGCGCCTGTGTAGCGTGCTTCTTGGGAGCCGTCCGGCCGTCTCGCCGAGGTTACCGCTGTCTCCCGCGTAACAACTGCCGTTGTCGTCTCACAGTTTGTGGTTATTATCTCTTTCGTTCACACTACGGACACTACGTGCGCAGACTTATGCCGCAGATTTGCAGACGTCGTCAAATGTCGTAGACACCAAAAACGCGGTGAAGATTGCGGAGCAGACGACACTTGCATAGAGGATCACGTGACATCTCGTACCACGTGATGGCCATGTTCTTGGCGGCCCGAGGCCATTGTTGCCGGTCGAAGCCGCAGTTTGGGTTTCGATTTCTGCTTGAGTGGAAAATTAGATTTAACAATCTATATTTTATTTTTTGCGAAGCAAATGACGTAGTGTCTTTTACGCGAGCTATTTAATGGGAGATCGCTCATTATCTCAAAATATTCGGAATGGAGCGGAGTTACCCATTAACGCGCACCATCCGTACGTGCCGAGGGACATCCTGTCTCTCGCATTGTAACGAAAATGTTGACACGAACACACATTAAAACTTTCCCTTCTAATTTACAAAACGGGACACTTCCGCTTAAGACAAGGGTATACAGCACAAGGATACCTTTGTGCCATGGACTGTAAATTGCCTTTTTGTGTAAGCAACCTGAGCCCATTGAAAACTGGATCTTGGACAGTTGGGACGCTGTGTTCTATTAAAAAATTCTGCAACGGACTTCGAAAAAAAAAAAAAAAAAACGCCCTTGTTAGACACACGTGGGATATCTCTCCTCTTAGTCGAGAAAGCAGAGTCTGTTCCATGTGATATAATCATAAGGTCCTCGGCCTGTACATTTTATCGAAAAGTCGCCTGGCTGTGCGAGACGCCGACATTGATATGCGACCGCGTGTTATTATTTTACTCCGAGTATGAGCCAACTTAGAGAAATGTATTCCGTTTTAGAAGAAACTCCAGATTGGTTGCCAGTTTTAGACGACCTGGTTACCTTAAGATCCGTCTGATGACTTCATGAGAGCCGAAGTGTGCTGCCGAGATTTGTAAATGTCAGTTTGTGCGCTTACTGGAATGCCATTGCGTCTTCTAAATATATGCTTTGTATGGTGTATGCAAGCAATAAAGAGAAAAAAACAAAAATAAAAGTGTGTCGTGATATGCTGGAAAGACACTCGTTTAAAAATCTAAATGGTCTGGGTTCAATTCCCGCCTGGCACAAAAGCTTGTTCTACTAAACTGCCCCCCCCCCCCTTCCCCCGCCCCTCTCTCCTCCACTCAAAACCAACCAGCGTCAAGCTCGAGTCCACGCTTTTATCTCGGCTTCATAACATTCCGAACACAGGGCCAAAGAGCGTTTCCAGTTGAAAAACAAAAACATAGTAACTTAAGAATTATAAACGTACCGAGCCAGCTGCACCCCGGCTGTTTTGATCCACCATTCGGATAGAAGTCGACGTGACCGCATGGCTTATTAATCCCCATTTTTCCACTGGAGGCCTTTCCCCTGTTGGTGTGAATGACGTCTACAAAATCTGCGTCACTGGGTCTCAACTGCACACCCGAGTTTGTGAACAAGGCGTTGGCTGGATCGAGCCCTGAAAAACAATTTATGTAATATACAATTAGTATTTATTTGTTTTTCTTGCGCCCAGAGACAACCACATGGGACTCGTATGTGGTGCAGACGCACCCTAAGATGAAATCTAGAAGCGAATATTAAAACCACGCAACCGCCATGAGGTTCCAACTCAACGATGTAACCTAATCCGATAATAAACTAGATGTGAGTACGTGGTAAGTACGTTTTCCCACTAACACAAGGCATATATGTAAGCATCTGGGATTTGTGCAACACTTAATGTTGAATAACGTTTGCAAAATAATCCATTAAAAAAGCTAATCGTACGTTAAACTTTCTTATTTATAACCTGCGTAGTGCTGCCGGAAAATTGAGCCTCTTGCTGCTTGGTGAGAACGACAATTTGAATACGCGTGTGTTTTGTGGGACCCGCACCAAAAGTACCTTAATGGTAATCTGTAAAAAAATGATGATCCATGTCAGAAGACTTACATAAAAAAATAGAGTAGAAATGCCTGCGTGAAAGATATAAAACATAATTGGATGGGAACCCCTAATTTTAGGGCGAAGAAACCTGCGCTTGAAGTTTTTGCACGCTATGTTTAACACCCCGACGGGAATTGACAAAAATCGATTTTTGGAAGCACCAAGGAAGTGTCAACTCTCGTATATTCTTCAATTAAACGAGAAAAAAATGTATACCCAATTACAAGAAATACTAGTTCGTTTCCTCGCACAATCACTGAGTGTCATGTATTACCTGAGACTTCCACTCTCTATTAACGTTTGATCGCTTATTTCATGAAGAGATTGTGATTTTTAACTTGCTTGTTTTTAACTCTATTTTATATTCATTTGACAGCCTTTACTGATTTGTTTCATGTTCACATTTCACAAACGTGTACGTTTTTTGTTAATATTCCAGGCCGTCTCTGCAATAACACTTCTACACGGCTGTCTTTGTTAAAAAATAAATCTTGCCACTTTTATATTCGTATGAAATTCTGGCATAACTGTATCAACATAAAATATACTTGCCAGTTATTCTTCCTATAGTTTTATTTGTTATTAACGTAAAGGTCCTTCCAGAAAATCCGGCGATATGGGCACCAAGACTGAAGCCAATCAAGTGAACGTCTGAACTTAAAACAGTCTCTGGAAATTCCTCGGTTAGCTTCCTAAGAAGCAACGCAATCTGCCTTCCAACAAGGGCCGTGTTTGCTGCAGCGATATTGTACAAAGGTTTCTTTGCACCTTCAGTCCACAGTACAACGACGAAGTTGCAATCTATCTGTAAAGAAAAAATACAACTAAAATGTCTACAGTTGTGTCAATTGACTTATAGAGTCAAAATGATAAGATGATGCATAAAAGGAATGCTTGGAAGAAGCTTCGTTTACAATTTATTTAAGCAGATCTGATTGTAGACTGACTAGGTGGGGTTATGCCGTCCCTAGACTGCGTTGCTATAAGACTAAGCGTAATTGAAATCGGTCGCTCAACTCCGAGGTGAATTAGGACGTACTGGGCAAGAGCAGACACCTCCTACGAGCGGGTAGAGGTATCCGTTATAAATTTTGCTTCGGGAAGCAAAATTTATAACGGATACCTCTACCCGCTTGTAGGAGGTGATATAGACACTGTATAGCATTCTTGCGGTACAACAATCTAAGGGGTTGCTTTGGCCAAAACGTTTAGTGATCATTTTGCTACACTTGTCCAGAGTGTACACTGTGTGGATGCCATTAGGTATGTCCAGAAGGTTTCACATAGCATGTTTCTGTTTTCAACTGACGAACATGAAGTATTTTATGTTTTCCAAAGCTTAAAAAATAGTAAGAGCTCCGATATATATGATTTGCAAATTAAACCTATCAAGCATGTTTGCGTTGGATTGTTCCTTATTTAACACATATTTTTTATCTAGCAATTGAGAACAGAACTTTGCCCCCAAAAATGCGGGTAGCAAAGGTATCTGTACTATATAAAGCTGGAGATAAAAACAACCTCGAAAATTATAGACCGATTTCTGTCTTACCGATATTTTCAAAAGCTCTAGAAAACATAATACATCACAGGCTGTATAGTTTCTGCGAAAGGTTTTTTATCTTAACGCCCTGTCAATACAGATTTAGGAGGGATTTCTCTACCGAACTTGCCTCGTTAAAACAAAAGGAATTAATTTTAAACAATATTGAAAAAAAGTTATTAGCACTCGGAGTATTCATAGATTTTTCAAAGGTGTTCTACCGGATCAGTCATCACACGTTACTTCAAAAGCTGCATATTCTGGCATTCGTGGCGTTGCTTTAGATATTATTAGAAGTTATCTTAGTTATCGATACCAGTGTGCTGAAATAAATAATAATAAAAAAAACAATCGGATCTTAGGAAACAGACTGCCGGTGTACCGCAAGGGAGCATTCTGGGACCACTTCTTTTTAATCTATACATTAATGACATCGTAAATATTGATAAAAATGTAAGTCTCATTATTTACGCTGATGATACCAGTATATTCTTTTCAGGTGATGATACTGATCAAATTATAAGTGCCGCAATTATAAATTTGTAAAAGTTAAATACTTGGACAAATTCAAATCCATTAAAAATAAATGGCAGTAAGACAAAAGCCGTGTTATTTAGATCACGAAATACAAACTGTTTCTATACGTCCATTCTTTCTCTTGAAACACACTGTGTAGATATAGTTGAAAGCGTAAAAGTTCTCGGAATTATATTTAATCAATACATGTCATGGGACGAGACTGTGCAACAGACATGTAAAAGATTATCAAGAGTTGTAGGTATTATGTACAAATATCGCCACATCATACCGATTTCGGTTATGCTTCTTATATATAATTCCCTCTTCTGCTCGAAATATAATTATTGCTTCTTGGTATGAAGGGAATACGTCCGCTACAAGCATATAAAACTGATACATACTCTACATAAAAAAGCGGTTCGTATTATATGTAATACTGAGTATAATAGACATACTAGTCCATTATTTAGTAAATTGAATATTGTACAGATTCATAATCAGCATTATTATAAACTTTTTCTTGCATTGAAAAGATCTTTTTGCCAAAAAGAAAATATATTCATGTCTATTTCCAACCTTAGGATGAGGGAGGTTACCTATGAAACTAGGTCTGCAGACGCATGGTTAGAGCCGCACTCCAGAATAAACTACGGTAATTAGACGTTGAAATATATAGTACCTCGTTTTTTTAAATCGCCTGAGTGAGTTGAATGTAGAAGTTTTGAATTAAAAAAAAGTACGTTCCATGTTTGTGAGAGAGTGCCCCTTGAATTTGTAAACTTGGCTAAATTGATTACTTTTCCCCCTCTCCCCTCCCCCATCTAATGTTGTTTATTTTTGTGCTATAAGTGTGATGGTGAAAAAAACCATTATGTGTATGTACATGCTGTCCTCTTTCGCTGCTGTGGGGAGGCAGAGGCTTGTCAAGCAACAACTGATTTGCTTTTTTCTCTGTCTCCCCTCTCCAAACTCTCCAAACGGAGAGAAATAAAAAGTTTGAGTTTGAGTTTGAGTTTGAAAATAATGTCTATGCGCCCACTTTGCCTCGGAGCACTCGTAGAGTCAATGACTGCAAGTAACAGAAGATTGCAGTTATTAAACATAGAATCTAGGATGGCGCTCTGAGAATGATGCGGACACGTGGGACATCATCCTCAGTTTTAAACTCGCAGGTTTCAATTTGGGGTTAACATTTCTGGCTGCATCCTTCACTGAGCCTCTTTCGTAGATAACAGTGCTTGGAGCTCCGAATGTTCTGCAGAAAATTAAATTTACGGATATTTCTGGAATATACAATGTTATGTGTTAGATGCGGTTTAGTGATAACGTATATAATGATACATGAGGTGTTTTTCATGCTTGATGAAAAAAGTGATTTTTCGCCGAGGTGCCACGTCGTGCGATCCGGAGAGTACACCGCACTTTTAACTTCCCACAGGGCCCACAAACAGTCATTTGTCGAGTTTTACACAAGAAACTAGGCGAATACGGAGACCAAGAAACAGTGCCCTGTAAAAAAAACAATCTGAAGTTTTTTCTGTTTTTTTTTTTATTTTCTGGGCTTTTTATGTCGATTGCGACGATTGACTTCCGCGCGACAGTCAGGCCCGTTAGCCACTCGGCCACACACGTGCTTGCTCGCCAACGCGCATGGCAATATATCTATATTTTTGACGCATAATATTTCTTTTTACCATGGGCTTAAATAATTTTGACAATTACATATTCGATCATTTCTCAAAGATAGCTGGCAGATTTCATCTCGCAGAATACTGCAAAACCTTTAGTATATACTCCTGTATTAAAGAAGGAAAAAAGTATTCCAGGGCTTTCTAATAGGTGGCGCCAGTGTACCGGTTTTCTCATCGTAAGTGGCCGCTAGATGTTGAAATACACCCAGTCCCACTCAAACGCAGGTGCGTGAACTACCCTTCAGCTTAGATATAATATTCTTTGGTGGAAGTCTCCAAGCTGCAGAAGATTTATGCGAAGATAAATTTCTTTCTACCTGAAAATGAGCATAACTCGCGCCCTCTACCCGCCCGGCAATCAAGTTTGGTTTGACAAGAGGCGCCGTCTTATGGAGAATTTTCGCAACTGAGAGGCAGCCGCGATCATCTCGAGCTCAAATATTCGAGCGCCGTTCCGAACTGTGACGCAGCGCTCGTGTCCAATGGCACGGTGATGCGACCTTCCCGAAGTTGCCCTTTTTTGCCACCAGCCGCGCTGACTAGCAGCCGACCGAGGCGCCTCCTGTTCCCTGCCCTGGGGTCAGAGTTGGAGCTAACGCGCTACCCTCCTCTGTAATGTATAACGTACCCGTTACTTTTTCAAACCACTACCGGGTAACGGAATTACGTTACTTGTTTTAATTAACCGGTAACATGGTTACGTTAGTCGTTACACCTTTTGTTTTCCGATAGCCTTTAAAAAAGTACACTTAAATTTAGTTTGTGTTTCTATACTTCGTTTCACCTGACGTATGGACGCAGCCGACGCTGCGAGTTGATGGGACCAATCAGAGAGCGTCAAACGCGCAGCATCATGATGTTCGAAATGTTTCTGTATGTGTTCTACCATCGCTGAACCAATCATAAACAAAAAGGCCCAGTGACTTGGACGTTTGACGCTTCTTGATTGGTGCCATAATCTCCTATCGTCGACTGCGTCTGCAATTAAAGTGGAACGTAGTATAACGTGCCATTTGTCTGGGCACCCCCACTGCACAGTACTGTCTTGTTTTTAATTTTCTCGAGGCGTCAAGTCATAAATTATTACAATCATCCCAGAAGCCTTCTAAATTTTGCTTGCCTTTTCCCCACGAAAAAAAGTCTTGCTTAAAAAAAAAGGCCCGCGCCCTTTGTTAGAAGATTGAAAGACAATGTTGCACAAAAAAGAAAAAAAAAGAAAAAGAAAGAAAACGGTGTTACCGTAAATTTATAAATAAAAAGAAACTCAAAAGTAACTTGCGCTACTTTCAATCGGTAACGGTAACGCGTTCCTTTTATTTTGAGGGAACGTAGGTCGGTAATGCATTATTTTATTTTGCAAGTACCGAGCCACGCATTTCGTCACTTTTTTCCGGCAAGATCTACAACACTGCCTGAGTCTATAGGGCACTGATGGCCACTGAAAAAACCTGCCCGGTCCGATATTTGACCGTAGGACCTTTCCCGAGACTATTGGAGTGCTCCCGATTGAGACAGCCTGCAGTTAGCAGTAACTAGTAACTAGTCTTCATCTTAGCCACAGCAAGGGTGAGATCAGACTTTAATGATTAAACATCATGATTTTTAAGGGAAGTCGGCATGGCAACGTCCAAAGACGATGCCATGCCGACAGTTATCGCGTTCATTTAGGCTTAGGAATGGCCAGAATCGAAAGATTATCTAAAAAATGCGGCGAAATCATTGCCCATGCTTTGCGATTTAAGTGAGGTAAGGCAAAGCGAAAGCCTCCTGCACCATTCGTTGCTGATTAACGCGCCCGATATTACAGCTACTACGACATATTAGCAATATTAGTTCCAAAGCGAGCGGCGCTCACTCACCGGGGCACCGCCATGTTTCCCCGCATCCCTACCGAGCCAGTCACGTGATTTAAATCTCTCTCCTAGGTACTGCGGCTAACTTTAGCCGCGGTTAGCGCTTCAAACAAACAAACCCAGGACTTTTTTTTTTTTTAGCGGCCAACGGTTGTTTAGGAGGCGCGAGCTGCGTTGTATTTCAGGTAAAAGCCAATTTATTTTTGCATAGCCTTTGGTTGGTCATCTCTGTACGCACTCAGAAGTTTTAGAAACAAAAGTTGGGTGAATCTGTCAAGTCATTGAGCGGCAGTAGTGGCCGAATGGCTCGTCCCGCGGCTAACCGTGCAGTTGCTTCCAAAGATGATTGGAATAGTCTAAGCCACAGAAGCACAATATTGTCATAAATACCTACCTTTTCGAGAAATGCGTCTTTCATCTCAATGGGCATCGTGCTGTGTCCACCTTGTCCGAAACCGTGAATTTTAAACACAAGGTCCTTCCTGGTGCCGAAGTATTTTTTTAAGGTTTTTTGAGACGAAGATTGAGAAATTACGACAGCTTCGTTTTTGTGTTGCCTAGAATAAAGATTGAATATTGTGCCGACACTCTCGGGAGTGCTTGGGAGGCCAGCGGGAAGAGTCAGGTTGTCGCCTTTTGTAAAGCATCCGACTTTGCCATAACACTCGGTGTCAGAACCACCGAATAGACCCTCAGCCACCTGTATCATAAGAAACATATCAGAGTTAACATATATTTTTGTTTTAGGCTCCTCCACTAATGATACTTAGACGTTTTGCTATTGACTCTAACGAATATGTTTTATTGCGAATATGTTTGCTGTTTGTACTTTATCTTACTAAGATAAATTAGCAGTTATTGCCAGCTTCATAAGAACAATAAAGTCTAAACTTCTGGTTAAACATAATAAAATACTTGCTCCTTTAGCTGGTTGTGAGCCACGTTAAACAGACATGGTGACCAATACTGCAACATGAGAAACCGGTCGACGGGCGGCGTGGTTTATCTATAAAACAAAACTTTCAGATAACGTAATCGACACACGGGTGAGGTACTATGAACTAATTCAAGGGTCTCAAGCTCGTTCCAGGATGGATGGTTGCCACGAAGTCCACCCAAGAATGGTCGAGGGCCAACAGAAAACGGAAACACTCCAGGCCATCGTTTAAGCGTTTAGAGCGAGAAAACAAAAAGCAGCAATCTTGTTTTACGTTGCAAGGTAGGCGAGCCTTTCTGATCCACCACAGAGATTTCCCAGAGAGAAGGGGCCTCGTGCTATCTGCCTTTTTAAAACACGCAGATTTGCCAGAGACATCTTTTGCTCTATCTGGTTTCTTTCTCTTGCAGTCCCTACCTGATATGATTCAAAAATGAGAAAAAGAACAACTCCGCCAAATTGCTGAAATTTCCCTATAAAACAGAAGAAGAAGCACACTGTCGTTGCCCTTTTGCTCAATCTACTCGAGAATAAACTGAGATCAACGTGTCTTGAGAAAAAAAAAAAAAAACAGTTTTGGTTTTTGTGACAATTTTTATAGAAAAATAGTAAAATAAAACATTTTAATTGTATTTCTTGATAACTACAAGCGCGAGCTTATAGTTTTATTTTTGGACGATGCTCGTGCTGAGCGATAGATAGGTCGTGCAGTCGAGGAGCAAAAGAGTTAGTGCTTGCAGCATACAGGTGATTAGGGTAACAAAGAGCTGAGAAGCAAAACTGAAGACGAAACGCAATGCAAAGAGAAAAAAAAAAAAAAGCTAAATTTGGGAACATGTTATAGAAGCGGAGCTTTTGTTTCGAACAAAAATGAGGTGACGACGACATAAGACTATTATGGCGCATGCAGCGGCATAATATTCGAAACATGGGTGCGATGGCTCGCAGCCACGGGATACTGTGGCGTTTCAAGCTTTTAATCGGATCACCTTCTGAAGTTCTGAAAATTCCGCATGGGGCGCTCAAGGCGCGCTCAGCAATAGACCATATGCGAAAGGCACAGGTAGTGCCATCTAGTGGAGCTCCGAAGTACATGCTCCGCCTCACCAGTTGGCTTCGGTGCTGGCAAAGAGCAGGGCGCGAAAGCGGAGTTTCCAAAGAATCCTTCGCTGGCTCAAGCACTCGCGCAGAGGAAGCGCTTTCGAAAACCAGGCGGCCGCGCCAGTGTCTTTGCCGGCTCTTAAAGTCAAATTTCGAGCTGAAGCGTTCCGTCCGCCAAGTTGGTTGCGGCGAGGATCCAGCTTCCGGCGGGGCGACGAGCACGACACATAAGAAGAGCGTAAAACGATACTAACCCTTAGCTCGCAGTTGCGGGTGGGGATCAATGACGGTGAGCAGTGGGGCTCAATAGCTACCGACAGCGCGACGAAATTGATAAGCAGCAGAGGAATCTCAATGCAACAAAGATGGCAGAGCACAGAGTGTTGCCAGACGTTTGAGTAATTTCGCATATGGTTTATTGGGAACGAGATTGGGGCATTGAGTGGGATATTCTTGTTCATGGCATCCGTCATGAACGAGAATTATATTTCTAATCCTGCGCAAGAAATAACCATAAAAGAAGTGTCGGTGAGCGCTTCAAGGTGTTGCGCCTCATAGCTAGCTACTGACCCGACAAGTAGATAAACATACGTATTAAATATACGGTGGCCGGTGCACTATTTTAATATTTAAAGGGAAAAACAAATTACAACACTGTGAAGACTCTGGTTAGGAGCTGCACACACACCGTCGTCGGGGCCCAACGTTGAGGAGAGACAGTACCCAGCGCTAGCTCCGGCACATATAACTTTATCTAAACTCGGCTTGAGTTCGCGACACAGACAACTGCTACAACGTTTTCCGTCCGAAGGCTTGCGATGGCTAACCGCCCTTTTTGCGGTCCTTCCTCTTTGTCCTCTTTTCTACCCAAAGCCGCGAGGCGAGGATTCTTCGTAGTCTGGCGCGAACGCCACCAATGGGACACCCACCCACACACACGTGCCCGCACGCACAGCACCGAATGAGTCGGTAATACACTCCGTCACAACACCGTCGAAGATGAATCTGATTTTTTTTTTTTTGTTCTTTAGCGCAAGACCAGTGTTAGTTATAAATAAGGCTCCGTGTTTTCGGATAAATCCGAAATACTCCGAAAAACACCCGCCGGTAAAATTTTTGCCAATTCCGATTTATCCGATAAACTCCGAATTGTCATGTGTCCATGCCACCCACCCCAACCCCCCTCCCCCAGCAACAAGAAAAAGTTTTTTTTTTTTTTTTCTTTCAATTTGAGCAGCGCAGGATCAATGGTCCTGGGAAAATGACACCATAATTATCTTTCAAGCCTCGGACCATTTTCAAAAGGGGGTCTTGCAGCTTGTCTCGTCAAGGTTGGTTCAGGGAAACATGTCATAGTACCATTCGTGTCACGACGAAAGCCACTCTTTTGGTTTCCAGTTTGGGCCAATGGATTTGGGATTTAGAGAAAGGAGAGGGTATGTTTCTGGGGGTAACAGTGAAAGCGCATGGACCACAGAGATTTTATAAAATAGGGAAGAGGGGCAGTTGAAACTTCTCTACTATATCCTTCTTAACCACTCCACCTCGCGCGGCCGCGGGATAGATTGATGGGATGACTACGAGCTTCCTTGCGGCTACCTCCGGCAGTTTATTGATTTTAAGGTATCGACGTTTATCGAAACCACACTTGTGCGCGACTTTTGTCGTGGGACAAATTAGTACTCCCAATGTCATCAACGCCAAATTCAACTGAAGAAATCTTGACTGATACAAGCGCGTTTTATTTTTTATGTGGCATACGTTTGCATCCGGTTAATATTGATTATTTTTTAATAGAAAACGTTGCGAAATTAATCTCCGAATTTCGGAAAATGGTGTATTTACAAAAAATAAACTCCGATAAACACCGAATTTTCGTTAAAAAATAAACTCCGAAAAACACCCTCCGAATTTAAAAAAAAATATAAACTCCGAAAACACGGAGCCCTAGTTATAAAGGTGAGACTAGACAAGTTGTTTCTTAAATTAACGAAATTATGATCTTGTGAAGAGACTTACACCATTCCGTAATGTTATCCGCTGCAGTCACACGTTCTGTACTAACGCTGCTAAAATAACCCGCTCACCCTCACCAAATTGTTGTCCTCGGTGTGAACCCCATTTCCTCATCAGCAACTGCATTGTTAGTTTAATCCACCAAGTGAAGGGCAAAAATTAAGTTTGTGCATCCCTCGATAAGGTTCATAAAAACATGTGAGTAGAGACTTATGCTGATAAGCATTTTACCGTGGAAAGTATATTAATTCTAATACCATGTAAATCAAATAATAAAAGTACACTTTTTCAGTCAGCATGCAATCTCTCCTTTACACATCGGTCGAATGACTCGGCACTTCCTGCAGGTTGTTCTACTGACTTGAAGAAGCCAGCAACGCAAAAATATCCTGAAACACGCATTAAAAGAAAAAAATATGTCTCCGAACTAACTTTTTCGCAGAACACAGACAACCAATCACGGCGTGTAATAGATTGATATCAGCGAATGATAAAGCTCGAAAGAAAATCAGACGATAGAAAATGCGACGTCCACAGGCACAACGCACGAGCATGATGTTTCCCTTTATAATTTATACCTTGAGACACTGAGAAATAAAAGACAAGACTCCTAAAAATTTCAATTCGCCAGAAAACAGCATCGTGTCCGCAAGTTCCAGCGAGTATGGGAGGCGCGCTGATCGCGCCGACGTAGCGGTCAGGAGGGCATACCGCCGTGCCGGGAGACCAGTCACATGTAAAGTAAACTAATTGTGTAGTTCTCTTTTTGTTATCGTGCACGACGTGATCACCGCATTAAGCAAGACCTATCCTGATTCTACTGGGGAAGGGCTCGGGCCGATCGTGTGCAAAAAATGCCGTCTCACACAAATAGAAAAAAAACAAACAAAAAACAAGTAGAGGTTTCGGGACCTTTATTTAGCGCACGCGGCGGCGCTTAGTATTCGCCTTGTCTCTGCTAATAGTTGGTATATATTTTCATTAGCACCACGTTCCTCTTTTCCGAGCGTATATACAGCGAAACCAATCACCCACTTGATGTTTCAAAGGTGGACACCAAGGGGCGCCTCCGTAGCTGGAACTTGCGGATAGCCGTCTACACGGACAGGAAGGAGAGGAGGAAAAAGATATGCCCCCTAAAATTTTAGGTGGAACTCAGCCAGACAGACTGACCGCACTAACACCACAAACCCGCCGCCAAAACGCCAGGAAGGTTATTCCTGGGCAAAGTTATGGACCAAGCGAAAAACAACCCCCCCCCCCCCCCCCCCCCCTGCCTCGACCATCCACCCCTCGACAAAAGAAAGTTCATAACAGGAGTTGCTTTTTATGTGTTTGCTCAAATATAGACGGCTGGCTTTCACAACGTCCGTGGCCCCTTAAACTTAAAGCTTTCTTAAGATTCTTCAAAATTAATAACTTCCTCTACACAAGATTGGAGTCTCTTCCCATAATGGAGAGCACGCATTACATTCCGCAATGCGTTTGCCTAGTTCAAATGAAGGAGATACATTTTTACACTTCTTTCGCGTTCTAAGAGGCGACCATTTACGAAACCAACCCGTCTGGCTCCCGTAGCGGAATCCACAATCGAACGGAATTTGGTACACATATCCTGGACGCAACTAATTGGGTAATCCAAACGTTTCTTTACACAGCCATTTTCTCGCTCAGATTCAAACGGTGTAAGACTGTTTACCCGTAAATCCGGCTTAAAAACGACATTTACATTGAACTTCTGTGCCAGAGCTTTGAAACTCTGGAAAAAACGGTATGAAATTACATTTCTCTCCGGAACACCTTCAGAGCCTTTAAACCCTTCTACAAAGTGTACCTCAAACTTTTTGTGGTTTTTTTTTTTTACTGCAAAATCAGCTACACATCGAAAAACACTCATTCTCCGCCCAAATATGGCGTCAGCGGTTCGCATCAGATGCCAAAGTTTCAGCGCTAACCGCTGTTTTATTAAAAAGTTATGACTTCTTTTGTGAAAATTTCGATTGAAAAATGGCCGCCGACTTGGCTTTCGAATACGTGGAGCTTTCTAATGCCAGTTACCGAAAATGGGCAAAAATCGTTCCCATTTTCCCACTAAAAATTTCAAGAAATTACTTCTAACTTTTGGATGAGAAAACGATTAGTGCTGTAACTTTGGCCTTTGGTTCGGACCGCTGGCGCTACATTTGAACGGGGAATAAAGCGCGATCCAAACCAACGCTACAACGCTTCTTTTTGCGCCTGTAGGTCGTGCGGCTGCGGATGTGACGTATTTTCGTGACGTCGCGCCACTTCTTCGCTCCTTCCGGGCGCGCATAAAAAAGTTGGTTGATTTCAACTTCTTTCTCAACGCGCACAAAAACGCGCGGTGACGTAGTAGGGCGCTCCTGTGTCCCGGCCAATCGGTGGAGGGCAAGCTAGTTCCGGCTCCGCGCTTCTCGCCGTCTGGCTGCGCGCTGCGCTCTCCTCCCCCCCCCCCCCCCTTTTATTCTCTTCCAGCATGACAACGCGATCTCTCTCTCTCTCTTTCTCTCGCCGTCTGGCCGGCCAGTCTGTCGCAGTTGCACTTTGCTCAGAACTATTTTTCTGAGCTATTTTGCTCAGAACTATTTTTCTGAGCTATTTTGCTCAGAAGCTATTTTTCTGAGCACTTTGCTCAGAAAAATAGCTTCTGAGTGAACTCAGAAGCTATTTTTCGAAGTGTGGGTGGCCAGTGTTCTCCAACGGTTGGCGTTACCCCGCTCTTCTGCTACTTGCGATAACGCATAAAGGTAAAAGAAAAAGAAAACAATAATGAGGATATGCCTTCGAGGTAAAAATTTAGGCTCCAGAGGTTTTTACCCGAAGAAAGAGAAGTCCGGCTTCAAGCTTCGATTTCGAGGCCGCACGTTTAAACCGGGTGGCAGTCTTGTTTAGCGTTATTTCTTGGAGAGCTGATGCGGCTTCTCCAAGTTCCTTGAATTTCCCAACAATCTAGTAATCAGAAATGTATTGTGTTAGTTCAGAGGAAAAAAAAAGCACTCTAACTACAATGTCTAGCTTCCCTATCGGTCTTGTGTCTTGTGAAGGGCACATCAAACTGTCATTCAAACTCTAGATTATGATAACTACAAGGGAATCAAGTTTACGTTTTTTAGTAGTAGCGTGCACGCGTAAAATGCCAACCTCTTTATTTATTAAGGACATACCTTGAATGTATAAAAAGCACTGCAAAATATTTGTTTTTGTATTTACGTAAGAAGCATCACTTTTAATCTCCTGCGAGTATTAGCGGCGAGGTGTTTTGGTGGCGCCCTTCTATGGTTTACTCTCGTGACGTCATTGCCTTACGAACAACAAGTTCGACGGCGTTTATAATTAGCATGGTGGAAGCTCGTTGCGCTCTGAAACCAACACTGCCTACACCATCAAAATTTAAGTTCTTACATTCCTCTTATTTCTGTCCATAAGAAAACCTTTGCTGACGTCACAGTCAGCATTCGGCCAATCGTGGAAGGCCGACCACAGCGACGCTTTTGATCGCGCACGTTGCCAATATATACTGAAATCAGGAGCGTTTAAATACGGGGACATACAGTTGAAACGTGTACAATTCCAGAAAGCTCCTGCTTTCACTAGTCGCCATTGGACAGAGATTTAGTTAATCTTGAAAAGTTAGCCATGTACAAAGAAAATATAAAAAGGAATCTCTACTATTAGTGGCGAGATGTTTCGGTGGCGCCCTCGTGCGGTTACCTTTCGTGACGGCATTACATTATGAACAGCAAGCTCAATGGTGTTTGTAATGAGCATTCTGGAAGCGTGAAATCATAGCGGTCTCAAAGAAACACTGCCAACACCGTCAAAATTGAAGTACCTACATTCCACTCATTTACGCTGGCGTCATACTCAGCATTCACCCAATTGTAGTGGCCCGACCACAGCGACACTTTCGATTGCTCACGTCGCCAATACTCGCGGTCAGCTTTCTGTGGCAATGCAGGCAATGTTAGGCGAGAGGGTGCAACAACCGCTGTACGCTCGCTTCCTCCTCTCTTCGGATTTCCACAGAAAGCTGACCGCGAGTGTAGCTAAACATTTTGCAGTCTGCCATTTGGTACTGGCGAAGTTGTAGGAAGGAAGTGCCTAAACTCCTAATTACGATAGTAACTAGATACACTTTATAATACATAAATTAAACTTTCCCCTCTTAGACAATGACCATGGTAGTTGCACTCCTCTGTTCATAACACAAAGGAGCGTTCACTCCTCTCCTGCAAGCGAATTCAGCCAATGAGGAGAGTACTCTAAAATGCGCCTACCAAATTGCATCTAGACGGTGGTTTTAAAAGCGCAAAGGACTAAGAAGAGAAGGAGGGGACAGCTCTTCTTAGTCCTTTGCGCTTTTAAAACCACCGTCTAGATGTTCAACCAACTAGTCCCCAATTAATTCTGATACCAAATTGCAACTGTGTATGTGATGGTCACTGTCACGGGGATTCGTGTTCGTGTTTTATTGTTTAATGGCCTAGGCACCTTGCTCAAATTAAATGGGCCGCCACGTGCAATGTGCGGATCAAAAGACACGAGCATTGTATACAGTACAGACTCGGGAAGCGAGCCTAGTATTAGCCGCGAACGTAATAATTTTGCACTATTTCCTTTTGAATAGTAAATTACTCATGCTGTTATTTCTAACGTTCACATGTTACCATAATAACCATTCTCCGTAGAAGGCAAACATATGGGCGGCGAGGAGTAGCTAACCGGAGAAAAGCTCACCAAAGATAAGCTCACAGGAGAAAAGCTTATCGCCAAAACGTCGGATGCGAAGAAACGCTCACCGACCTTTTGGCCGATGCAAAGAAAAGCTCACCTAAGATCTATAAACCGGGCGTTCACTGAACTGATCTATGTTTATTTAATTGAAGTATTTTTCGGCTGCCGTATACCTCGGTCGCATTGTCAAAACTTCACACATTTCACAATTTATTTACAAAGTTACTAGTTAAATTAGAATATCTTGTTATATCGGAAATAAAGTACGCTGATATTTTCTGCGTCCCGGCTACGTCAGATTTAAATAGTCACGCGAAAACGGTCGACATGAAAGCGGAACGTAGGTTGCAGCAGAGCACCCTCCCTTGAAATGGGCACCGGCTGCATCAGAGGCACTTGTAGATTTGGTTACAATTTAAAACAGTAATGACGACCTTACATAACAATTCGTATCATGTAAACTTTTCTCCCGGTTTGTCGAAAACTCTAGTGAGCTTTTCTCCAGACGCACACAAATGTGGTGAGTTTTCCTCCGGGATTCAAACATATGATGAGAGTTACACAAGACATTTCAAAGGCCCCTCTGTCCGCTGGTTAGCCAGGCCGAAAGGCGAAACCCCTCAAAGTCTCAGTATGGGGTTGTCTAAAAATCGTAGTACATGAACTGTGACCCGCCGTATATTGGGGAGACCAACCGAAAACGTATTACCCTTCTTAAAGAAGACAAGCAAGGCTTGTCGAAAGCCACTCATGCCACAAAGTCAAAGCTTGAACTTGTTGATAATTTTTGGACAATGGGTAACAATTTTTGCTTCAGGAATCCGTCAACCTTGACGCATGAACAAAGGTGGGTCCTACGAAGTTACAGAGTCGTGGTGCATTTAAAGTAATTCACTGGCCTGCATCGCCAACCGCGGTCCCCTTCTCGCAGTGTACAATCGAAGTGTACGAAGTGTACCTATAGCACAATTGATTGTCGTGTCTTCTCATTCCCGTCACCTTGATATCACGGTTTATATCTGACTGATGTAGGAAACGTCTGATTAAACGATTATTTTTGTTACGTCCAGTCGGCGTAGTTTTTTTTATCTCCATTAGTTTCGTCTTCTGGAACATTTTTGCTTAGCGTAGATGGTGTAGTCAAGGGCTAAGGTAAACTTTAAAGCCTGACAATGCAACTGCATTTATGTTGGTTTAAGTTGAAGGAAAAAAGAGGACTTGGGATTAAAGTGTCCTTGTTAGGCAGTTTTTTTTAACCTTATCGGTTGCAGACTTTTGTTTTTATTTCTGCACCACTTTTTTAGTCTACGAATATTGGTTATATCCGGGCTATTCAAAAACAATTTTATCACAATTGATTCAAAGTAATCAGGTTATATCCAGAGCCATTATGGACAAACATATTTGCTGGGAGCACTTTAATGGAAATATGAAGGTGTATCAATTTTATCTCAATTTCTACAATTTTTTTAATTTCAGGATCGTATTGAAGGTTTCCACCTGTGCTTAAGCAATTTCACGGTGTGCAAAATAAAAGAAGCCAACACAAACTTGCCTCTTCAGCCTCTTCTGCGATGAATATGCAAAGCGCTTCTTCGAAGTCTTCCAAATCTTGTTCATTCATTACATCCTCATATCGTTTCAGATTAAGCAAATCTATCTCGCCTAGAACATCGTCTGGCTCCATATCAGCGTCATTTTCGCAACGCAGGACAAGAAACAAGATCGTAAAAATTATCACTAAAAAGAAACAGTAATGTCAATGCGTTGTCAATTGTGTTATAGAATCCTTAAAGATTATTTATAATTAACTTGTTTGAGCGCCAGATCCCAAGAATAACATGTTTGAAGGTTGACCTATATATTTCTATATGGCGTTTGTCAACACTACTTTTTTGTAGCGATTCCTTGTGGAATCATTATTATTACTGAATAGGTAAATAAAAAAGAATTAACATTAAAAACCAGCGTGTTGGTAATACTTAAACAACCGGAAAGAATAAACACAAATTCGGGACGCAAATAGACGATACAACTCTTTCAAGTTGTATCGTCTGTTTGCGTCCCGAATTTGTGTTTATTCTGTCCGGTTGTTTAAAAAAGAATATTCGTTTAGATTTATAAACCAACAGTTATTCCAAGTGAGAAAATATTTCAGTACAAATAATGACAACTTTTACTGAATTAGCACGCTTGTCATGAGTTGCCTGCTACAAAAGGTCACTACGGATTGATCAATGCAGATTAATTTCGATGACATTGATTGCGCCTTATTTCATCAAATGGCAAGGGTATCACAAATGTTTAAAACATGCTAAGATAAAAATCTAAATCGTAGTGCATAAAAAAGTGCTTACCTTTGAGTGTTGATCTTGTACTGCATCCAATACTACACCGAAAAATCATGATCGCGGATTGCTTTCACCGAATAGGCATAAATGGGAGTACCAAGAAAGAACATTAAGCGCCTCAATGACAGAGAGAGAGAGAGAGAACACGACGACACCGAGGGCTTCTTAGAACTGGATTGTTTATTGTAAAACACATCTGATTGTGATTTATAAACATCATCGGGCTCTCGACGCAGGAAAGCGAAATTGTTACGGAGTTTGCCTTCCTGTCACATGGAGACACACCTTATTTGCTGCTTTAGCATTGTTCCCCCTACGAAGTAGAATGATTGAGCTACAACAGGATTCCACTCTTTCTATTGTGGAAGAATGTTGACAAAGACGCCATACGATCACGCATGGGTGAACAATTAATATCGCAAAAAAAAAAAAATGTTTGTTGCACCGCAGGAAATGAAGGAGCTCCGCCTGAGGCGCTCCTTCGTTGCCTTCACACGTCTTTTAGCAGAGCATTCTCACGAGACGCGGAAGTGTTATGAAAGAAAAGCTTGCAATGCAGGCAGAGCTTCCACAGCCGATATTATGTTGCAACAGGCTATTGGCGCACCTCTTAACAGGAATGAGCCTGTTGCGCAACACTAGCTCGCAACTTATTTAATATTTATTCGTCGTGTGAGTGTTGTTTGGCAAATCGAGGAGGGTGTACATAGGTTTAGTTTAGTTTTGGCAAAAATAATACATAAAGCTTGTGGGAGACGAGGGTGGAAGAAGACAGGGCGGAGGGCACGTGACAGGCGGTGGGCCAAGAAGACACGAGCTGGCGCGAGACAGGGCGCGCGAGGCTGGGGCCGGGCAGGAACGACGGAGCCGTTCTGGCTGGTCTGGCCCATGGCGAACCCCGGAGCGCTCCACCAGCGAGGTTTGGAGCAAGACCGGAGGGAACGGCGAGCCCTGGACATGGACATACCGGCCTGGGCCATGACGGTCCCGGAGTGGTTCCGCAGCGAGGCTCGGGCTGTGATAGCCCGGGGTAGCTAGCCTACGCAGCGCTGGCGTGGGAAGGACGATTCGCAGGCCTGGGCACGGACTCCGACTGCGCGCTCTAAACGACGGACGACAACCAGGGTCGGTGGGCCCGGACTACCGGCTCTCGAGGACGGGCGACCGGGAGGCACCGACCCATTCGCTGTCTTCTCGTTGTGTTGTGTCACTCCCTGGGAGACCAGCGAAGCACAAACCGATAAGGCAGTCATTATTGAAGAGCGAGAATACCACACAGATTACCAGAAGCTTTATCTGTTGATTACCGAGTTCGTCATCTACCCGAGGGGCCCTGAAGTCTTAAATTTGATTCGCTACTGCCGAACTTGCCTACGGGCCTAGGGCACGATACGCTGCCTACCGTCAGATGAAATGGACATAACAACGAAGTGAATACGAACATGTAAAATATCTTGAGCAAATATTTTAAATCTACGACCGGAGACTACACAGCAAGCAGCGTTTAAAGCTCCTTATATGGCCCAACCCGGAGAGCAAACCGTCTACATCTTCCGCAGGGGTTGCAGTCACGTCAGAACGACGGCGAGTTCTGATTGGTTTTGATTAGAAGAGGAGTGGGTTGACCTCAATGGTAGATGCCTTGAGGTCTACCCACCATTTTTTTTAATCAGTCAATAAGAGCTTGGCGCTCCGCATTACTACAGAACGCCACTCATGTGTGTTTTTTTTTGTTTAAACGACACAAAAAAAAACTGTTACGTTTACATTACACCGGACCTTATCCTGTACAAGAAAATGAAAATTCACTCTTTTTTGTCGTGTGTAAACAGAAATAGTGTCACCATCAAAACTGAAAAAGAAGCCTGCTCATCTTGAACAAGTGAATGTATAGACATGGAGCAGTCCACCGTCAAAACGAACACGCAGCAAAAATACCTTAATTAGCTTCCACAAGTTTCGGTTCCTTAATCGTTTGTCCTTACTCCCCGTTATTCCCTCCTGGAATAATGAGTTGCCAATTTTGGCAACTCATCATTTGCATGATGAGAAGTCAATTTTGTTCACACAATATACTGGCCATTCTGTTTTCTTAGTAGGCGATTTTAACTTCCGTGAGATAAATTGGAATTTATCAGATGTTGTTGGTAGTGGAAGTTCTGGTGAGTGTCGCGATTTTATCAGTCTCTGCCTGGATTTTAGCCTTTCCCAGATGATTTATTTCCCTACCCGTGTAACCACCACATGTTCAAATATATTAGACTTGCTTTTGACTAACCATCCGAAATTTATTGCCTCTCTTACCGGTTTTGGAGGCATCAGGAACCACAAAGCAGTGTTCTTTAACCTAGGATTTCAAGCACCAGAACCAGTCAGGTTGACCAAGCAAATAAGGCTATATAATTAGGGGAACTATGAGCAGCTTAACCAGGACCTCTCAAGCTATTTCTCAGTCTTCCTGGAGGGTTTTGACGATAGGAATATAAATGAAAATTGGTGTCTTTTTAAAAACAAATTACTGCAACTCATTGAAGCTCATGTTCCAACTATTAACATCAGTTTCCGGTCTTCTAACCCTTGGTATTCGCGCTTACTGAAAACCTTTAACAATAAGAAAAAACGACGTTTTCGAGTAGCCAAAAAACAAGACACTGCTCTATCCTGGTCTAAATATCATGAATGCGCCACTGAATATAAAATTATGTTACAGCCGCAGAAGCGTATATTCTACCAGAAGACCCTTCCATCTATGCTACTAAACAACCCGCGCCAATTTTGGAATGCTGTAAATCATGCACCATACTCCCCACTAGCGCTTACTGATGATTCTGAGAACCTTATCGAGACTTATCAGTGTACCAAAGTTCTTAATCATATATTTTCTTCCCATTTCACCACCCACTGTCCCTTAACACTGTCCTTACCTATTACTAGCAATGTTTTACCTATAGATCCCATTTGTACTGATTACGAAGGTATTGTTAGTATTGTTAAGTCACTGAAAATGTCCTCTTCCCGAGGTGACGGCATACATTTTAAGGTCTTACAAAGCACTAAATATTCCTCAAGCCTATTTGTAACAAAAAATTTTCAACAATCGTTAGATACGGCGGCGGTTCCTGAGGATTGGAGAATCGACAAGGTCATTCCGGTCCACAAAAGCGGTGATAAATCTTCTCCTTTAAACTATAGGTCAATATCTCTAACTTCTGTACCTTCTAAAATACTTGAGCACGTAATCCACAAGCAACTATCTATTCACCTTGATTCTATCTCCTTTTTTAACAAAGCGCAGCACGGCTTCCGTAGAAACTACTCCTGCGAAACCCTACTTCTCTGCTTAACAAACGACCTGTTCGCAAACCTTGATTCTGGCTACCCCACTGACGCTGTATTTCTCGACTTCACTAAAGCTTTTGACAAAGTTCCGCATAAAAGACTGCTTCTAAAACTATCTTCATTAAACCTCGATAATAATGTTCTCTCCTGGATGTAATCTTTTCTCTCTCAGCGTCATCAGTTAGTTCATGTTAATAATTGTTCTTCTACTTTAGCCCCCGTAACATCTGGCGTGCCTCAGGGAACGGTGCTTGGTCCGTAACTTTTCCTTATCTACATCAACGATCTTCCTCTTCAGGTATCTTCATCCATGTGCGTATTTGCCGACGACTGTGTCCTTTACCGAAAAATAACATCCCCTCATGACTCTTTAACCCTACAAAATGACCTCGACCTAATTTAGAGCTGGTGTACTAACTGGCAGATGACGCTTAACGTCAGCAAATGTAAATGCATGGGCTTCTCTCGTTCCTCTTTTCAAACCTCTCCTGTTCATTTCCTCAATGGCATCCCTCTTCAACCCACGGATATGTATAAATACCTCGGCGTTCTTCTAACTTCAAACCTCTCCTGGGAAAACCATATTAATTCAGTTGTGAGTTCCGCTAACAGAAGCTTGGGTTTCCTTCGTCGCAATTTCAGATCCGCCCCTTCTCAACTAAAACGGCTCCTTTATCTTGCCCTAGTCCGGTCTGAATTAGAATACGCATCTTCAATCTGGCACCCTCATCAAGCCACATTAACAGACTACATTGAATATGTTTAAAACCGTGCTGCGCGTTTTATTCAGTCTGATTACTCCAGTTTTTCTACTGTTTCCCTCATTAAATCAAATCTCTCTCTCCCATTGCTTTTCACCTGTCGAAAAATATCCCGTCTCTGCCTTCTGCATAAAGTTTTCATTCACCAGTTTTTAATCAGTCTCTTCTTTCCCCACCAAGCTTATCTTTCCTCCAGACTCGATCATTGCAATAAAATAGCCCGGCCAAAGTGTTTTTCCACAGCACATCAGCACGCCCCTCTTCCTGATGCAATTGTGGACTGGAATGACCTTCCCGAAGACATCGTCACCATTCAGGATCTCATCAGATTCCGAGAAGCAGTATCAACCATTGTACTTAACACCCACTTCCCTCTCTAACGCCTTATGGCCCTGAGGGTATTGTAAATAAATAAATAAATAAAATGAGGGTTACGGACGTGTGCGGAAAGTGCTCCACCCAGTTTTTTGGTCGGCAACAATTCCTCGTTTGTAGTGGCATATGCGAGCGCTCTTTTCATTGCAAATGCCTTAACATTCAATCGGACCACTACATCATCTGCATGACTGACGGAGGGGGTGCATACAAGTGTGCTTTATGTAGGTAAAGGCGTGACCAAAACAATGTTGGCAACAACAAGAAGACAAACGTCTTCTTCTCAAATTACACCCAGTGGGAGTCGAACCGAGTGTTTTATGTTGGATAGAAGCATTCCTAACCAACCGAACGCAGTATGTCACGAGGTACACTTGTTCTTCTCTTTCTGTCAAATCCGGTGTGCCCCAGGGAACCGTGTCTGAACCCCTAGTGTTCCTTGTTTACATAAACGACCTTGCGCACTGTATCAAATTCAATATAAGATTGTACGTTGATGATGGTGTGCTTTACCGAAAAAAAATCCGCCTGATACCACCGGTTCCACTGGGGCTACAGCGAGTTGGCCTACACTTTCAGAAATACGAGGTGTAATACTTAAACCTCTTGTCCCATCTATACACCCCAAAACTTCAGTTCAACGTACAGCGCACTGACGTCGACCTGACGATACGAAATTTCACGAGCGGCTTCATAGCCGAGTGGCTATGAAGCCACTCGGCTATGAAGCCGCGTGTATGAAGCCGCGTAATACTTGTTAAAATAACCGATCTACGTGTACAATATATATATATATATATATATATATATATATATATATATATATATAGTGTTGAGACGTTGATAAAAGAGATTTAATAGAAGATAGGAGGAAAATGCGACCAGTATGAATGGCGGTACAGCATTCAAGAAGCGCCCGTGCCGAGCGCGCGCTTGGTCAAACCCCTGCCTGTCTGTCCGTGCCACTTCTTCTTCCTTACAATATCCCCCCGGTGTTGTAAGCGCCGGTCATCCGGCGCGTTTAGATTATGAGTCTTGGCGGTAATAGGGCTTCATGCGGCTGATGTGTACCACGTCGGAGGACTTGGAGCGAAGGTCGCGGTGCGGCGTAACGGGCTCGACTTCATAATTGTTTGGGGAAAGCTGTCGGATGACACGAAAAGGGCCAACAAAGTGTTTGAGAAACTTCTCGCACTTGCCCGGTGCTCGCCGGGGAGACCCCAAGAGGACTTCGTCACCTATGTTATAGGCAGTGGGGAGGTGGCGGTCGTCATAGCGCAGTTTTTGTTGTTGCTGGGATTTAAGGGTGCGGATGCGGGCAAGCTGACGGGCGTCTTCTGCTCTGGAGACAATCTCCTCTGGGTAGGGTTGCATGAAGTCGTCAGGTTGGTAGGGTAATATCGTGTCAAGAGGTGTTAGGGGTTCGGATGCATAGAGCAAGTAGTAGGCAGAGTGTCCCGTGGTAGATTGTCGTGCAGTATTGTATGCATAGGTTACGTAGGGGAGGATGATGTCCCAATTGTCGTGATGATCGGCTACGTACATTGAAACCATGTCAGCGATAGTATGGTTGAAGCGCTCTGTTAATCCATTTGTTTGTGGGTGGTAGGCTGTTGTGACGCTGTGAACAGTCGAAGAAAGGCGGAGGACATCTTCGAGCACGTTGGATAGAAAGGGAGTGCCTCGATCGGTGATTATGTATTGTGGAGCTCCATGGCGCAGCAGTATCGAGTGGATAAAAAAGTTTGCGACTTCGTGGGCGGTAGCGGCGGGAACGGAGGCCGTCTCGACGTAGCGTGTTAAATGGTCAATCGCAACAAGTATCCACTTGTTGTTGTGAATGGATTGGGGAAAGGGGCCAAGGAAGTCAATTCCGATGCGTTCAAATGGGCGGTGCGGTTGGGGAAGGGGTTGTAGGCAACCTGGAGGCTTTGTGGTAGGACGTTTCTTGGTCTGGCAGTGGTGGCACGCTCGAACGTACTTGCTGATGCTGCGGGTCATGCCTGTCCAAAAGTAACTGCCTCGGATGCGAAAGTAAGTTTTAGAAAATCCAAGGTGGCCAGCTGTAGGGTCGTCATGGTTTGCTTGGATAAGATCCTTTTGTAGTCGGCGGGGAATCACTAAAAGCCATGGCCGTCCTTGTTGTGTGTCGTAGTTTCGCCTATAAAGTATGCCATCTCTGAGTTGAAAAAGACGAGCACGGCGCTGAATTTGCACAGAAGGATGCGGCAAAGCACCTTCAAGGCATTGAATAATGGGGTGCAATAAAGAATCGAACCGTTGCTCTTCTGCAATGTTGACGGAGCTCAGGACAGCAGTTGTGTCTTCGTGGGCGGAGGAGTTCGAACATTGCGACCCATGGGGAAGGGGGCATCTGGAAAGACTGTCAGCATCAAGGTGTCGTTTTCCAGATTTGTAATGAATCGTGTAGTTATAGTCTTGGAGTTTCAGGGACCAACGTCCGAGTCTTCCTGAAGGGTCTTTTAGGGTGGATAACCAGCATAGGGCGTGATGATCGGTTACAATAGTGAAGTGTGTGCCGTATAGGTAGGGACGGAACTTCGAGATCGCCCACACAACGGCCAAGCACTCGCGTTCAGTTATGGTATAGTTACGTTCACTTTTCGTTAATGTGCGGCTGGCGTAGGCGATTACTCTCTGGACACCGGAAATGTTCTGGGCCAGTACGGCGCCGAGGCCATGGCCACTGGCGTCTGTACGTATCTCAGTGTCAGAGCCAGGAACGAAGTGGCCGAGCACTGGGACAGTCGTTAGGGCGGTTTTCAGGGCCTGAAAAGCATTGCTTTGAGGGCGATTCCATTGGAAAGCGGTGTTGTTACGGAGTAGCGTGTTGAGAGGTTCAGCGATGTGGGAGAATCCGGGTATAAATTTTCTGAAGTATGTGCAAAGGCCGAGAAAGGACCGAAGGTCTTTTAGATTTTTCGGAGATGGAAATTCGGAAACAGCTTGTAATTTAGATGGGTCAGGGCGAATGCCATCTGCACTAATGATATGACCGAGGACCTGAATTTGGCGAGCTGCAAAATACATTTTTTTGTGTTCAGTTGCAAATTGGCGGTGAGAAAGCAATTCACCACTTCTTCTAGCCTGTGCAAGTGCTCGTTGAATGAGGCGGAGAAAACAATTACGTCGTCGAGGTAACAAAGGCAGGTTCTCCACGTGAGACCCCGTAGCACGGTGTCCATCATGCGTTCGAACGTGGCAGGCGCATTGGACAGGCCAAACGGCATGACATTAAACTGGTATAGGCCGGAGGGTGTAACGAAAGCAGTTTTTGGCTTGTCGGCGTCGGCCATGGGTATCTGCCAATAACCGCTTCTAAGGTCCATGGACGAAAAAAATGATGATCCCTGAAGAGTGTCGAGGGTGTCGTCGATTCTAGGTAAGGGATAGACGTCTTTAGTGGTGATCTTGTTAAGTCGACGGTAATCTACACAAAATCGCCATGATCCGTCTTTTTTCTTGGTGAGAACAACAGGGGCCGACCATGGGCTGGATGAAGGCTCGATTATGTTTCTTTGGAGCATATCTCTGACGTGATCGTCGACGGCCTTACGTTCGGTGGGTGAAATTCTATAAGGGCGGCTTCGAATGGGAGATGCTGTGCCGGTGTCAATGTAATGAGAGACTACCGAAGTTTGAGCTACAGAGTGGCTATTAAAATCGAAGATTTGTTCATACGAAACAAGAAGCTTTGTTAGGGCTTCCTTCTGGTGAGGAGGCAAGCTAGAGTCTACCATTTTAGCAACTTGTGCGGCGGTGCTTTGGGCAGCTGACGGTAGCCTCGTAGATGTAAGTTCAGAGAGCGTTGCAAGCGTGGTATAAGAATGAGATGTTAGAGTGGCCAAACGTGCACCACGGGGAACAATTTGCGACTCAGTAGATGTGTTGGTGACGAAAAGAGAAACTTGTCCTTCAGTTGTCGTGGCGATGCAGTAGGGAAGAATAACTGGCTTTTTTGCGACAAATTTGGCAATGGGTTCAATGAAACCAGTGGTGCTTTCGAATGGACGGTCCGGCAGGAGTGTGATAGCAATAGCGGAGAGGGGGGGCAACAGGTAATCGTCGTCGGTGTGAAGCGAAATGGGTGAATTTTCGTACACGTCGTAACTAGTCTGCCGAGTGCTCAAATGAAGTTCGCGGCTGGCGCAGTCAATGAATGCCTCGGTGGCCGACAAAAAATCCCATCCCAAAATAACGTCGACGACACAATTAGCAAGTACAGTAAACAAAATGATATAGGAAGTGCCTCCGATAGAAATAGGGATGGTGCAGTAGCCAAGAGGTTGCACAAGTTCACTGTTTCCCATCCGTAGAAAATGTCCAGCGGGTGGAGGGGTGAGCACTTTGTGTAAACGGCGGCGAAGCTGATTAGAAATGCAGGATTTTGCAGCACCTGTGTCAACTAATGCTAAAAGTTTTTCTTCTCCAATGTAGACGGTAATAGTTGTAGGGCCAAGGTAAGGAGGATTTAGGACCGGAGACGGTAGTGCAGCCTGACCTCCATTGTTAAGACAGGCTGCGCTGCTTAGTTTGACGACGGAAGTCCGGTAGTAGCGTCAGTGAACGGCGAGACGGAGCGGTTTCGTCGAGGATAGGGGGAGGGTGATCGACCACGTCGGAATTCAGCAGCTGGAAAGGGACGTGTGTTGCGATGGTCGTCAAAATTGCGGCGGTCACTGGAACTGCCGTGGTTGTCGAAATTTCGGCGCGTGTCGTGGTCGTCAGGGTGTCGAGTTTGATTCTGTGGGGTGCGACTGTAGGCTTCAGCATTCATGCGGCGTCGGCAGTAGCGGATGATATGACCTGGGGCGTGACAGTAGAAGCATATCGGACGTTGATCTCGAGTGCGCCATTCCTCTGTCCGCCGGGGTGATAGGTAGCGTGTGGATGGAATTGAGACGTTATGAGAAGTTTGCAGAGCGCAAATGTGTGGTGCTGAGTGCTGTAAAGAGCAGATGGGTGGTGAGGAAGTCGATGGTGCCATGCATGTGGGAGACGACGAAGAAATAGGACGAAGGGCAGCACGAAGTTCGTCTTTGATTACCTGTTCAATCTTAGGCGCCTCGGGTTGCGAGATGGAAGAACTGGCTGAGAGGCGCAGGGATCCCAAGAAGTCGCGTAGTTCGTCTCGAATTATTCGCCTGATGAGATTGGGGAGGTCAGTGTCGGCAGTTGTAGTTGAAACTTCAGGGAGCCGTTCAAATCCGGTGTTGGAGATCCGACCACTTTGAAGGTCTTCATAATGCTTGCATTCTGCAATGAGCTGCTGCACGGTCTGAGGTGACCTGGGTGCGACGATGGAAAACAGCTCTTGGGATAATCCTTTGAAGAGGTGCTTGATTTTTTCGTCCTCCGGCATAGCTGCGTTGACACGTCCGCAGAGGCGAAGGACGTCCTCGATGTAGGACGTCGATGTTTCGGAGGGGGCTTGGTACCTCCTGGAGAGTTTGTCCCGCGCTTGTTGTCTTCTGCGTTCAGGTGTACCGAAGACGTCTGCGAAGGCGGTTTTGAACGCATCCCATGAATTAATTTCTTCCTCGTGATTGTCGTACCATTGGAGTGCAGTCCCTTTGAGGAAAAATACGACGTTGGCGAGTTTGATGGTGTCGTCCCAACGGTTGTGTTGGCTCACCCGGTCGTAATTTTTGAGCCAGTCCAGAACGTCAGCGTCGGCTGAACCGGTGAAATCCTGGGGGTCACGTTGACGAGTTTTGACCGTTGAAGTGTTGGTGGGGCGCTGGTCTCTTACATTCCCGTTATCGTCGTTCATGGTTGTGAGAGTCGACCGTCCGCTGCGCAGCTCCAGGTCGGAATTACCAGATGATCAGGTTGGGGATCGCTAGCGCACCTCCACCAAGTGTTGAGACGTTGATAAAAGAGATTTAATAGAAGATAGGAGGAAAATGCGACCAGTATGAATGGCGGTACAGCATTCAAGAAGCGCCCGTGCCGAGCGCGCGCTTGGTCAAACCCCTGCCTGTCTGTCCGTGCCACTTCTTCTTCCTTACAATATATATATATAGATAGATATCAGAGTTTTCTTGGCCCTACCGCAAAACCCGCGTTTTCTTTTTGTGGTCTTTGATAGGCACTTCAGCTTTTTAATTAGTTATTTCGTACCTTTATCAAGCCCCACGTAAACGCTGGGGCCGTCAGTTATGCTCTGTACGTCCAACTTAAACACTTTAGGTGCATTATATAGGACCAAGTGGGTGTAAGACGTTTCTTAAAGTGTACCTGCGTCAAGGTGGCATGAAGGAACGCTTTTTCTGCGCCTCGTCCTCATTTGAAGGCGCTGGTCGTCGCGCCTGGCTCCACTGAGCACCGCAAACATGTTGCCAGTCACCTGCCCCTGCCGTGCCGGTTCCGAGTGCCGCTGAAAATACGGAAGGACTGGATGAACGAGGTGACGGGTACAAACTCTTCAGTTCTACCAAGCGTTGTCCGCCGCCCGGATTGGGCGAGCGCAAAGACTGCCATCTGTCTTCGGTGCCTCGATTACCTGCTAACTGTGCCCTGTCCCTCTCGAGGCTTCATCCGTCTGTACTATACGTGTGAGGTCCTAAGTGAACTTGTGCCTTCCGCATTGGAGGTAGGCTCTTTCACCTGTGAGAAGCTTCGTAGCAAATAAGGTAATTATGCTTCTTCCCATATAAGTGGCACCGCTACTTATATGACCTAAATAAGCAGCCCGAAGGGTGCTTATTTAGGTCTTTTGGGAGTCTACATGTTTGACTCCGCATCTTCTGAAACTACCGATAACGTACCAAAACTAGCAGTACAGAAATCTACTATCAAAATGTGCGTTGATTGTGAACAAAGTCGGACAGCTTCTTTGCATCGGTCTTGATCTCGCATTTTTATATATTGCGTATCACTGAAAATTGGCTAACCGTATCTATCTCTAGTTGTCGGTATTCTCGCACTGGGCTCTTAGATGTGATCGCGAGTCGACAGGTTCCATCTCCACTCTGGGGAGACGCGTGCTTACGGCAGTACGCAAATCTTTATCGTGCTTTCGACGGTCTGACCTTGAGCTATATGAATGCGTTTGGATCGAAGCTCGAGTCACCAACGGACCTAACCGGTTGTACCATTTATAATAGCCGGTAGCTTGCGCCCCCTAGCAGAAAAATCAGTTTAAAGCTTATTGCTTATCGGAAAATATTACTTTCCTCCTTGTAATGCCTCTGTCACGCTAGGTCATGCTCTCACCCACATTTCTAATTTTGTTGACTTTTCAGTGTACAATATTTAATTTCGGGAATTTTAATATACCTGGCATTAACTGGGATTAGAACAATGTCCAGTACGGATCTGAGCGCTGGATGTGAACAGGAATTACTCAATTTCGTGAATTTTAACGCCCTTCATAAATAAATTTATATTTTATTTATATTTCTTCATATATATTTCTCTTATAATGTTTATACATATATGTAAAAATTGGTGTCTATATTTATCCTTATATTTATTTTATTGTGTTTTCTGGATTATGAAAAGCATGACGCACCATGTTGTTCAAGGTTTCCGCTTGTGTAGTTGTTTGAGTTGCGCCATTGTATTCCATGTATTTTTAGATATTTCTATAATGAATGTTTCTATCTGTTTTTATGACAATGGCGTCCGTGTTATTTATTCTTTTTGTGACTTGTTTGTAATCATATTTCTGCTATATGAACTGAAGGGGACAGAGCCGCTCGGGCATCGCGCCTTTATCTCTGCTTCCTCTGCGGATGGATCAAATCCGGAAAACAAATAAAGAAAACAATAGCGTGCCGTAAATGCTGCCTGTAATGTCCTTGATTTGTGTATGACTAACCTCAGAGCGTCCTCACAGGGCGCTGTTGCCGATTCAGTCCTTTCTGTTGATAAGTGGCACCTCCTTTTTTTAGACCTTTCCAGCGACACTCTCGAACGAAGCGCCCGGGCGGGAAATGCTGAGCCACCGAGCTGTGGACGCATGCGCAGCATTCGACATACCGCACGGTAGACCAACAGCGCATGCTCAGAAGGCGTCCCACAGCCCAGCAGACAAAGATGGCAGCGCGCAGAAGTCAATTTTTGCAAAGGTCTACGGCCTCCTTTTCATTTAATAGCTGAAACATAGAGACTCCTGTGTTTGAATATGCTCGTGCTAACTACTTGGGACAGTGCAGGCATCTGAACGATACTGACTGGGACACTGCTTTGAAATATACCGACGTTGACTGTGCCGTCTCTCGGCTGACAGATATTGTCGAGTCTGTTTTGGAGAGCTTTTTACCGGTAAAGTATAGTATCCGAAGTGCTTGGTGGTTCTAACGTGATCTCCGGCGGGCAGTGGTTTGAAATCGAGTTATCACAAGAGATATAAAACATCCGGCTTGGACAAATGGCACTCTTTATTCAAGGAGCACCGCTCTATGGTGAGGCGATTGATTAAAAGAGACAAACACCCATTGCACGACTCTAATGAGTCTAACCTCAGCCGTTCTCCTGACCGACGTTAGGAATATGTGAGGTACACTGTTAGCAAGTCCCGTGTATTTGGCGAATATTTGGGGTGAAAAACACGCTATTTACACAAATTACCATACATTTACACGATGAGTAACGGATAATTCGTTCAGAAATCATGCGAGGTTGTAAAAAACGTGTTTTGGTTCGGTCATACACGCATAACCGTGCAGCCGACCTCGATAACACGCATCGCCCCCGGCGACGACCGCGGCATTGCCGGCTATCGAAGCACCGGAATGCTTGGGGACACACTTAGAAAGGACCGTCGAGACAAATGCCGGTGAAAGAAGCATGTCTCGGAGACAGATATGCACCAAAAGCAATTGCGCCATGTCGCAGGACGTTGGCGAAACCCACGCTTACCGTGCTCGCCGCCATCTTCTGGTCGATGGCAATGCGGCAACGCGGCTTCGCTCATGTCGCCCATGTTTGTATTTAGTTTAGGGGTCCTGATAACAGTTTCTTAGACACCACAAATAAAGTTATGGGTCTAATTATTCGTTCCAAACAGTTAAAATGGATATAAAAAGCGTGTCCTCGATGTGAACACGTGACATTGCAGTTGGTTTCGTTTTTGCATCAACCTTCAACTGCAAGCGATCTGGCCACGGCGCAAGCGCAACGCCGATGTACGCTGGAAGCAAGCGCCGGTTGGCTTTCGTTGTTTTTGTTTGACCGGAGAAAATCTGGCAAGTGCGCATGGCGCCGCTACTGTTTTGGTTTGACGGGACGCGAGAAGCTTCGCATAGAGCTTCGGAGTTTGCGAGCACATAGTGAAGACGTGACCGGAGAAGTGCCCCTGTGATGTTCCTGGAAGACGGAAAGTAGCATTCGTAATCGTCGTGTGTGCTTTGAAAGCGAAGGGAGTCACAGGGTCCACGAGTTCGCAACCACAAGCCAAGGTTCACGACAGCGCGGCGTTGACTTCGGCGATCTCGTTCTGTTTGGTGCAACCCGGCGATGCGAAAAAGAGCTGAAACATTCGTCATGTGTGGTGCGGTGCTTTGTATTCCGGGTCTGTTTGAACCACGCTTTTAACACGGAGCGCAAATTGTTTGTTGCGTGGTGGAGGTTCAACGGGTACAGTCCCGTCGTCGTCAGCTGATCCGGTCCAGCTGGTCCGGGAGGACGCAGCGAGCGTTTTTAAAAGTAAATCTTCCTTCGTTCCGTTTCAAACTGTGGAAGTATCCCGACACATACCGTGAGTAAGAAGCAGCGGGCGTTTTCAACAAAATTACGTCGTTTTAATTGAATAATGGACTCCGGATTGTAGTCTTAAATCTGCCGTTTTTTATGCTTCGTGTTGGACTGCGTTTGCATAGCGACGCACACCGCTCGAGTAGATGATTCGGTCCTGCAACGAGTTTGTTGCGCCAATCATGCGGCGTGAATAAATTAGGGCAAGGTTTCCTACCTGCCCACAGATGCATGTACTGAGACCATTTTTTATGTTGTGAACGTAGTGCTGTTTCTTAATTTATGAAGACGCGTTGGTGCATTTATTATGGTACAATCACTTGAGAGTTGAGAAATTGGAGAGCGAGCAAGCTTTCTCAACTTTGTCTCTTTCTCTCTGGCACTGCCCTGTTTCAGTTTCAGTAGGCATATCTACTAGCAGGTACAAACTGCTCTAAAGCAGGTAAAAAACGGGAAGCTTAGGACGGTGCAGACTCCGTGTTTCGCGCTATTCTCAAGGTGACAGGGTAAATGCTTTTGTGAGATATGCAGAATATGCAAGCGATTTTGTTATGCCCGTCGTTTGCGTCTCTCCAGCAAAACGAATAAGATGATCTACTACAAACGCGCAATTACAAGCCAAGATTTAAGATAGCAGTCGTTTGTTTCGGTGATCCGCGAAACTGTATTTTACCCTGCTCTCTGCAACACCGTGTCATGACGAAGAGCTGGAATGGTCACGGTTTGTGCTGGCCTCCCGGTTGACAGAAACCCGCGTCGCCCGCATCGGCACCGAGTGCGCTTGGGCTGTTGATGCTCAATATTTTCATCCGCGGCTTGTCGAAAGCTCATCCTGCTGCTCAACGGTGAGGAAGCGGCGAGAGTAACCTCGGAAGTGAATGTAAATCCTCGTTTATTCAGTTATCCGGTGTCAAAGTGTGGAAGATGTCCAACGTGTACTGAGGGCGGGAACTTCGAGCGTTTTGCCTTGCTTTTATAACCGAAACCAGACCAACGAGATAACTGCCTTGCGTACTCTAAAATGACGGAAGCAATAAGTTTCAACAGGTCGAGTACGTCACCGGGGATGTAGGCGAGACGGTGCGCACTGTTTAAACGCTTGCAGTATCCACAAGTGGTACCAGGAAAGCGACGTCAACAGAGAAGGAGCTCGCGATTCAGCATAATGCACTGCTACGGGCCCGTGTATCTTCCAAGTTCGGGGTGGTGGCAGTATAAAAAAAAAAAAAAGACGCATCAGCGCCCCACACCAGTGTTCACGAATAACACCGGTCTCAAACTCTCAAGCCCCACCGCTCATCTCGACACCGACACGACATACGACAACAAACTGCATCAAAACGCCCCAAAAGTGAAGGCGTCTGCTCCCGTACTGGAACTGCTGCAACTAGCGGAAGTGAAGTGTTGGGCGGATGTCCGGATGTCCTTCTCAAAAATATATAAAAAATGCTTTGCGCAAGGATCATTTTCATTTATTGTATACGTAATGACAAAATCCCAATAATTTGTTTTCCTATCTGATTCAAGCTAGTCGGACTGCTCATAACACTGGTCAAGCAAGAAAATAACAAAAATTTGAGCTTTTTCATGACCGGTTTAAGATTTATTGTTAACATATCGTTATTTATTGCAACGGACTAACATTATAGATTTTGCCTTCATACTTTTTAAATGCAAACAGTTCTAACACACGGCTGTCCATTGCGCCGTGTTTTGTGTATTCTTCTGAAAATCTGTAATGGTCAGCGACCAAAGAGTTCACCCGCACATGTCAAGCTTATATGCGCCGCGGGGAGAAATGCAAGTCCAGTAGGAAGTGCCGGGCGTAGTGTCGGTCGTTGTGTTTATGTACATGTCGGTGCTGTGTAGCTGTGTGCTGTGTTGCCTGCGTTGTATGTAGGGTTGCTGTGTAGTCGTGGTCGTTCGCAGTGTTAACAGACTCGTTTTTTTTTTAAAAACAGGCTGCTAGAAATCTCGATAGGTGGCGCAAGTTACCGCCCAATTCTAAATAGTTTGCTCAAGTTATTTATCCATGTAAGTTCGGCATTCGTTTTTTTTTTTTTGTGTCTAGCGGTTTGTTGAAGCTACTGACGCCGCCGACCGCCGACAACGCACGTACGTACCTTTGCAAGTAGCTACGTCCGCCGCTTGGAGACTTTACCAGTGCCCGGTCACTCCCATAGACCCAATGGAGTCGATTTCTGAGAAAACTGGGCGCTCAGCAGCGCTTCCGTGGTCGGAGGCGCTCATTACTGCAATGAATCGGCCTCTTATTGCTATATCGGTAGATTGTGAAACTAAAATAAGAAGCAAGCATTATATTCATAAAATGGAAAAGTGACGTTTTAATTGTGACTTTTGACGCCATCCAGCTGCGTGCAGCGGCTTCCTAGCCGTTTGCGAAGACGAAGCCGCTCAAAATCCAACATGGCGCCGGCCCTCAGCCACATACCGCCGCAGCTTCCCAGCGGGCCCTATGCTACACGGTGGAACTAAGCGGAACTGAAAGTCCGGGACATCGC